CCGAACTTTTTCTTCTCGTACTTGTCGCCACCCTCCTCCTCCTCGGACGACGACGATTCCTTTTTCTTGGCCGCCGCGTAGGTCAGCAGGAGTCCCAGGACCAACAGCAGCTTCAGATGACCATGCATCTCGCATTGTTTTCTTGTTCAACTGGCACCAGTTGCATTCGCTTTTATATAGCACGCCCTGAACCACAAAATGCTCAAAATGCCTGGCTTCGTGATGCAAGCAAACCTCTGGAGCTGACGTAAAAGCTTTCTGCTTCATTGGTCTCCTCACCGCAGTCAATCGAACTTCTTGCAACGCGGAGAGTTACAGATTGGCCTCCAAAGTTAGTAGCTGCTTCTAAGCAATGTTGTAAGGCTTGAAAACAAGAACTGAAGGGCTTATAGCACTTATGCCCAGCCTATTTAAATTTTATACTTTGATGAAGTGCAGATTCGTGTACATAAATTTGTTGCCCAAACATTCTCATTAATTTTGTTAACTAAAAATGTTCTTTTATAAAATAGTTTCTTAATATTTAGTGTTTATTTCATTGTCGATTCATTTACTGAAAGAAAACTACCATGAATTGGCCAATTTTTCGCTTAATTTATCTTTATGCATTTATAAGAAATTATGAAAATAGTTGAAAGTTAATGTTAGCATGCAGACTGCGATCTGAAGATTAAATCCTGATGTAGAATTTGTGGTCGAAAGTTAAGAAGAGAATATCTGTATAAAAAAACAACCACTACATCATAATAATCTTCAAATATATACACACAGATGATTTAGTAACTGTATTGGTGTATTTTGAAATTCCCAAAAATTTTAATAGGTCATTGAATTAATTATGTAAGTGACTGCATTCTTTTATATGTTGAAAACAAACTAATAAAAAGCTCAATCCAAGACTATAAAATTGAGTTACGTTGTTCATCATAATTGTATTTAAATGAATTAGTTTTGTTTACTTTTCTAAAAACCAAAGAAGTTTTTTGAATTTAAGAATGCTGTTAAGTGTGAAGACTTATTATTTTAACAGCTCCAAGGACCGTTTTTTATGTAATTGCTGTGTTTAAAATTGGAAATTTGATCCTGAACGAAGATGAATACGAATTATTTGTCGCCAGCAACTCAATTATTCTATACACCATTTTTTTTTCAAATATTACATTTTATTTCTAATGTACAACAGAAACTTTACTCTTGTTGATAATTGTAAAATCCTATACTTTACAGTAAGGTTACCTAGGATGCTAATCTTAAGACCTAAAACTAGTCAAGAAGAGGAATTACTCCTGGTGCTTGGACTTTTTCTTTTTCTTGGATGGCGTCGGCTCATCCTCGGGCTCAGGAGCAGCAGTCTCCTCCTGCTTTTCCTTCTTCTTCTTTTTCTTCTTCTTTTCGGACTTGACTTCCGCGTCCTCTTCAACCGACTCCTCCTTGACCTCATCCTTGACTTCCTTCTTAACAGGTGTCTGCTCGGACTCGGAGTGCTTGCGTTTCTTGACATTCAAGGTGTTGTCGGCCTCCGGTTGGTAAGTGAACACCTCACTGAAAAATCAATGAATAAATTAGTAAACAGAACAAACGAGAAATGACCTGGTGGTTAACCCAATTTCGCTCAGACAGCCAAGGTTTATCCTCATTGTAATCAGATAATTGCGAAACCTTTTGGGTATCATCACTGGAAATCGGTCAACTCTTATAAAATTCACTGCTATAACCCACCTCTTCGCCTGGTACTTCTCGAACTTTGCCTTCGCCTTGCCGGTGCCCGATAGTTTGCGCAGGTTGCCCTCTTCAAGTAAGCGCAGCCGCGACTCCAACTTCACTTTGTGCGCCGCACCCAGCTCAAATGTGGCCTCCTCGCCGAAGGCATCCACTCGAGTGGCCAGCGACGCCTTGGCCGCCAACGAACGCGACATCTTGCCTTTGTTCTTCTGGCTGGCCTGACCCACCAACTGGGCGTGGTAGATCAAACCATACTTGGGCGTATCCTTCTTGGTCTTTAGCGCACGGAAGAGGGCCTTTTCGGCGCCCAGAATTTGCACGGTGGACGAGGGATGCTTGGCCAGGTTGATCAGCGAACCGGCATGGGCAATGAGCCGAGCGCCTACTGTATCGCCCACAAGCACCGTCAAATTTGGTGCCATGGCCATCATTCTAGCCTTCAAGTAGTCGTACAGGTGAATGCGGTAATCGTTGATGGATATGATCTCGTCGCACAGACACTGGATGTTTAGCACATCCTCGTCGGAGATTTCGGTGCCCATCGAGATTTCGGCAGCCTCCTTTACCTTCTCCTCTACATCTTCAGGCAAAATGTCAGACAGATCGCTGGCGGCCATGTTGTCCCTGGTGCCCACTAGCTTAATGGTCTTAACGAAGGCAATGTTGTCGGTGATAATCTTGCCCAACTCGGGAAAGTGCCAACCGTACCACTCGCGGGCGCGCATCATATAATTGTTCAGTTCCTTGTCCAGGTCGTCCAACAAGCACTGGGCCTGCACAATCATGGTGTCGATCTTGTCCGGCGAGAACTTGAGCTTGTAGCGCGACAGGGAGTGGGCGAGACCCAGGGCCATGGCGGTCATTTCGCGTTTGGGTAGACCGCCGAGCAGACTGTCCGCCTGCTGACGGATGCAGCGCATCAGCTCTTGAACGCCTGTGTTGCAGACGCACTGCACCGACAGTTTTTCCTTGATGGCGGTGCCCAATTTGGCATCGGCGACCAAAAGTGAGGACTGTACGTCGTCGACAAGTAGTTTTTTAAGGGTCTTTTTCAGCGGTTTGGCCACCTTGCCCTCCACAGCCGCCGTGGCTGCGGCCAGCGCCTCTGTGGTGTCGTTGAATTTCTCAAAGTGCTTCAGTTTGAGCAGTTTGTTGGCCTTCTCCGGAGTCTCAAACTCAAGGTACAGATTGTCCACCTGCTCCAGCTTTTTCTCGTCTAGCAGCTTGAAAATTGCGTAGCCCGCCGGCGTTTCGTAGAGCACAAACATCGCGTCACACTCTGCTCATTTAGTTTTAGTTATAAATTAATTAAAAACCAGTGAAACTCTCGGCAGCCAGCAGCAACTTAACCTTCTTTTCCGTGTGCCGCGTGTGAAAGAAAAAATCCAAAGTGAAGCGCAAGCACGTGTGCGAGCGTTCTGCGGCGTTGCCACTCGGTTAGCGCTTAACAGCACTGCAGATAATTCACCACGAACCGTAAAGCGGGAATACGAATTGAACACGTTATAAGTCTGTAAACAGCAGACTATTTGACACCCTTCTTGAATATTTCTGAGATTTACAGTTTTCTCTTTATCACAGAATTTATATTTTATTTATTAAATCATGTTATATGTTTATATTGTATCCATCTTCTGACTGCTTTTTACTCACATCATTCATGTTAAGAAAGTATTATTTTTAAATTGGACAAAAGAGTTTGCAACCAAATTTTTCAATCCAAATAATTTAGATATTGAGTGAATACATTTAAAATCCAAAATAAGTTCCCGAAATCTGAACAGTTAACAATTAATGTTACCTTGTCAATACCGAACAGATATACCCTGCGTTGAATATAAGGTATAATATACATTGGCAAGCACGTGTGTGTGCTGTTATTGTACATCCGTCTCACTGCCCTTAACAGCACACTCCACGAGAAACAGCACGCTGTTAAGTTAAACATACGCCAGGGTTGCAGGCGCCTAACGGGCGGTTTTTCACCACAAATGCGGGTCAAAAGTTTCACCACAGACCAAACAAATTCAACATTTTTGCATGGGCATACATACACACGTTTGTATGTATGTATGCGGATCCCTCGCCATGTTAAAAAATAATCGTTTTTTGGCAATGAATGAAAAATGGAAATGGCGAATGCAAAATGCACTTACCTGCGTCGCTGCCTGGCCTTGCGTTCGCGGCAGTGGCGTGCGAAGTGCCCGCGTCCACCGCACTCATAGCACTTATCGTCACCACGACCGCCGCCACCTCCTCGGTCGCGTCCTCCTGGTCCTCCGCCTCCGGGACCACCACCCCCGCCTCCTCCACCACCGGATCTTGCGTACTTCCCAGTGGACAACTCTACCCGGGCACGACGTCCACAGACCGTACGTCCATCCAAGCCGCGCACCGCATCCGCCGCATCACGGGCACTTTCGAACTCCACGAAGGCGAAGCCCGGCGGATTGCGGGCAATCCAGACGCTGCGCAGACTGCCGTACGCCCCAAACACATATTCCAGATCGTTTTTGCGAGCATTGTTGCCCAGATCGCCCACGTACACCTTCCTATCGCTCGGATGGCGCGACATTTCTGTTTATTTCGCTTTTCTCTGGGCTGTGTTAATGTGGCAGTAGCAGCAGCAGCGCAGAAAAAATCGATGATGGGACAGATTCGCTTGCCACCACCTTCCTGAGAAGCTCGATCGGCTAGACGCGCACTGGCAAATGTTTTTAATCACTTAGCACGGCCGGCAACTGCGAATTTGTATGTTTATTTTCTATTTAATGCAGCGCAAAACTCATTTTACCGGGTAGCAAACAGAGTGACCGTGGGTGGACCGTTAATAAAAACCTGAGTACTCTGCAAAAATATACCAAAAACTATGCTTAGCCGTCGTGAACGGTCCTCCAATAACAGGAAGGGCTGGCAGCGCCTGCATGCAGGGTCGGCAAAAACTCAGTATTACCATCGATCCCGTTTTTGGAAAGATATCTTTTAAAATTATTTATTTTGTTTTTTAAAAGCAGGTCAATTAATAAAAACTAACTAATTATTTGTATATATTGGCTGTTAAGAATTGAAAAACATAAAAAATATTCCATTAGTTTAAATCCGTCGCAGTCTCTTTATCAAAACTGTTTTATTATTTTTACAAAATAATATATATTTACTCTTCTTGATTTTAAATATGTTTTACATTTCTAGTATATTTCAGTAATAACGACTATTTTGTAGTACATTTTCAGATACCTTTGGTATTTTTTTCTGGCGAGTGGCGGTCACACAGCATTAAACGTGGCGGCGATTTATCATATAAGTTAGGTTATAATATCGTATGCATCAAAATCATACAATTATTTATAAGCTAGTTTTTTAAGGAAAAAACACTTAAATTTAGTGAATTTGCAGTGCGAAATCTTTAAAAAACCACAGACGAACACTTGGCACAAACGGTAAGAATGGAAAGCGACTGAAAATCGCCTTTACATAACAATTACGGTGCTTTAACAAAATGCCTGCCCAGCTTTTCCCTTCCAAAAAAAAACGCCTGAATACTTGACGCAGCTGCCATCGCTCGCCGTGCGGTTGTGTTTGTGTGGGTAATATTCGTTAGACTTGCTTTTTTGCTCTTTAATTTTTCGGCTTGCGGAGGCCTGTGCAGTTTTCATCGCTTTTCGGTGCCACTTTCGGCACTCTATTTCCACCCATCAAAGTGGAAAATTTCATATTTTTCTACATACATACGAAAAAATGCTATGTATAACACCACACCAACGCACACGCACACCATCGCCGGACGCTCGGCGGCCATTCTCGTACACACACGCTCGCACGCGCACACGTACGGCCAACTCATGCACTCACACAGTGCCAGCAGATTGCGGTGCAAAATACAAAAATCGTGCGAAAATTGTAAAATTGCGTAGTAGAAATCTTGGTTAAACTTGCTAACATTTCTCGGAATGTATTTAAGCTGAAATGTTAAAAGTGGATTTGATGTAACCTGTGTGTTTTGTGATTTGGTGACTTTCCTGTTATAATACGTTTTGTAGAAAAAAAAGAGTAAAAATAAAGTAAAATGTGTTCCCTTTTTTAAGAATCGAGAGTGTAAAAGATTTCTTAACATTTCTTTGTTGTAGCATTTTTTTTCATCAGGCACGTCTTCCATTTTGTTTTTTTTTCTTCGTTGCCTCTGCCGTGGTGAATTTCCCACACACTCTCGGTGCGATTCATTCAGTTCAGTCGTGATTACTCCGCCAGAAAAAAAACTAACTTCATACTTCAGGAAAACTTAAAAGAACTGTTGTGTTGTCTTTCGACGGAATTAATATTTATTTGAGGGCATTGCTTTTTGGTACGTTTGCTTTTCGGTTTCCATTCGCTTTCACGTCACACATGGCGTTGCCACATTATTTTATTCATTTCAATGGGCAAAATGTCTGCGAGCGAAATACGAGTAGACCAAACTGGGTTTATTTGGCAATTAAGACCGTTAAAGTTCACACTATGATGGCGTTATCATCAAAAATTAAAAAATATTTGTGAAAATGTGTTTACTTAGTCTACATCTGGCTACAGCCTGGAATCCCTTGGCAAATGGCGCGCAAATGTGGTGAACCGGCGACAGCTCTCTTTTCACCTTGGAAATAAGTTCGTTGTTCTCATTGATAGGCGACATGTGTGTGTGTTAGTGAGGCTGGGGACTTTGTTACAACAACAAATCCGCTCGTGACACAGCGAAAAGAAAACAATGCTTTCACATAGCCGTGTAAAAGCAAGTGAAAAAAGAAGATAATAGGGAGCAAGAGGAGCAAACCAGCGAGCAAACTTGTGAACGTGTACAAAAGCAGTTAGACGGCACACATACCCGTACTAAGGAATGTCTTCAGCTGCGTTTGTTTCTGTATGTGTGAGTGTGTACCGGCCGGTTGCTTCTGCCGCTTTTTCTCTTTTGCTGCCTACCTGCGCCTTTCATAATTACCTATTCTTACTATTTGGCTCTCTTTCGTTGCGTGCGTATGTGTTTTTGTCATCTGGTAGTTTCTACCCAAGATCTTTACATGAAATAAAAGTGTTATGATATGATATGGATTTGCATATTGTGCCAGCATATCAATTTGGTATAAAAATTCGAAATGGCCAACAGTAATAGAAAATTTGGAAAATAAAGTTTGCTAGGTGGAAAAACAATAAAAATGGGACAAATTTGGAATTTGAAACGACTTAAAATCAAGGAACCAATAAAGAGAAAAAAATCTTTAATTCAGATACATAGTTAAATTAACAAATGTATGTTTTAAATTAAATAAATAATCAGAATATAAATTTAGGTTTGTTATCTTAATGATTTTTTTTTTCTGTGTAGCGATTTGATTAACCAGATTTCTTTTATTTCATCTCTGTCTCTTTCCATGCGCCTGCAACAACAACATCAATAATGTTACGATAGAAAGTTACGTGTGAACGTCGTGGCTTTTGTTTAATTGTTTTGAAGGGAAAGAACTTTGGCAACGTTGAAACCAATCTAAGATACATACAAAACCACAAAAACACCAGCAACAGTGTAAAAATTCAAAAAGTGATCCCCAAAAAAAGCTACCAACCGAACACAAGTTAATTTCTTTGCACCCCGTGTTAATAAAAAAGCGGCAAGATTACGTCAATTATAGAGAATCTACCCGGCGCTATAGCTCACAACCACAACCAGAACAACATCATGGAGGAAGACGAGAGGGGCAAACTGTTTGTGGGCGGCTTGTCCTGGGAGACGACGCAGGAGAATCTGTCTCGCTACTTCTGCCGCTTCGGAGACATCATCGACTGCGTGGTTATGAAGAACAACGAGAGCGGCAGGTCGCGAGGCTTTGGCTTTGTGACCTTTGCCGATCCCACCAATGTAAACCACGTGCTGCAGAACGGACCGCACACGCTAGACGGCCGCACCATCGACCCCAAGCCGTGCAATCCGCGTACGCTGCAGAAACCCAAGAAAGGCGGTGGCTACAAGGTCTTCCTGGGCGGCCTGCCCTCGAACGTCACTGAGACCGATCTGCGCACCTTCTTCGGACGCTACGGCAAGGTCACCGAGGTGGTCATCATGTACGACCAGGAGAAGAAGAAGTCTCGCGGCTTTGGTTTCCTCTCTTTCGAGGAAGAGTCCTCCGTGGAACACGTGACTAACGAGCGGTACATCAATTTGAATGGCAAGCAGGTGGGTGATCGCCAGGATAAATTACTAAAACTGTGTTTTTATTTGTAAAATCGTTTTATTATTCTAAATTTGGCTATCAACTTGAGTTTTATCAAAGATCTGTATACATATATATATATACTAGATTTTAACTTACTCGTTAAAGTGTATCTTACTCGTTCAAGTGTAACTTACTCGCTCTGTTCAAAAGCTGGGAACTTTCGAAGCAGAGCTAGCAAATAACAGTGGACCGCTTTTTAATCTCCAAAAATAAGTCTCACTTTAGGACCTTCAGCAGAGATTAGCCAGATATAATTTGCACTGTTTTCTGCATAGCGTTGAGACACTCCAAAGCCGATGACGCCGTTTTTGCAAAACTGCTTAACATTTATTTTAATGTCATTAGCTTCATTCTGACGAACGCTCCTTACTTCCTAATGCGAACAATTTACAGTTTTTTGACAACATTAACCATAGTCGCCACACTCAAAATAAATAGTATAATATATATACCCAAACTATTTTTTTTTATATACAAGTGGTATTTCTGGTGATCATGGATCCATATAACAAAAAAAAAAAAAACTTGTAACCTTCACTTTTTGTTATTAATTTTGAGCAAATGAGATGGCAGAATAAGGCAAGGGAAAGGTCCTTAGAGCTGAATATTTTAATTATTGTTCATCTACTGATTCTTAATATGTGAGCGTTAAATTCAAATTAATTATTGAAAATATGTCAAATTAGTAGCTCATTCGACAACACTCGACCGAGAACCAAAATGTTAACAATTGAAGTGTTCTGTTCAGAACGAAATCAAACGAGAAATATTTTTTCGGTTATGATCGGGCATAGACCTTAAAAGGAAAAACGGTCAACTGTTATTTGCGAGCTCTTTTTCCAAGTCAAATTTTATATGCCGACAGATCAGGTTCAAAACGGTTCAAATGGGAACTTTTAGCTGTTTTTATTAAAATGTTCGAAACAAATTGTTTATCGTTTTCGCCACAACCCTTTGAAAACCCGATGACTATATCTTAAAGCTGACATGACATTTTTGTTCGCTTTCTAAATTTATTTGTTTTTATGTATACAACAATTAAAACTGAAGACCCATTAACTTTAATGAAAACGAACCCTTCTTAACTAGCTTTTTTTTGTAAAAATCTAAATTAGTTTTGTCTTCTTCATGAGTAGTTTTACACTTATTTGAAGTTGGTTGATCCAGTAGTTTTACACAACATGTATTTAATATATAATAATGACATCATCTAGCATAGCTATAAAACTTAGGCTTGCGAAGCTAACTTTCTTTCGCGTTTAATTTTCGTACAAATTTTGATATGATTGATCTGTTATAGCCTTTTCCCTCCCTAATGAAATACAAAATCTATTAATGCATTATATATTTTGCATTTCTTCCATCCACTTTTTATAGTGGTTAATTGGTTGATCTCTTTTAGTTCTTTGTTAATAAAGATAATATAAAGATAAATATAAACAACGGGCTATCAGACAAAACAAATATAGATCCATTATTCTTTTAGTTAACAGATTTACTTTAGTCTTAAGAATAGAAATTAATTAATTTTATATGGAGCGAAATTATTAATCGCCATTATTAATTCGCTCCTCAGGTCGAGATCAAGAAGGCCGAGCCTCGTGACGGATCTGGTGGTCAGAACTCCAACAACAGCACGGTGGGCGGAGCCTATGGCAAGCTGGGCAACGAGTGCAGCCACTGGGGACCGCACCATGCTCCCATCAACATGATGCAGGGCCAGAACGGCCAGATGGGCGGACCGCCGCTGAACATGCCTATTGGAGCGCCGAACATGATGCCTGGCTATCAGGGCTGGGGTACATCGCCGCAGCAGCAGCAGTACGGCTATGGCAACAGCGGTCCGGGATCGTACCAAGGCTGGGGAGCTCCGCCAGGACCCCAGGGACCGCCACCGCAGTGGTCAAACTACGCTGGACCGCAGCAAACGCAGGGCTACGGCGGCTATGACATGTACAACTCGACGTCGACCGGAGCTCCTTCGGGACCTTCGGGTGGTGGCAGCTGGAATTCGTGGAACATGCCACCCAACTCTGCCGGACCGACTGGGGCACCAGGAGCCGGAGCGGGCACCGCCACAGACATGTACTCGCGAGCCCAGACCTGGGCAGCGGGCGGTCCCTCAACCACCGGACCCGTGGGCGGCATGCCGCGAACTGGACCCGGAAACTCGGCATCCAAGTCCGGATCTGAGTATGACTACGGCGGCTATGGTTCCGGCTATGACTACGACTACAGCAACTACGTGAAGCAGGAGGGCGCCTCCAACTATGGAGCCGGACCGCGGTCAGCGTATGGCAACGATAGCTCCACGCAGCCACCCTATGCAACCTCGCAGGCTGTCTAAGCAGGTGGATCGTGAGGAGGAGGAGGAGTAGCAGGCGGAGCGAGCATGTCGTCGTCGGCGTCGTCCTCGGCGAATGATGAAGAAGACAGAAAAGATGGTGGTAATTGTAAGCTAAAGCGTCGTCTGTTCGTTTTTATTTCAGATCAGATCAGTTGTTGAAATTAATATTTAAAACTCTTGTACAACTATTATTTAAAGCGAAGCAAATTTAACACGAGAATACCTAGCGACAAGTCAGATTAATAGATATACATGTATGTCCTATAGCAGCGAGTATGTAAAATTCATAGGCAAAACATCAGCACTCACTCACATTCAGACAAGAGAACATTATTTCTTTCATGCGCCTCATAAACACCACACAACACACACCACAAACATTCTCCTGTATCCCCCACACTCACAAACCAAACAGCCAGAATCAACTAACAAGAACTTCCCAACCAACTAAAACCCGTAGATACATCTGATACATGGCATTAACAAACAAAATAGAAATGTGAAGATTTAAACGTAATGATTTACAAGTATAAAGTTTAGCTAATTAGACACAAGAAGATCAAGAATAGAGTGCGAAATACCAACACAAAGAAAATAAGAACTTTTAATTTTATTTAAAGAGTAAACAAGTAAAAGATCCCCTTAATAACTAAAATTAGTAAATACAAATTCGAAATTGTACATTTTAAAGCAAAAACACGTCGGTCTCCGATCGGCTTTCGCCACCGCCCGATTTCTATATCGGGCGACAAGGTTTAAGTTAGGGTTTGAGAAGGAACTGGCTGCAGATATGTAGTCGATTCCGAGAGCTCTGTGCTTGCCTTAGCTTTTGTGACTCATTGACGTGGTTAAAGATATGGCGGCATATCTTCGATTTTGAACCCAGACAATTGCCAAATCTAATCGACAATTGTTTTATCGTCTAATGGGTCGCTAGATGAGAGAGTGTGGTGGCGAGAAAGGGCGGTACTGACATGGGAAAGATACGTTACAAAATTAAAAATTTACCATTTAAAGTAAACAAAACAAAAACTAGCTAAAAGTTAAACTACATATATAAAGAAACCTAATTAATAAGCGTACGAGGTCGTTTACATCTAAGCGAAAGTTGAACTTGAAACTAGAATTATATAGTGCGTTGGATTTATTATTTAGTTAAAGCGAAGTGAAGAAGCCAAGCAGCAGCAGCATGATAATGATGATTGATTATAATGGATATGGAAATCAACAAAACACACTCTTAACCAATATACATAAAAACTATATACATACATACTTATATACAATATATATATATATATATATATGACGAGTATATATAGAAAGGAAACAAAAAAGGAAAAAAGAGTAAAAAAAGAGCAAAAGGAAACGTAAATTTAAAGCTACAGTTAATGAAAGTAAAAAGTACAGAGTAAAAAAAAAGGGAGGCAGGCAGAGAGAATAGGACAAGTTAAACAAGTTACAAAATACGATGCTTAGAGTTGCGTTGCACATTTTTTTTCAAATTTTCATCGTTTGCCAAGCAGACAACAACAACAGCAGGAACAACAACAACCAACGACAACAGCCAGCTAAAAGTGTGCACTACAAAAACATCAGTCAACAACAACACCATCAACACGCACACCTACTCACACTTAACCCCATTTAATACCAACAACAAGAACAGAAGCAAGACACAGAGAGAAAAGAGGAGGGTATAAGGAAAAGAATGAGGAAAAGGAAGAGAAGAACTTTAATTGATTATGAACATAACATATATATATCTTTAATTACTTATACATATTTACTCTTAACTACTTTGCACGCTCACTTAAACGAGCGCGCACTGTGTGTAAAGCAAGATGAAAGTAAACTATTTTAATGATGATTATATGATTGCGATTTTACAATTTATTATTACAAAACAAAATGATGAAAAAAACAACAAAAACAAAATGAGAAACATACATATTATATGCTAATACATTTACCATACACATATATTATAAAATATGAAGTAATTTTTTCTATTAAAATACCATACACTAATTTTTAATTTGTTTATTTACAACAAATCGATTTACAATACATACATTTAATTACAATATACGATACAAATACTTTACTTTATTTTTCGGTGATTTATTGCTTAGTGTTCTTCGTATAATTTGTACTCTACTACTACAAAACAAATCCTACAGATATAAATTCCTAATTTAATTTCGTTTAAATTACAAATACATATGCTTACATTTTATAACTAATTATACAATTTTTAAAAAATCAACACAACAAAAGCAAAAAATGCTAAAACAATGATCAAGTAAACGAGTAAAGTAAACGTGTGAAAAACGTTTCGATTTTTGACAAAAAAAAAAACAAAATCTATGAAAATTTATTGAATTTTAATCTTTTTCTTTTAACTGTATCGTTTTGTATCGGTGTGCGTGCCTGAGTCTGATTGTATGTGTCTGTTTTTTTGTTCGTGTTGTGGAAGAGGTCACACCGAGGTCAGAGAGTGGGCGGCAATGTGAAGAGGCAAGACGCGCGAAGGGGTCGAATGACCAGCTGATCGATCACCTTTCGAGTTTAAAGTATGTGGAGGGAAGTGCTACTGACTTTGGTCATTTTTGACTACAGGTCAGCACTTCCAGTAAAATCGGCTGCAGCAAACAACAACACCATCCTGAAATTGCTATGGGGTGCATCCAGAAAAAAGAGAAAAAAAAAACAACAGCCGTTTGAAGTAATGTTAAAAAAATGGTCAACAAATCAACCTGATGTAATTTAATAAGATCAATCATTTTATTTACCGGTGGTTTATATAGCTGGATATGATTTCTGTTTTGATTATGAAACCTATTTGCAGATAAGAAATTTGAAATAATTAACATGTACTAAGTGAATGGTAAAGTAAAATTATGAACTAATTCGAGCGATTAAAAATTTTTAGAAGACAAAACACACTGACTGTTAATTGTAAAACAATTTCATTTTAACCTTTTCTTTTAATACAAAAAATATTTTTTTAATTAACCTAAACGTAAAAGCTATTCAAAATAAACTACATACAATATATGTGCATCGTAAACGTAATAAACAAAAAAAAAATATATTGAATAAACCTACTATATACAACTATATATATTATATACATATTAATTATAACATATAACGATTTAACAGTAAAATAAATTTAAATATTGTATTAAACAAAGTGTTGCACTTTCAAGCTAAAACAGAGATGAAAATAAGAAAGTTTAAAATTAAGTGTAAATGTTTGTCAGCACACTCACACACTCACAAAAGTACACTTAAAAAAATTGTTGCAGACAAAGTCCAATTGCAACAGAGGTGAACAAACTTGAAATCCAGACATCCGGAGAATTCACATTCACATTGGAGCACCAGAGAAGCAGAACAACCAAAATCAGATTGTTTCGTTTGTTTTCTGTTCACATTTGATGTCATTTTGTGTATATGACTTTTGTTCCTCCATTATTGTTGGTTTACGTATTGGCCAATTAATGACGGGATGACAAAATCGAGATGATTGACTGTTATCGAGACTTGTGTATCGGTTTGATTTCGACAGCTTATCGAACATTTCCTTTGCCTTTTTTCTGTTGCATTATTTTTTATCAGATTGGTTTCGGCTTTTCGACGTTTTGAATGAAGATCTCTTCATAGGAACCACGGATAATACAATAATGTAAGGGTTATATTATTTAACATACTAATAAGCTAACATACGAACGATGCGCCAAAATGCAAATAAAAATCACTGAAAAGATTGCGTTTTTGTATACATTGTATAGCTCTACGTACGTATTTGCATAAAAAATAGCTCTAGGAGAAGGTAGAAATGAACTAGATACTTATCAAAACATTCGATCTATAATTCTTATTATTAAGTTTCCTCGAATTTGTTTAAGAATCGGAAATTTCGACTGGTACCCATAGTGTTAAGATAAGAACATTTATTAAAGAAACACACAAACTCGGTACGCTCAGATCATTTTCTAACTACCCCAGAAGGCTAGAATTTTAAATGTGTTTTGTCCCATATCCCCAAGATCTGTCCCGCTTTTCTAATCCCCAAATATGAGAGTTGTTTTTATGAAATGAAATACTCTAAGCGATTAAAGACTAGAATGATTTGAAATAAGATGAGATTTAACAGATATCTAAGCTAAATTCCTAAGACAAAACGATTCCACCTAAGACACCTTTTTGTAACGAATAAATTTATATCGGACAAGACGGAGGTAGAGAACAACCAAATATTTAAACGAAATCAATAAGATAAAGGATCAACAGGAAAGATTACATACTACATATGTATGTATGTGGGTGGCATGTTTTGTATCTGTATTTAAATTTAATACTTTTGTATGATTTCCTTTATAAATATCAATAAAAGTTTCCCAATGATTGGGTAGGAAGACATAAGTATTCGGTTAAGAGAAGTTGAATATCAAAGCAAGTTGAATGATAATTGTTAATGCCTGCAAGTTAATTAGTTAGTCGTCATCACAGTCATCCGTTTTGAAGCCCGACTTTAGTTTATTCTTAAAAAAAATTTGAAACGAGGTATGTATGTATATGGTAATTTTAAAATGTAACAAATGCAAAGAACAGTGAACAAAAAACAATTTGTATGTAGTTAATAATAATAATAATAATAAATACCAAATAGACAAAAATAAGGAAAAACAGAAAAAAAGAGGAAAACTATGCAAAGTAACCAAAATAAAACAAAACGCAAAAAAAAAACAAAATTGAGACTGTAAACGAAAGGCAACATAATGGAGCAGTTCAAGGCGAGTCGATGTTGAACAGAAAAAAGGCTAAAACACAAAACTATAGAACTCGTAACTCGAACAAATCACTGATGAATAGGCTACCAACATAAGTTCGTATAAGGTTTTTGTTCACACTAAAATTGTACTCAAATTAAATTTTTTAGTTTTTGTCTTAGCCAATTTTGTACATTATGAGAAGTAGATTTTATTTTTCCCAATTTTTCGTTAATAAAAGACAAAAACAACTGAATATAAATTACAATGTCAGCAACATAACAAAACACAGGTTGCATGGTACTAAAAATAATGAAACCGAATCATGATGATGAGATTTAAGCGTTTGTAAGCCAAAAAGAAAACCTTCAATGAATTTGAATTTTTTACCAACAGAAACTAAGGAAACTGGAATCTTAAACTGATACTGAAACTGTTAGTTGTACGAACGTACGTCTAACCCAGAGACACATAGAAACCTCCTAAAACTGCATATAAATATATAGGACTTACTTGTAAACCAGATTGTAACGATTTTAGGCATATAAGTGTTGCGCCTTGGGTTTGTAAGGGAAACGAAAACTTGACGAGAAACTGGAGAGAAATCTACGTTTTGTCATTTTCCAAGCATTCATTTTAAAATAATTTCCTAGACTTTTCTATACGTACTTTTAGATGGAGATAGACATGGAGGAAATAGGAGTTTAACATAAGCATTTGAAGGCAGCTGGGCGAACGTGGTACAGTGCTTAAGAATTGACATTCAGGTCAGGATTAAACTTAACTAACATACATAGATACAAGGACATCAACAAAGGAAAATATTGAGAGTAACAAGGAAAACTTAAAATACATATAGAGTTGCAAGATTTTAGTTTACGGTAAACTTAAAGAAATTTTTTACAATGTATTTATACATACCTAAATTTAAATTTTAAATTAATTCTTTAATGTAATACGAACACAGTGCCTAAGTAATATCAAAACAAAAATCGAAAAAATAAAAAGGAAATAAGGATTAAAAACATACAAAACGAGAATAAGAGCCGCAAGTGAGGACATTGTTACTAATAAATGCTAAAAACTTAATCGATCAACTTTTAAAACAACAGAAAAGCATTCAAGCGACTAAAATTCACAACTTAAATAAGCCAGTAAACGAACATTTGCACACAAAGATTTATAAACATACATGTTCTGTTGCAAAACAACAAACACATACATTAACTATGAGAAGAATAACCAGAGCAGGAAACGGAAGCTGAAAACTGATCACAAGTTTGACTCAAATAAAAAACACTCCATAAATGTATAAATGTAACTCAAACAAGCATGAAACGCAAAAGCGCTAAGTATTTACCACACAAATAAATAATACAACCAACGTACCCCCTACATACGTCTCGTCTCGCACTGGATTTACGTACAACCCACGTATATCCTCCCTTTCTCTCCATATCCTAAAGGGCTATTCAATCAATAGATTTTATTTATTTGAACATGCCACATACTCAAAATGACATCAAATTGAAACTTGTAACTCTTTGTTTGCATATTGGATTGGTATATAAAAACCTTAAGCAATTGTTTTCAAATAAATTGTTTTACCTTAGATTCATTTGAAAGAACACACACAAAAGAAGTAAAAAACAATAAGTAAAATCCAAAAATGAATTATACATTTTGAAATTATATTTAACAAACCAAATTAATGTAGTGTGTAAAAAACAAACAAAACATGAAAGTAAAAAAAAGTTTTAAGCAAAACAAAATACTTTGAATATATACATAAATTGCAAGTAAATAGAATAAATGTCACTCACTCTTTTTATTTACGTCTTGTACCGATTGATCATTCGTGGAATTAACACGTACGTACAGTGTATATTAGAGTGAGTCGATTTTTGTGGACTCGAAAAATAGCCAACACAAATATCTTCAACAAAACATTGCCAATATATATTATTTTTTTATAAAACAAGTTTCATTTTAATATCGTTTCTGCTATTTACTCAAGGAGCAAAAGCCACTTAAGAACACCCTATGAAGGAGACACGAAAGTGAAATTATTAAGTAAATAGCAAACACGATTTTAAGTAAAAATCTTTCTAAAAAATAATTGTAGATTTGTTTACCTAAAAAAGGTTTAACAATTAAAAAAATGTGTTGGCTACTACGATGTTTTTTCCATAAAAATCTGTACGTTCCAATCGTGTTTTGGGGGATTTAAGGTTTTTTAACCTCCACTTTCTTCGTCAATATTTTTAAGAATTGTTCATACAATAGAAAACATTCCCCTCTCCGCTTTTAAAGGTCAGTCTGCTGCTCTAAATGACTTTTATTCGTATTCAGATTTGGAATGAAAGCTAAATTTGAAAGAAATATTCGAGAGACATTTGAAATTTCTGTAAGGGAATAAATGTACATTTTTGGAAACGAAAATCGGAAACCCTTGAAAATTACGATGCTGGAACTCGTAATGTTGTTCCTTCTTAGCTCCGTGTTTTTTTTCGTTGCTCATTTGGAGAAACCAACAACATTGTGGGGACTCATAGATGCCACATGTCCAATTCTGATGGGCACTCTAGCCGCTGGGTTGATTTACATAAATGTGGGTATTTGATGGGATAAAGTAATTTATTATGTAAATTTTTTCTTTTTAGAATTAAAAAAAAATGAGAAACCAGACTTAATGAAAATTTTTTTGAAAAAAATGACTTTATTTCGGCTGAGAGTTCAAATAATAATGTAGTAAACTATTCAAAAACAACAAATAATTATGATGGCTTGGCATGACTAAAATTTGCAATCCGGAAGCCAATAGGGCGAGGATTATTCGAACGTCTACAGCTACGATTATTACGAATCCTAAGAGATTGAAACCTATTAACCAATGGTGACTACTTGGCTACTCGACGTCTTGTGGTTGGTGTGGTGGGTGCCCCGCCGCTGGGCGGCTTAGGAATCTGTAATGGATATCCCGATTAAAATTTCACAGGACCTTACTTAAAGTTCGAATATCTTACAGAACGGATGGGTCTGGGCGTGAGGGAATTGGCAGGTGGCGGCTCGCGGGGTTGTGGTCCATCAGGATGTCCCACGACAGTGACGGCCACGGGTCTCTGATCGGTTCCGGCCCGTTCCATGCTTTCGCTGCGAGAGTTGGAGCCGGAGCGCTTGAACATTCCCGAGAGCCGGACGCGAAGATCCTTCTTGCTCGATCTCAAGTCACTGGCAACGCTGATGTCCGAGTCCGATCCTTGAATCTACCAGGAGATACGAAACATTGGAATCGAAAGACTACAGGTTTTTATTGGCCAAGTCTCACTGATATCTCGCTCTCGGAATTGCGACTGCTTTTGGTCAGGCTGCGCAGCTTGCCCATGATTCCCTTCTTTTTCTTGCGTGGTCCTCGCGGTATGTCGCTCTGGGTAGATCCACCGGACAGTCGCGAGTCCAGGCGTGAGTCCAAGCTGGAGTCCCTCACCAGGCCACCCAGTTCGGAGTCAATAGATTGCATGGAGGACACACTGCCATCGTCTTGACGCCAAATATTCTGCAAGCACAGTCGAAGTTGATTTGAAAATAAGATTTGTTTCGGCTTAAGTATGCCATTAAATTGTCAACAAATTAATTTTTTGATGGTCCTTTTTAAATTGAATTTTAATGTAACTTAAAGGGGCAGGATTTCAGATTTATGGTTAGAATTTCATCGAAATCGGACGACTATGTCATATAGCTCCCATGAAAACAATAGAAATATAACAAAAAATTTTTTTAAAAATTTAACTTTTCTATTTTGTTATTTTTTTTTTTAACTCTTTGAATTATTAATAATTTGACAGTTGAGAATTACGGTTTTAATTTTATTCAAATCGGAAAACCATATCATATAGCTGCCATAGTAAATATCGTATAATTTAGCTACAAATCATCATAGCTTCAATGTCTTTAAGCATATACGCAAGTAAATCATAATTTTAATGTTTTCAAGAATTTCTGCAGAATATGAACTTCGGCTGGCCGAAGTTTGCTTCCTTTCTCGTTTTTTTTTTTAATATTCTTCAAGTTGTAGTTATTTTAGATTTACGGTTATATTTTGCTAAAATCGGACGATTATGTAATAAAGCTCCCATTGGAACAATCAAAATAATAATTAATACAAAAAAATTTAAGCTTAGCGTTTTTTAATTTTATTTTAACATTCTTTAAGAAAATTTTAAATACTTTAGATTTACGGGCTTAGTTTTTTTTTTTAATCGGACGACCATATCCTATAGCTCGCATAGGAACAATCTTAAATATTTATGAATAATTCAATTCCAATTTCAATTGATTTGAATAAACTTTTATATATGGTTTATTATTCCGGAATAACGGTTCTAATTTTATTGACTATGTCTTATATCTGCAATAGAAACAATCGAATAATTTAAATGAAAAGCAATACTGCTCATTTGGAAATATTGTTGTTTTAAATAATATTTAATTTTTGCAATAGCTTCAAGGGTATAAAAACTTTGCCTAGCCGAAGTTAGTTTTCTTTCTGTTTTTCCTGTCTTTATGATTTGTTTAGCATAAAATTTTTTGTATATTGCGCATAATGCATATTGTGTTGCATTGTTTGCTTATTGTGGATATTTTTGCCCATTTGGTCTATTGATGGGGTAAGGTCTTTTTGCTCAGCTCACCTGATCCCTTTGTATGGAGTGATCCAGTGAGAGGCTCTTCCGAATCAGACTGCCGTTGTTGGATGAGTTTCGGGATAGTCGACTTCCGCCCCGCTGCGAACCCGCAGCACTGGCCACTGAACTGGTGCTGCCATGGGGATCGTTTTCCTGCGAGGCAGCCCGACGCAGATTACTGCGCCTCATCCGGCTGCGCTCCTGTTCGTCCTCGTTCACCCGCTGGAACTTGCGCAGCTCCTCGGAGGCTTCCGCCAGTCTGGCCAGGACACTGGTGATCTGGGAACTGCTCAGGGTGGGCGACGGCGAGCGACTGCGCCGCACATTCGGCTGGTCCGGACGCAAGTTCTTGTCGTAGCCGGAGCTGCTGCTTCGCGCTGATCCCCCGCTGCCAACCATTTTCAGGTCGGGAGCAATCTTCACCAGCTCGTCAACGGTCTGCAAGAGGGCACCCACCTTACGATCTCCTCCGTCTGCCTCCATGCGTCGTTTGATCAGCTCTTTTTCGTAGCGCTCACGCTGAAATCAAAAGCTTTGGATATTAACTGGTGAAGTTACCAAACTAAAGGGGTCCATGGGCCCATGATATTATGTTTTCGAAATGGATGGGGGGAGTGAGTCAAAAATATTGTCAACTAAAAGAGCATTAGGAGAAAAAATGTTATCTAGTAGTCGGGGCACTCGATACACTTCGTTTTTTCGTGTTGCAAACTTAAAGGCACTTGACTGAAGATAGTTTGCCACTGCAGCTATAGTTCATCATCTCTGGTACTTTTAAGCAACCACATTTTATTATTTTTTTTTTAATATATCTTGAAGAATTTTTAACCAATTTTAGTATGATTTTTGCAAATAAATAGTCTTCTAAATGGACGTCATTTTTGTGCCTTCCTAACTTAAAAAGAAACGAATATATGCGCATTTTAATTTTCAAAAGAAAATGCCATCTTCCTCCATAAGGATCTTGCTTCAAAGTTAATATCTCGTTTACTATGAAAGCACTCACCTCGCGTCTCAATTTCTCGTTGGAGGTACGGAGTTTGGCGTGGACATCGCGGAGCTCCAGAAGATCGCACTGCAGCTCGGCAATCTTCTTGCGACCCTCCTCCATTTCCTCCTCGGTGGCCCGCTTGATCTGGTCGAGTTTCCGCTTGGACTCCAGCCGCTCCTTGTCGCGCTCCCGCTCCACCTCGAAGAGGGTCTGGCGCAGATCGCGGGCCAGCGTGGAGGTTTCCTGAAGCAGTCGCTGCTGATCCTCGCGCTCCTTCTGCCAGGACAGCTCCAGCTTGGTCTTCATGCCCGGCAGCTTGGTGCTGCCCGACCCGATGACGCGTTCCTCCTCGAACTCGTTGAGCTTCGACTGCATCTCCGATATTTTGATCTCGTTGGCGCTGCGCTCCGAGACGAGTTCTGTTTTAATCTTACTGGATTCCAGGCGGGATTCGACCAGCTGATCCTCTAGATGGCCAATCTGCAATGGAAAAAGCCAGAACGTAACCATACCTGATCAGTTGCGAGGCTTTCCAAAACTAGGCTAGTTTGTGATCATATACCTGCTGTTCCAAATAGGCAATCTTGCTCTTGTCGTCGTCATCGCTGCTGTGCATGGAGCCCCGACTCTGTCTTCCCGTGTTGTTGGCCTTGAGGTCGCCAATCTTCTTTTGGGCCACTTCCAGCATCTGCTTGAAGGCATCGCGATCCTTTTTGAAGCGTTCACATTGGCGCTGTTGTGAAGAAAAATGTTGTTTGTGGATTTCGATAGACTTTCACTATTTCATTTTTACTAACCTGCATCGAGTTGAGTTCTCCACTAAGGTTCTTAACCTGTTGCTCATAGCGAAGTCGCACAGTGGCCACTTCGGATTTCATCTGCAGTTCAGTGCTCTGTAATCTGTTGGCGAAAATAAATCATATTTATAGAGACTGTGGATGACTCAGAATTCAACAAAATTCAGTTTTATTATTAAAACTTAAAAAAACAAATTATTAAATTATTATTAAATAGAAAAAAAATGAAGTGGAAATATAAATATTTGGCTTACGTAATATTTCATATATCTTTCCAGCTATCGCAAAAATAAATCTTTTTTAAAACATCTAAATATCAATTTATATGTATATATGTTCAAGAACATTGAAGCTATTTTTGACTCAAATATTCGATCATTCCTATGGCAGCTATGTGACATCGTTTTTCGATTTGAATAAAATTAAAAGCTTAATTCTGAATTATAAAACCATTTCTATATCCAAAAGAAATAAGGAAATGTGTTCGTCTGAAAGTCGAGATCTCGAGAGAACTATAAGAGCTAGAGATTTGAGATTTAAGATGCAGATTATAGTAATTTCTAAGCAGCGCTTTTATTTTAAAGCGGAGTCACGCCTACTTTAACACTCAAGTCACTCTGAGATATGTTAGACCTTTGCCATGGAGTTATGATACACCTTCGTTTCGGTCAAACTTATCGGTAGACACAAAAATGTTCTAAAAAGAGGGCTATTATTTTAGAAGTTAAAAAGTCCTCTGCCGCCGCTCTGTCGCTGCTCTGCCGTTGGCTGAGTAACGGTTATCTAATAACTGCTTTCTTTCCTGTTTCGTTTATTTTTTTTTTAATTTATTTAAATTTAAATCGTAAGTCTCAAATAATTAACCATCATATCTTGAAGAACTACAAAAAATTCAAAACCAACTTATTGCGTTGCAAACTAATAAAAAAAAATAGTATAAAATATATAATATAAAAACATTTTTAATAACTGAATGGCCGGAAAAGGTTATTCCAGTATCTTAAGACGTTCAATTTTTGATGAGCTTTTCGAATTAAGTGCTGTCAAAAATATTATTGAATTTTAACCATGAGGAATGTTTGCGAATTCTTTTTCTGAAATCAGTTGGCAAATACACTCTTCATAGGAATGAGGCCTGTGTTCCTCGACTTACTGTTCCTTGAGCTCCCTGATCTCCGCCTCACGCCTCGCTCCGTGTCCATTTAGCGAGGATTGTGCCTGCTCGATCCGGTTGTAGTCGCTGAGCTTGCCATTCAGATCGTCGTTATCCTTGCGCAGCTGGAAGACCAGGTCGATGTTCATCTCGTTCTCCCGGCGCAGCCGTTCGTACTCGTGCTCCTTCTCGGCCAGCTTGTTCTTGAGGACGGTGCGCTCGTACTCGCTCCCGTTGCCATTGACGGATTTGAGGGCCTTAGCCTGCAGATCGGCGATCTTCTTCTGGGCCTCACTCAACTTGCGGGCCATGTCGGTGCGCTCGATGCGGATGGTGTCCATTTCGGAGATCTTCTGCCTGTGGGCGTTCAGTTCGGACTGGAGGCTCTGCTTTTCGGTGGTGAGTTGGGCCCGCATCAGAATCGTTTCTTCGGAGAGCTTCTCCCAGTGGTTGTTGAGGTCCTCGTAGCGCTTCTGCTCGGCGCTCAATGAGGCCTGAACCTCCTCCACCTGCTTCTTGAGGTCCTGCACCTGCTTGCTGTCCGATTTGCTCGTCTTGGTCTTGAGCTCCTTTATCTCCTTCTCCAGACTGGACTTGCTCTTCTCGGCCGACTTCTTGGCACTGACCAGATCGGCATCCAGCTGAGTGATCTTGTCCTCCAACTTCTCCTTCTCCTTGGCCTGTTTTTCGATGTCCTTCTCCAGGCTGGACAGCTTCTCCTTCTCCCGCTTACTTTGCGTCTCCCAAGACGACTTGGTCGTTTCGCCCAGCTTAAGCTGCGCCTCCTGCTTCTTGACCTTCTCCTCCAAGTCCTTCAGCTTTGAGTTAAGCTTCTTGGTGTCCTCGTCGCTTCGCTTGAGCTTCTGTTCCAGTTCGCTGACTTTGCTGCTGGCTCCGTTCAGCAGCTTCAATCGCTGGACATCCCCTTCGGCGAGGGACAGTTTTTGCTTGCACTTCCTAAGATCCTCCTCCAGCGTTCCCTTGGCCGTTTGCAGAGCCTTGAGTTGGTCGGTTCCACTGGAACTGAGCATGACACGCATCTCACCTATCTCGTCCTCCAGCTCCTCCACCCACTTCTTAAGGTGGCTCTTGGGCGTCAGGTCGTTGACTCTTTTGGCTGTGCGGGGCGGCAACTTGGCTTCCGCCTCCAACTGCATCCGCTTGAGCCGGGCCGTCAGCTCATCCCTTTCCCGCTGGGCCAAGGCCAGCGACTCCTTCACCTTCTGATCCACCTCTCCATTCTTTTCGCTCGCCTTTCGCAGCGCCAGCAGACGCTTGTTTTCCTTGGCCAACTTTTCATTCTCGGCCTCGATTGTGTCCAGCTTGCTGAGCTGAGCCTTCAGCGTGTCGGCAGCCTGCTCCTTTTCCAAAAGAGTCCTGCGCAGTTGGGCCAGCTCCTCGTTGAGGACCTTCACCTTCTTTTCGGCCGCACTGGACGAGGTGCCGAAACTGAGCAGAGAGGATTTGCTGCCATTGGAGCTGTCCTGTCGCAGCTTGGCCTGCAGTTCCCTCACGTACTTCTTGGACTCGGCATTCTCCTTCTCCAGATCCTCCACTTTGAGCCGCAGGATCGAGGCCTCCTGCTCGTTTAGCTCCAACAGTATCCTCAGCTCAGCGGGATCATCCTCGTCGGAGATTCCCTCGTCGCGATCGGCGTGAACTTCGGGTGCCAGTCGATGGGGATGCGGTGTGGGACTCAGCTTGCGACCTAACCGAAAATCATCAAATTAATTATCACTTAAATTTCTATTCTATTTTTTGTTTTAATAACGCTTTTAGTTAGTTACTAGCATTTAGAATTTAGATAAGGGTGGTTTTGATTAGTCACTGTTAATTAAATGAGCAGCCGCAAAAAATGGCAAAGTACTGATTCGGTTTATGTATTAATAAGCGTATGAAAAATCAAGTTAGTTGGTTAAGAAACATCCTCGAAATTCGGTTAAAAGAAGTCAAAATATAGGTTAAGTCACGCTGGTTGTTGAGCTTTTTCGACCTTTGCCTAAGTTTATGATGATTAAATTCCATGGTTGTCATTTAAATGAAATGAAACGAAACCCTCTGAGTTACAATTGTATTTGTCAAAGTTAGTTTGGATATTATAAACTAAAGTGACAACCATGGCGGTAAAATTAAAATGAACTTGATTAACTTGTCTACGAACTAAGGTTAAGTACTTAGTTTATTTAACTGTCTACTTGGGTGTATCGTTTGGTTCGTACTTCTTGAGCGCGTTGCCATTTTTTTCAACTGCATCATCAAAGACTCATTTTCATCCTCGAAACGAGTCACCTTTTTCCTCATATGTTCAGCCTGAAACACAAAAGCTTGATTTATTGCAAGGGAATAAGGAAGAGTAAGGCATATATTAATATATAGATTAATGAACCATTCAGAGATCGTATTCGAGGATAAAAATAGTTTTGGAGAGCTCTGACTAATGAACGGCACATAAACTGGTTCTACAAATGGTTGCTAAACAAGAAAAGGCATTGGTGCGGATGCGGATCGTATCCTTGGACGGATCCTCCCGGCCAGGTTCTTGATACCTGCTCCACTCAGAAGGACACGCGAAATGGCGCTGGGGAAGAGCAAGGATCTGGACTGGCCCACTCTGGCAGACGATGAAGGTGGAAAAAGACCCACAAATGGAGACGGCATGGTTTGCAGTTCCGCAGAAGCATTACTATCGATCGTTTTAAAATTAGTTTGGGTGACCGCCTCTCTGGAGGTCACCAGGTTCTCCGAACCGCTAGATATTTCGCTCTGGACTTCGGGCTCGGTTTGTGTGCCCCGGGGGAAGGCCATCACCTCATGGGACGCATCGGGTGAGGTTTGAGTGCCACAACTGAATCTAACCCGCTTTCGCTCGCGATCCCTGAGTCGCCGAAGCTTCGTGAAAGTGGTCAAATGATTAATCGGATGGGTTCTGTGCGTCACGCGGCATTACCTCCTCTTCGGCGAACTTCAGTTGGTCCTTGAGGTCCGTCTCCCGTTCAATCGAGTCCTGCAGCTCGCGCTGAAGGTGCTGAGGATCCTCCTGGGAGCCGCCACGTGTGAGGGACTCTCGGGTGATTTTGGCATCCGCCGACGTGGATTTGCCTAGGACCCCCAGCATAGGTGCCTTCTTCTTGCCGGGATTGCGTAGCTCCTCGGCCTCGGCCTGGTTTTTGATGGTTTTGATTATTTTTATTAGTGCACTTCTGGAACCCCTTTTTTGGTCACTCACCTGCAACTTCCGGGTGAGCTCGTTGGAGAAACGCAGCTCCTCCTCCAGTTTCTTGACCTTGTTGCACAGCTCAGCGTTGAAGGAGCTTTGGCGCTCCTGCTCCAGGGTTTCGATCTTGCGATCGCTTTTCTTCAACTTAAAGCTGAGGATGCGACAGTTTTTGGTGGCCTTCTCGAGGTCCTTCTGCAGACTGGTCTTGGCCTTCACCTCGTCGTCGCGGAACGTGTCCTGCACCTCGTCCATCTCGGCCTGCAGGTTGAGTATCTCCTTCTTGGCACTTTGGTTTTCCTCCATCAACTCCTCGCATATCTGCTCGGCGGCCTGCAGCTTTCGACGGAGCTCGGACTCGCTGCCCTTGTTCTCCAGCTCCTTCATCCGCAGGTTGAGTCGGCGCTTGTCCTCGTTGACGCGCTCCAGTTGCTCCTTCATTTCGTTCAGCTTCTGCTGGAGAACAAGCGCCTCCGAGGCAGCGGTCCGATTGGAGGCGGTGTCCATGGAGGCCAGACGCCGCAGAAGAATGTCACTCTTGTCTCGCTCCGCTCTTTCGGCCCGTGTCTTCATCGACTCCAGATCCTGTCGCAGTGTCTTCACCTCGTCCTGCATAGCCTGCGTGTCCTGGGACTTGGATGAAGTGGCCATGGCGCTGGTGTTGGATGCCGATGCTGCCGGTACGGTTTGTCTTTTGATTTCTTTGCCAGCCGTCGCCGCATCCGTCTCCTTGCGACGAACCGAACTTGAACTAGTCGAGGAACTCAACGAGGATGATGCCTTTACTTCGCCGCTGACGGAAGTGGAGATCTTTAGGGAGGTGCTGGTGCTGCTGCTGCTGCTGGACGCAGTCGTGGTGGTTGGCACCGCCACTTTCTTTGGCGGCAGGGAAGCTCGCTTCAGCTCGGCTTGGGGCGTCTGATTTAGGGCAGTCCCCGACTTGCTGCGCTCTGGACGATCAGGAACCACGGGTGCTGAGGCAGCTGTAGACTCACTTTCTCTAATGGTTAAGAAATGGATTACACTTTAATAATCAAAATTTCTATATATGAAGCTAGCCTTTATTGTATACAGCCAATTCTCAAAGAAACTCACTCTTCTCTCCGAGGAACGGATCGCTCCCGACTGTTTTCCCTGGAGTTCAAACTGCGCTGTTTCTTGAGAAGATTCATTTTGCGGACACGCTCTGCTAGACTGTCTGTCGATAGGATGACTAACTCATCTGGAATACTTGAAGTTTTACTGGGTGAGGATGTGACACGGGTTGGCGGTGTAATAGCTGGTTCCACCTGCATACAACGAATGTTTAAAGAAAGACATTAACAGTTGTTACAATTACTCAATAAATCAGATACAAGTTCCTAAAAAATTAGTTGAATTTTCTGAAGCTTCTGAAACATGGCCTTAATGCAAAATAGGTAGAAAAAAGAAATATTAAAATGGCTCCAAATTTGTATCCTTTTTAAAATATTATAAATAAAAAAACCCTTTAAATTTGGGGTTAAATTTGTATGAATTTTTGTTTGCATCTACAGTGGCATTAAAAGAGATAAAAAAAACGTTCTTAATTTATTTTAAATGAAATAAAGACTCCTACCCAACTTTTAACAAGTTTCCTCCAATAAGGGAACTAATAATTCAGTGAAATGTCTGTAGGTTGGGACACCTTTTTTTTCTGTGTCTTTTGGTCATTGTGTAATACAGTGTTTATCACCGTCCATTTAAACAAAATTTTTGTTATTAAAAAAATGTAAGTTTGTAAACTTTTCCCATTAAAATATAAGTACGTTATTGGATTTGTATTGAATATGAGAAAATTAAAATGAAATTTCCCTTCTAGTCCTTTCAGCTTTTTGACTTAAAGTTGGCTGGTACGTAAACCTTTTAATACCGTTCAAAAAGGGCCGTGTTTGATACACGCTGCATGAATTTTGTTGTTTAGGTTTAGCTATAGAATACTTTAAACTCTCTACTTTCCCCTCTTAATGTTAAATTAAAAACTTTATTCCATATTACTGGCTTCAAGATCTTCAATTATTTTGAAGACACTCATATTAATTATATTCTAGACCAAAGATAAAGTGCTGGAATAAAACCAAGTCTATTGGTAGCAATATAAAAAACAGCTTACATATACATATGTAAAGCACAGAAACAGTACGTATGAGTAATAATTTTCGAAGCTATTTCCCAACGCCCTAAGCTTATTTTATTTTTTTAGAGGCATAAAAGGCTATATTTAAAAGTTGAGAACAGTGTTAAATACATTTATCTTCACAAAACTCATCATCCATATCTTACCTCCTTGATGTCTAAGGCGGTTGTGTGTCGCCGTGGCGGCACCGGCAGCTTCACCGTAACAGCTACATTGTGATCCTCGACGGCGGCTGCTCGACTGGTGGTCGATGCTTGCGGACGGCGTCCGGCATCGTCCGGCTCGTCAATATCCGGCGTGGAGGCCCATGATTGCGGGCGCTTTTTCAGTTCTACATTGAAGTGGACAACTGGGTTCAGTAAGGACGTCAGGTGGCGACATGCAGGTGCAAGTTTTGAGTTGGAGGTTGCAGTTAGCGTTGAATTGCGCTCGCATACGTGAGTGCGAGAGTGAGACAAAGGGATGCCAGAGAATGAGCGAGAGTGAAAGATAGAGCGGGAGCACAGTACAGATCACGCGACGCATGGTAGTAGTTAACGTTAGCGGTTCATTGAATGCAGAGATTAGTGTTGAGAGAGAGAAAAAGAGACAGACACAGAGCGACAACGGTGGCACAGTTGGTGTTGGTTTTTTGTGCAAACGTGAGAGAGTGAGAGAAATACGAAGACAAACACATGGATTAGGATTCGTAACATATGTATGTTTAGCAACTTAAATAATTAAATGTGGGAAACGATTTCTCAATGTCGGGATTAATTAAAAAAACAACAATAATATGTTTAAAAAAAGGTTTTTCTTTTCAATTCATATTTTCATATTTTCACATTTTTTTTCAAGGGTCGAACTTTGTAAATATTAAAATTTTTTTTTACCTTTACCAAAATTTAAATTTAAAGCATAATATGAATATTGATGTTGGATGTAACCGTAATTGAAATTATCTGTATCGGGTTTAATTCCTGAGTATAATTTTAATGTAATCACAAATATAATTATACTTAAATATGGCCATTGAGAAATCGCTTACAAAATGTTTATTAATACAGGTATTAATAGAAACCGGCAATAAAAATTTTTAAATCAAACATGATTGGTACACGTTTACACAAACTCTTTAAATTATTTTTAACAGTTGAACATCTTCAAATAAAAACATCTTAATAAAATTAAGAACCAATATAAGTTCTCTAAACCTTTAGTTTGTTATCTTTTATGAGAACACACTTATTTCATACAGAAGATAACAAGTGACGATCTACATTTTAATGATTTTCTACTAACGTACTAAAACGTTTATATTTTAAATTCATACCTATATCATTGCCGTTGGTTGTATTGGCGCTGGTAAGATTCTGAGTTGACGTCCACGTCCGCGAAGAGGGTCTAGGGAAAAAGTTTTTATACTTTGATCCGATTGAAACAATCATTCGGAGGACTTACCGCGAACTCTGGGCATCGGAAAGATTTGGGGAGGACGCAGCCACCTCATCGCCGGCTCTACGGGCTCCATGCTCTTTGTAATCCCGGAAGCAGCGCTTACATCGCGTGGGATATCGAGTCTGGGGATGAAAGCCGAGTGGGCAGAGCTGATCGCCTTTTAGCGATGGGTACAGATGATGCATCTGTTCTCGTACAACTTATCAGCTTTTCTTTTTCTGAATAATTTATGAAATTAATATCATTGTTAAAATTATGACTGTCATTATTATCCTTTTCAGTACCGCCACATTAAAAAGGTTTTATCCTAAAGCTTATTTAGCCCGTCTGTCTGTTTGTTTGTATACCTTTTGTGAGCTAAGTTTAAAAGCAAAATATTTAAAACTTGCCCTCCAGGAAAACTTTTTTTTTAAATTTTTTTTCTGTCAATAATATGTTGAAAATATTCTGTACAAATTTTAAGTCAATCCGAGTAAAACTAACGGAGTTACAGCGTTTCAAACGACCGGCAGTTTTACCAGATTGTTCACGTATGAAAAACTTTAAAACGATCTGCCCGAAAACGTATTTTTTGAAGTTCGTGACCATCAGAACTCAAAATCTACTGAACTATCTTTTTGAACATTTGAACATTACTTCTTCACATAAATCAGCAGGTAATCATTTAATAATAACAAATTAACCCCGATTTTGTTTAGCTAAAATCGCGTTGTTCTTTTCAAAATGCTCAAAAAATGAAAAAAAAAAAAAAATTTTTTTTTTATGATTACCTCGAAAAATTCATCAGCTTTAAAATGCATATACATTTTTTTTATCTATTACTCCGGTCACGAGTTATTATGTTGACCGCAAGCCAACTTTTTTTCAAGGCGCCTCCGAAGATTCATAAAAACAACCCTTTTTCGCCTTTAGAACTATTACTAAATTTTTGGAAACCTTATTGACTTATTAACTGAACAAGACATTGAAAAACTTCAGCACGTTTCGTTTTCTAGGTTTTTAGTACACTTGGACCCCAAGATATATATGTAGTTCGCTCGATCAATATTCCCAATCGACTGGTTTCGTGCAAAACTGAGGAATTTTTGGCATTAATCCAAATCAAGAAAAGAATGTTGTTCACGTACATCACATAGTAAAACATTTTCAGCCAATACACATTGCTATCACTCACTTGGCAATTACTTTTAAATACCATGGCTGCCTTCGGATTTTTTATTTATTTTTCTTGTAAGTGTCTTTGAATCAGAAATCAACTGTTATAATTATTAAACTTCGATTTTCTCTAAAACTTATGTCTTCGAATACATTTAACATGAACATATTAAATGTCATATGTCGCTGAATTCAATATCTGGTCAAACGAGTTTTGACAATTAGCTGTTAGCTCCGCTGAGGCAGATTGAGATTAAAAATCCATTCAATCCAATCCAGGTTTTGCTTAATATTAGAAAATTTGTAATCGTTTTATATAATAAAATATATTGTTACATTGTAATAGCATTATGTCCTCTTCTTTACCAGACTTTTTCGGATGTATTGAAATTATTATTGAAGTATCGAACGCATATTGTATCCACTAATTTACAGTGTTGGGAAGTTCATATAACCTTGCAGCTTTTGCAAAAATGTAATGTTCTTGAAAATATTTAAATTTTGTTTATTTATTTTATTTGCGTATATGTTTGAAAACATTGATTCTAAACTATTAAAATAACAAGTAAGGAAGCTACATTTTTTTATTTATTTTTTTATTATAAATTCTTTATATTAAACCATTACTATATCTCTAAGATTTATAAAAAAATTAACAAAAAAGCAAAGCTATAATTCTTTTTCATTTATTTCCGATTGTTCCTATGGGAGCTATATGTTGCAATATACTACCTGCAATAAAAAACAAATTTTGGGAAAGTTTCATGCAGATAGCTTGAAAACTGAGAGACTAGTTTGCGTAGAAGCGGACGGACAGCCGGATATGGAGATCGGCTCTCCTAGTGATACTGATCAAGAATACTTTATATACTTTATAGGGTCGGAGATGTCTCTTTCACAGCGTTGCAAAGTTCTGACTGAAATTATAATACCCTCTGCAAAGGTATTAAAAAACGCTGTAGCCGAGGTTCCCGACTACCTAAAATAATAGTTTGATTTAAAAATATACAGCCCCAATAACTAATTTATACCATTTCTCAGAGTGATATGACAGAATTTCGCGTTTTATGAGCGTCAGAGTGGGCGTGGGCACGTTTTGAAAATGCACTGCGTTAGAATAACTAGAATCAAATCCCAAATATCCTGCTTTATAGTTTCCAAAATCTCCAAGTTCATACCAATTTTTTTTAAAATTGTTTTTAAATCATATCTTCTTATAGAAAAGGAGAACGGAAGCTAGCATCGGCCAGACGCAGTGTTAAGGGGATATTTTTGTCTAGAAGCCTGCATTTTGTTATGGTTTTTATTGACATTTTAGGAATACAAATAAATACAAAAAGGCCGAGATACAGGCCTTTGGAGTCTTCAAAAAAATCCCTGCTTCCTGTGGACATTATTTCAGCTATTGTAGAGATCGGAAAAAAATCAAATAATTTCTTAATTAAAAAAGATGCCGATATCGGGTTGACCACTGTAAAAAAAAATAATTTAAAATATCAAAACGACGTCGATTTAAAAGTAGTTCTGAGAAACGCGTTTAAAGTTTAGGAAACTATTTTAATGACTCGGACGCCACTTCACAAATTGGCTGTGTCTCCGAAAATAACTAGAGTTTTTAAAAATCCTTTAAGGATTATATTTTTAACAGTCTAAACTTTAAAATATGCTAACAAATTATTTCGTCCGGTCTACGAGGTTTTTTAACATGATCAATGTACATATGAGAAAATACGATTTGGAAAATTTCAAGAATCAAGCTCGAAAAATCGGATTCGGCAAACCGAAGTTTATATACCTTTGCACCTAATGCAAAATTAATTGAATTGATGATTTTGAGCTTAATTATTCAAACGTTCCTATGGCAGCTATGTGATTTCGTTTTCCGAAATCGGAAAACTATATCATATAGAACTATCGAATAATTGAGCTGCAAATCACCATAACCTCAATGTTTTTAAACATTAACGCAAGTAAATGATGATTTTAATGTTTTGAAGAATATTTAATTTTTGCAATAGCTGCAAGGATATATGAACTTCGGCTTGCCGAAGTTTGTTTCCTTTAAAAGACTATTTTATGGTGATGATTAACTTAATCTTTTGTTTTTTTTTTTCAGATGATGCAGTTCTCTACAATTCACCGCATCTCAAAACAGAATAACGAAATTTTCTTATCAGATCTTTTTTTACATAGTTACTTAATGATGTTTAATAATTTTGTATATATATAAATATTTTGCTCTTAGATATCCTAATGATTTATTAAATAAGGTAGTTTTCGGGAACAAAGTTCATGAAAATAATATTTTTGCTTTGGAATTTGGCAATTGTTTGCTCCCGAATTGAATATGGCTGGCTTATTTGGAGTCCCAGTGCGGAGATTCATGTTAAAAGAATTGAGAGACCGCAAAAGAAATTCTTAAAATTAGCGCGTTTGACACTAGATCGTACTCCGGAATATGGCACCTTGTGCATATTTAATTTCTTTGTTTTTTCGAAATCTAGTCGCCGGATGACAATGCATCTGTCCTAATTTTCTAGCTCTTTTAAATTGTTCTGCACCTCTAAGGACCTTATCGCCATTTTACGTGTGACCACATAGAACCAATCAACAACCTTAAATTATAGTCAAGACTTAAAATTAACATAGATATATTTTCGCCAGATAAGGATTTTTTTTTAATAATCCGTTGTTGACGAACAATAAGTAAATACATAAACTTTGTTGGGGTAAGTTTTGTACCTACATAAGTCATCGATACGTTTTCCATATCTGTAATTTCAAGCAATGCACTTCTTACAAACAGTAAACATCCGAAAATAAATGGTAAATATAAACAATAACAAATATGTATCCATCTGTTGTATATTTTTAGAGCGATCAAGAGAGCGAGGAGCTAATAAACTAGCACAGGTGGAAGTTGCGCAGGCGATTCTCTACCGCTTGCGCATGTTTCTTGTCGAAAAATAGGAACTTGGACCTAAGAGCGAACTGCAGAGAATGACTAGAAGCTTTCAGCACTCCTTTCACGCTTTTCTCTTTACTCTCTCTCTCTCTCTTTGCGAGCGTTGCAAATCCCTAGTGCGTTTATAAATAATTGTCACCGTTTTAACCTATTTTGATCTGAAGCGTTCTGAACGTTTTTCTGCGGCGGTACTTGCAAAACGTGTGACTTAATTTAGAACGCCATCGACTCACACGAAATACTTCCGCATTTAGAATAATTTGCGGCTGGACGACGGGGAATGGGGCCAGCCTCTTGGATGTGGATGTGGACGTGGATGTGGATGGTGTGGATCTTTCAGCTGTGTTGCGTAACCGTCGGGTCGGGATTCTGTGCGTCTTGCTCGGGATTATTCAGCGGCATTCACCTGCCCATTACACCATGCATTAATTCATTTCATCAATAAGAAATATACATATGTATATCCTTTTCTTCACTTTCGATCACACACAACGGTTTGTTTGATTTAATTTTGGAACTTTCACTTCACAAAAATTAGCTGTGGTTTAAAAATAGCATAGTTTTTCTTGCTAAATAACAGCGCACTGCCCATAAATCTTCCCAGCGGATTTCAAATGCAAGACTTTTCGGAAATATATGAAAAGGGCTGCCTCCGTTCAGAGACTACCATATATTTGTTTACACTATCTTCAATACCACCATCCACGCACTGCAACGCTTCCAAATTTTCTTATTTTTCTTGAGTCTCATGCACGCAGGCAGGGCCGCCGCACATATGTATATTTATAAAGCTTTAATATAACCGTCGATCGGCCGAGCACTCGAAATACTTATATAGATAGCTGCCATGCGAACCGGGCGCTGTTTCCTGGCACTGTTTTTGGGTTGTGAACGCGTTGGAAATCGGCAAGAAACTAAATTTAAATTATTTGTGAAAGCTTAAACTACCAGTTGGGCGACGTAAGATATTTTCCTTAAGAGAATCGAAATCGTCAGAGAGAATCGGTGAGAGGTATTTAAATAATGTGAATATTTTTAATATTGTGAATATTTTGAATAAGGTAAAAATCTCGAAGCCCAACCGGTATTTCTCAGTTTTCTATCTTAACGATTTTGGAAATAAATATTGTTAAACATTCAAAGTATACTTTAAGGGGAAATTTACAAAAAAAACGAGTATAAAATTGAAATATAAAAAATCTCGTCTTTTTAACTTTTGGCATAATATAAGAGAAATGCATTTACTCGCACTTTTAATTTTGCAATGTTCTTTTGTGATCGAAAACCGCTTTAATTAATAGCTAATAGATTAAAGCTTAAGATTTCTATAACTCGAAGGTTTGATTGAGATAAAGTTATGGGTTTTTGTTTTATTATTAATGGGCCATATTTCCGTAGAAAATATTGCTGCTTAAAAGCACGCTTATAAAAATATGTTTTTACATTTATTGTTTTATTTATGTATGTATATTGAGTTCTGACCAAACTCTTTTACTATGCTATGAGTCATACAAATAATTTAAACACTTTGCTTTTGTCACTCAGACTAGAACCAATTGAAGCAAACGCATGAAAAGCTTGCGGTCCTTATACTGCGGAACATCATAAGTCAGGAATTATACATAGAGCTTAGGTAATTTTACATTGTAATTAAATACATTTTTTATTCAAATTATATGTGACCTTATTAGAATGCACAAGCTTCTGGTTAATCCTCGATTTGTTATTGAATTTATTTAGAAATCATAAAATCGACAGAGTACATTGTACATTACATTGGTGTGTGTGTGTGTGAGTGGGTTTACCTTCCATTAAATGATGAATTTCATTGTTTACAATGCTTATGGACATTATGCTGTAATGCGTATGTATAAATTACTTAGAGATTATCAATCGCTAAGTTCTAATGCAGGTTATGTGTGCCCTCTCCATACGCGTGCTGTTTTTTGAGTGGGTGAGTAAATAAGATAAAACAGCGCTGCGTTCGGAAAGAAATGAATCAAGAACGTGGAGCACCTGCGCCTATCATGTTGCGGGCGCTGCAGTCGCTTGATCCTCGTCTGATTCGTTTGCTGTCGTCACTGGCGGCGGCGCACTGGTTGGATTGACTGCAGGTCCGTTGTTGTTCTCATTGGCCTCCGGTTGCTCAGCGGTCGCAGCAGTTTCCAGCGCCACGGCGGGTGCTTCTGATTCACTTTGACTTTGACTCTGAACTGGGGCAGTGTTGAATGTGCTGGTGGCGACGGCGGTGATGGCCTTCGCGGGCGGCTCCGGGCTGCAGTACGTCTGGATGACCGAGTTGTTGTTTATGTTCTCCACTGAGGCGCCCGATATGGACAGGTCGTCGGCGGAGTCGTCCGCCGGACTGTCCGTCTGCACGGCCTTCTCCTCCAGCAGATGGTCGCTCTCGCGGATTGGTCGCTGGGCAGAGCCGTACTGCTTGGATATCTGAAGCAGCTCCCGCAGAGTTTCGTTCTCCAGACGCAGCTGGGAAATGGTTTGCAGCTCCCGCTGGACCACGCCGTCGTCCACACTGGCCGCCCGCTGCATTACGGCGGCCATTTCGTTGATCTTCTCGCGCTGCTCCCGGATCACCTGCCACATGCGCTCGTTGTACAGCTCCTTGAAGCTGAACTTGCTGTCCAGGACCTTGGAGACGGTGTGTTCGCGGTACTTTTGCATCATCAGCTCCATGACGCGTTCGTAGTCCTCGATGCAGATCTTCAGCTCACGGTTCTCCTTGAGGATCTCCGAGCTGTTGATGTTCTGCTGCTGGATGCGATTGACCATGTCCGCGTTGGTCTTGTTGTTCGAGATGCGGTTAAGGGATTCAATGTCGTCCTGGTACTGGCGCAGGCTCTCTACCAGCCTGTTGTTCGTCTCCGCCTCCTCCAGGAGCGCCGTGCCCAGGGCGTCCAGGTCCTTGACCCGGCTGGCCATGCGCTGCGCGTCTATTATCATCTGGCCCACGGATAGGTTCGACATCCTGCCCAGTCCGTTTGCGAATTTATGATTTCTATTGTTTTTGAGGCCAGGCCCTCTGCTGCGGGCTCTGCAAAAACAATGGAAACTCGTGCATTTGGGGATCTCTAGGACTTTACCAACGGGGCTTACGTTCGGTGCGGGTTTAGAGCAGCTTCGTCCTTAGCTTAATCGCTTCATTTGATTACTCGGCCAAAATATGTAAAGAAAAAACGATACTAATAGAAATTTTGACGACGACCCAATTATTTTAGCTGACAGCTTATTAAATCCCAAACGCCTTTGCTTATCGATAAAATCCCTAACGCCATACCATTGCACTCGCAGAAAAATACCGCGGCACCTTGTCATATACCATAATTTGTGATTTTAGTTCAAATTGCATTTGAATTTTTGGCGGGAATCTGACAGATTCTTTTTTTTGCAATTAAAGTTAATCAAACTGACTAGGTATTGTTATGAATGGTTATGATTTATAGTAATCTTCTACATGGACTGCTTTCCACAATCAATTGGATTTGGAGACAATATCTTTAAAATTACAAATGAATTACCAAAAGACAGATCAATAAAAATGTTACAAAAACAAACATTTTGTATTCCCTTCAATTTTGAAAATTTCAAAGGATTTGAATATTATTAAAAGAAATGAAGCTACAAGCTTTATTGTCATTTTTGTAATGGTCATTAAGAAGCTATCAGTACAGATTTTGATCTTATCGCGAAACTTGGAAGACTTACCATAGAATGGACATAATGCTGTTCTTAAACGATCAAGCATGCATAAATCTAGAGATGCCTATTGAAGTCTTAACACTATGTGGTATACGTATAAGTACAAACAGTAAAGGTTTTGTCATTCAAAGTGGTAGATAAAACAGAGGTAGAGGAATAGCATAATACATCGGGCGTAGGGATGTACGGACTAAAGATCACGAGATTGCGATTACACGCCAACGCTGTTGAGGCTTCCCGAAGATAGGTTCTCGGAGCGACTGGACAGTCGGGGACGCTTCATAAGTACTCGGCCCGGCTTTCCGGGATTGTCGACAGGTCCCACCTCTGCGGATTGATTCAGATTGTTGTTGTTGCCGTTGCTGGAGCCATTGCTGCCAGCGGCACGTTCCAGCGTGCGTTGTGAGCGACGCAGCGAGGAGGAGGACATTCTCCGCAGGCCGGGATCGTAGTCGTAACTGGACTGTCGCTGATAGTAAGCCACATCCTGGTCGCTGTCGTTCTTCTCCTCCATCGCCTGCTGCTGCTGTTGGGCCAGCGGATTCAAGGTAATGTGTATGTGTCGGGTTCGCTGGCGCTGCTTGGAGGGCGAGCAGTTTCCCAGTGGCACGAAATCTTCCCGCAGCTCAGCCAGTCGTGGCTTGTTCTGATTGTTTCCCCTGCCGCGAGAACTCTTTCGCCGGCACACACACAAACAAGTGCTGATCAGCAGAAGTATAAGCACTGCACCACCGCAAATTGTGCCGGTCAACATGGGACTCATGCTGAAGGTCTCGTTGTGACTGGGAGTTGTCGTGTCCCGGTCGCCCGGCTGCAGAGTTGGCTCTTCCGTGGTGATGGTCCTGGGTCGCTGTGTGCGTCCCTGCTTGAGGGCACTAAATTCGGATGCGGAGACGGCGCTGAAGGACTGCAGCTTGAACTCGTAAATGGTGGCCGTCTCCAAGGGCGCAATTTTAAAGCTCCTCGCCTGCGCTCCCTCAATGGTGGCCTTGAAATACTCGCCCGCTGAGGACGAGGGGCGATAGTAGGCGTAGTATCCGGTGATCAGGCGTTCATCCGCATCGCTGGCCAAACTCCAGTGCAATACCACCGCCGTTTCCGAATGCTCCTCGATCTCCAGTAGCTCCGGCACCGGCATCGGATCCAGGGCTGCTCCGGGCTGGAGATAAAACTTGGCCGACGTGTTGCTTTCCTTGTTATCGTTGTTGGAGTAGACGGCCAGAATGCGAAAGCGGTAGGTGTGCTGGGGCTTCAAGTCAGTCACCGAGGCCGTAAAGCTCTTGCCCATCTCGGAGTTCCATTTTGGTTTTCCGTAGGGTATATTGTCGTTGGTAGTCTGCCAGCTCTTGCGCTTTCCCATCATACGGTACTGCACCTTAAAGATGACGATTGGCCATCCATCGTTGCGGGGCACCATCCAGCGTAGCATCACGGATTCGTCGGTGAGTCGGGTCACGTTCGGGGGAGATGGTGGAAACATCTGTTTCTGCTTGGGACCCTGGTTCGGTTTCGGTCGGTGGGTTCCCCCCGATTCTCGGGGTTCTTGGATCTGCTTGGGATTTACCTGCAGCAGTGTACCCGCACTGTGCTCTCCCAGACTATTTCGGGCAAAGCACTGAACATAGCCGGCATGACGCTTCTGGACACTGTGCAGTATCAGTAAGTTGTTGGAGAGCTCAGCCTCCGTGTCATCAATGCTGCTGTGTCCGTTGAGGAGCCAGTAGATCTCTGGCGTAGGGACTCCCGTGGCCTCGCACTCCAGCTGTAGACGTTCACCCTCGTTGGTAAGATTCGCCCAAGGTGGCCGCACAATCTGCGGCGGCCGTTCCACGCGCACCTGTATGTAGTGCTCCAGCGCGGGACGCACTCCGTTGTCCTGAAAGCAGATATAGGTGCCTGCATCTTCAACTCGGATGTCGGATATCTCCAGAGCATGGCCAAATACTTTGGAGCGATTATTTTTAACAGCTCCAACGACATCGGGGCTGCTCCACACAACAGTGGGTGGCGGTGAGCCAACTCCAGGGCACAGCAGCAGGAGCGAGCTTCCTTCTCGACCGGTTACCATTTGGGATTTGGGCTGCCCCTTCAGCCAATGCGGGGAACTGCTTTGCGACCTCTGGGCTGATGTAACCTGCAGTTGCAACGAGGCGGCCAGCTGGATTCTCTCGCCAGAGGCAGGATTCGTGGCCTGGCAAGAGTAGCTGCCTGAGGATTCGGCGGATACGTTGCTTAGGAAGAGGTTTCCATTGGTTCCAGCGAATTCGGCTTTAATTTCCACTCGATTCCGGTAGTAAGACCAGCTGGCGGCTGGATTGGATTGCACCTGCTGTCCGCAAGGCCAGAGCACAGAGTTCCCGGCAGTCACCCGCCATTGGAGGGATGGTTCCGCGTCCTGGCCGCCCACTAGCCTGGTGCTGGCCAGCTCCAGTCGGGCTGTGGTGGAGGTTACAACCAGCGGACCAAACCAGCCGATGCAGCGGTACTCCCCCAGAGTGTCCGGTCGGACGAGCAACCTGAGCCGCGAGATGGCCGCCTCCTGGGAGACATTCGCCTTGGCATTGCCTGTGCGCAGGTATTTAAAGGCGGCTCCTGGGGATTTGCCAGTTCGGTGGCTCCACTCGAAGCGCTCTGGTTGCAAACTAGTCTCGCACTCCAGCACCACCTCGTCTCCCAGGGGCGCCACCAAAGATTCGGGTGCGCGAAGAATTCGCACGCCCGGCGAGGGATGTGCGGGGGACTTATCCAAAACCGGAATTGCTTCGAGCCGCGACGTCAGCAGCGAAATGAGCAGCAGCGAGGACGTGAGCAGCGTCATTGAAGGGGCTGCTGCAATTGACGGGGTTCACCCGAAAATATTATTACTATTACGTGCCAGACCCCGAAACAGGGGAAAACTGGTCAACTTACCTTGCTTCTAGGTTTTTCGCGTGGTTCTGGGTGATGAAACGCGTTTGCGTTTGCGCAGTTAAGAATTTTTACTCTCGACAATCGCGCATCACTTATGGCTTATATGTATGTATTTGTGTGTGTGTGTGTGTGTGTGTGTGTGCGCCTGTGGAATCGTTATTTATGCACATTACACGTTAACGATGCAGGTCCGCAAAATCAATGTATCTTTAATTCAGGCTTTGATCGGGCCCCGAAGCCACCGGACAAGCACATGCACTCAACAAGTCAAATAAACAATGGCATTTATTATTCTGTGGGGATGCTGGAACTGGATTTTGAACCGCGACGCTGGTTCACCTGCATTGATTCGTTCGCCGGTGAACCAGTGGAAATCGCTGGTTAAAAACTCACCGGTTCACCGCGCTACAGTAGACATCCGTATGGTTGGACAACTAGATATATATGTATATTTGTATGTCTTAAAAGGTTGTTTACACTTCCAGTTTAAGAAAATTTATTCGGTAATCCCTAAACGACTTAACTTCTGAGTTGTTGGAAATTCTGCAGAAATATTAATAAATGTAAATTAATGGTTTAATATTGCAAACTTACAGTTTAACTTTGATCAAAATGGAACGATAATAGATTGATAGAAGCTCTCATAGAAACAATCGGAAAAAAAATTAAATGAAAACAAATTTTAATTCGGTTTTACATTTTTTTTTAATTTACTTCGAAGTAAAGGTTTAATATTTCAGAACTACAGATAGTTAAGGCCTATTTACACTTGGGTTACTTCATTGCGACATCGCGTTCTAGTCACAGTTTCTTAAATAGGTTTTGTATAGGCAGATAGAGATTGGAAAAAGTGAGTCGAGTGTTAACTCGATGCTTTCTAAATATTTATAGCCCAAAGATCGTTTACCTGCTGATTTGGTTTATGTTTTGACGAAGGTGGAAGGTGGATGTGCTCTGTGGAAATCGAAGCTTCACATTTCTTGAAAATTCCAACCTTGACAAATCAAAATAAAGAACAGCTGTTAAATCGCAATGAAGCACGTCAGTCAAGTGTAAAGGCTATTCTGCTTCATTGCTTCTATTCCGATATCGATAGCAGATGTGCGTGAGTGTAACTAGGCTATAAATCAATAGCATCGACGAATGCGATAGTACATCGAAACTCTTTACGCAAGTTTGTTCATCCCTATAAATTTAAATCGCTACGTGTAGTACTACCAACTCGCCCTAATTACTCAGGCGCTCGATTTAAAATGATAGACGATTTCTATCTTTATCTTGTTAAATTTTTTCTTCATGCAAACAACAAACATAAAATTTGTACTTCAACTAGATCTTTTGTTGATAAATGTCATACTAGGAAATTTGCGATAAAAAACCAAAGATAACGATTTTTACCGATATTGAGCAAGTACAAGTACAGCCCATAGCTTATAATGAGCTCAAAAAGGGAGAATTAAACAAATCAACAATCAATTTGCGAATTAAGTTGCACGAAATAAGCTACTTTCAGATAAAGAGTACTACAAAATTAAATCTAGGTACGCATTCATACACTGTACTCCCCAACATACATATGTACATTAGGGCGTGCTAATATTTACATGTTTTTTATAAACATTTTTATCTTTATTTTTAGCCGGATCGAGTATCTATATCAAAGGGCTCCCATTGGAACACTCAGAAAAACAAATGAAAAAATTAAAAATTATAAATGGGTTCATGGCCACCCTCTACATTTTTGCACGCCTAGCTAATATTAGTAGAAGCGCAGATCTGCTTTGAAATTCCCTGAAGTGCGAATTCCAACTCAAATGCAAACTGAAAATGAAGTTGTCTGCTCTGTTATTTTTCATTGGAGGATTTTCTGGAGCACTGGGCTGTTCGGGAAATTCTTTTTCATTAAAAAATAAATAATTACATCCTACTATGTAAATGTAAACAGTCCATGCTAATCCGGAAATGGAAACGAATTAAGTGAACTTTTTATTTATTTATTGCATTTTGGTAAATGTTGCACTTATTCTCAAGCCGGAGGTTATATATTATATTCATAGACCAACTAAACTTTAATTATTAATAATATATTATGTTCAGCTGAATTAGTCGAGTTCCTTTGTAGCTATTTGATATAGTTCTGCAATTTCAATCAAATTTAAACCTTTATTCTTTATTATTTATCCATTTCTATATCCCAAAGAATTGAAAAATTTTTTAATAGAGAACCTATAATTTTTTTTCAATAATTTTTTTTAATATTAAGATTGTTTTAATGGGATTTTAAAGTTATTCTTTAAATGTTTTTTTTATTTCGTTATTCCAATGGGAGCTATATTTCGTCTGATCCGGCTCGTTTGAACTTATATTATTATGCAGAAAGCTTTAAACTTATAATAATAAATATCATATATATTCTTTTAAATTTATATATACAATTGTTGGGCTACAAAATGTTTCTAGGAGTAAATTCCAGTTCTACAAGTCCGCCGGACAGATTTGGATAAGCATTCTTAATGACTTAAAAGAAAATCTCTAGCTTAACATGACTAAAATGCTGCAAAATCTTCCAAATAAAAACTAACATTACGATCATTAAGCATATTCTAAGAAAAGCAATGTAATTACTTACCAAATCTTTATGAGAAGTATTCGAAAAATGTATGACCAAAGGCTCATTTCGCCGACATAAAGCCTTGTCCATGGTCGATGCACTGAACTCTGAGAATCGATCCTCTATCTCGTGGTTTTGCAAATGTAACAGTTGGAGCTGTGGACAGGAGGAAATCATCTCCCAAAATGCATCGCCTGTCTGCCAAATGGTTATGTCCTCCAGGTACAACTCCATTAATCTAGGAAATTCAATGATATTGTTGTAAAAACTTTGTTCACACCATATTCCCTCCACAACTCCTTCATTTATGATGGACACTTTTCGCACATTTTGAAAGCGGTTGGGATTGAGCCACAGCCAAAAGTTTTCGTTACGTTAAGTGCGACAACGTCCTGTCCTCGAAGTTCGGCCATATGCTCCAGTAAACATTCCACATCTTCGAATTCATCAAAGCGCAATCTTCTCAGCTTTGGCAAACTCAACAGCATGCTCGTGCTTTCCCTGCTGAGGAGATCAAGTTCCAATTGCAGATCGCCAAGTTCCTGTAACTTCGATATAGCCTCCACATAGTCGTCTTCCTCCGAGTCTCTCCATGCGACGGCCAAAAACTGGAGCGGCAATCTGTTGCATATTTCCTGAAAACATTTTGTGTTCCAGTGTCTGGAAGCGCCAATTATATCCAGTCTGCGGAGGTTCTCCCATCTGGCGACGTGATGACCAGCGACTATTTCTAATGTTGGGTCCTCACCGTCAACTGATATTTTAAAGGACTCTATGAGGGGAAAGCAATTCACCAGAGACTCCAAATCTTCGTTGACATTGGATATTACTCCCGAATAGTCTAGTATCCGCGCGTTCGGAAAACTGTGACTGCGGAAAGCATAAAGCTGATCTACGGGAAAGTCTTTGAGAGTTAAGTTCACTATTGTAGGACTGATGCACTGCAGAAAGTTATGAAGAAGTTCCGCCCTATTTTCAAATGATTTCCGGTGTAAAGCGTGTTTCTTATGGCTCTGCCAGAAGCATGATAAAACTTTATTCAATCGGGAAATAGATTCAGTAGCCTGCCATAGATCTAGTTGTTCTTCAAGATCTAGGTACTCTATAATTTTACTATAAGGAAAGTAATTCGTAGTTATGCTCAATATTAAAAAGGCCTGTGCTCTTACAGTAGGCACTTGTCATCCAAGTTAACGATGCTCCCCATCTTGATATTAATTGCTTTTTGACAAAGTTTCAGCTGATCGAAAACTTTCCACATCGATAGCCATCGATATAAATCGCAATACAAACTGTAAAAAAATAGTTTAAGTCCGGGATTTCGATTAGTTCGAATTTGTACTGCTTGCCAAGAAAATCTTAATAAAATATTAAAAATTCAGAATTGCGATTGAAGTAACCAGAAAATTTTGATTTCCTCATTTTAATAACTTACACATAGAAACTTAAAACCATTACACATAAATGAAACTGACTGCCTAAATGATGGACATACATATATTACGCAGGTTGCTTTTGCACCTTGGCCAATTCTGCCTTGAATTTGGAAATGGTCTCCCGTGCCAGCTTCAGTTTGTCCTTAAGTGTTACGATCTCCCCTTTGACCTTCTGTTTCACATTGACAATGTTGTCCAGCGTTTTGGTCTTCTTTTCTTCAACTAAAAAAGTGGATATTAAAGTTAAATTAACACGAGTGCATTGAGTTGTTTGTAGTTACAGTCAGTGTCGTGGGACAAGAGTCCGTTGGCGCTCTGTTCCGAGAGCAAGAGATAATGCTGCATGATCTGGGTGGGCTCCTGGAAGACGATCTCCTCGTATGACTCCGAGACCAGACCCTTCTTGGTGTCCATGGTGGTGCTGGAGGTGAGCTCGCCGTCGACGACGGGCGACTGAAAGAGCTTCAGGATGTGGTAGCACGTAACCGGGCGCTCCGACTGATCGTTGAAGTAGATTTTGATTACCACCTCGAATTCCCCCCAGCCCGTCTCCGTGATCTCGTAGGGTGGCTTCACCACGATCCGGTTCGGGTTGGCGTAGCTTTCGTGCAGCTTGAAGTGCACCTTCTTCACATAAATTGACATGTCCTCGTTGAAGTAGGGCTTCAAGTAGACCTTCCACTGATGCGTGTGTCCATCCTCCTCGCGCTTCTTACCGAAGGATCGCGCTATGTTACCATAGACAATGGGCTTTACTATGGTCACGCCCTTCAACCGGCCACCGGAATCTCCTCCAAAGTCTGTCATACTTAAATGCTTTTGATTTGTTTATGATTTAGCTTGGTAAAATCTTGTTTTGGTTCTTCTTCTTTCTTTTGGTGTAGCGTAGCCGCAAGTTGCTGTTATCGATATATGAGTGCATTTATTACAGGGCTGCACAGCTATTATAACACGGCAGAAAAAAATTAAAAATCTAAACTGGAATGCTATTAAATAATATGCAGATAATATGTGGTTTAATAATATTTCTTTGAATTTTTAATATATATCAGAGGATTTAAATATTTGTTAGCAAGTACAGCCCTCGTTCACCACCGCGACTATCGATAATTTTCGGGCTGTATTTTTGCAAAGTAGTGCCATCACTTGTAACAAGCGGACGCTTTTGACCAAAATTGTGTTGATTTGTTTAAAATTTAATGGTGTAGGTCCAAATACACAAATCAGGATCCAGTCAAATACTTACCATGATGGCGCGTCGCGGGGGAAAGCGCATACGGATGGATGATCCGCCTCCGGAGTACGAGGAATTGCATAGGTGCAACGCACTGCAATCCCACACAATAACAATTTGCCTAATAATGTGAATTATTTGTTTTAGCGATGCTCTGAACGAAAGCACTTCGGATGCGGATAGTCCCACCAAGCGGATGACCAGATTGCGGGCCCGGGGCGGAGTACGGGACAAACCCCCAATAATTGATGACGACGAGGATGACTTTTTCGCGCCAATCGCACGCAAACGAAAGACTCCAGCCACCCGTAAGGGACCAACCGAGCGCAAGGAACGCGTTGAGCGGCCGCGTAAGGAACCCGTGGACAAGGGACACCACGAGCGGATCGACAATGAGCGGGAGATAACCACGGACGAGAACAGTCTCTACTACATTGTTCGCCATTCCAAGAATCCCATTGCCGTAAGAAATCCCTTTGCCTTGCAGTTGAACAATTAATATTTGGGCCTCAAATTTTTAGAGCATTGTGGACCAGTGGATTGAGCAGTACAAAGCCAACCGGGAAACAGCGCTGGTCGCACTGATGCAGTTTTTCATAAACGCCAGCGGCTGCAAGGGCAAGATCTCAGAGGATATACAGTATCCTGTGGATCACACAGCTATCATCCGACGTATGACTGAGGAGTTTGACGAGGTAAGTCCACTGGAAACATCCAGCAAGTATCTTTTATAAAACGCTTTTAATATTCCAGGAAAGCGGAGAATATCCTTTGATCATGACCGGAACACAGTGGCGAAAGTTCAAAAACAATTTCTGCGATTTTGTGCAAACTCTGGTAAAGCAGTGCCAGTACTCCATCATCTACGACCAGTTTCTGATGGATAACGTAATTTCCCTGCTTACTGGACTGTCGGACTCGCAGGTGCGAGCCTTTCGCCACACGGCCACTTTGGCGGCCATGAAACTGATGACTGCGTTGGTGGATGTGGCCCTGCTCGTTTCAAATAACTTCGACAATGCTGCGAAACAATTTGAAGCTGAACGCGTAAAGGTGGGAGTGCAATTAAATACTGATATTCTATAGCTAACCTCAATTTCCTTTAGTCTCGCGATCGCCGTGCCTCCGATCGCTTGGACTCACTAATGACTAAAAGGTCCGAATTGGAAGAGAATATGGACGAAATAAAAAGCATGTTGACCTACATGTTTAAGTCTGTGTTTGTCCACCGATACAGAGACAGTCTGCCAGACATACGCGCCATTTGTATGGCTGAGATCGGCATTTGGATGGAGAACTATCCGCAAAACTTTCTGGACGACTCGTACTTAAAGTACATCGGTTGGACACTCCACGACAAGATCGGGGAGGTGCGTCTGCGCTGTCTGCAGTCGTTGCTGCCGCTATACGAGAAGGAGGAGCTCAAGGGCAAACTGGAATTGTTTACGTCCAAGTTTAAGGACAGGATTGTGGCCATGACTCTGGACAAGGAGTTTGAGGTGTCCGTTCATGCCGTCAAGCTGGTGATCAGTATTCTAAAGTAAGTTAAATTAATTACACTGTAATCCAATCCAATGTTAATCTAACGAAATATTAATTATTATTGCCAGAATCCACCCAGAGATTTTGGCTGACAAGGATTGTGAAATCGTCTACGAGTTGGTTTATTCCTCTCATCGTGGTGTGGCTCAGGCAGCCGCCGAGTTCTTAAACGTTCGCTTGTTTCACTTAACTGCTGACATGGAGGAGACTAAGACCAAACGTGGCAAACTACGTATGCCCAACACACCGCTGGTTCGGGATTTGGTGCAGTTCTTCATCGAGTCCGAGCTTCACGAGCATGGCGCCTATCTCGTGGACTCCTTCATAGACAGCAATGACATGGTTAGGGACTGGGAGTGTATGACGGACCTGCTGCTGGAAGAGCCTGGTCCCAACGAGGAGGTCCTCGACAACAAGCAGGAGTCGACGCTCATCGAGATCATGGTCAGCAGCGTTAAGCAATCAGCCACTGGAGAAATCCCGGTCGGACGCGCTAGTAATCGAAAATTTACGCTTAGTGCCAAGGAATTAAAGGCTATACAAGATGAAAAGGCCAAATTGACCGAACATTTTATTGTCACTTTGCCATCGCTGCTGGAAAAGTATCAGGCGGATAGCGAGAAGCTGGCAAACCTCCTAGCAGTTCCCCAGTACTTCGATCTCAATCTGTACACCACCAATCGACAGGAGGGCAACCTACAAGCTTTGCTAGATCGCATCAACCAGGTGATGAGCATGCACACGGGCCGCGAGGTGCTGGAAACATGCGCAAAAACGCTCGAATGTCTATGTGCCGAGGGAAGTGCCACCTACACTAGATGCAACATCGCCAGATCCAATATAATCGAGAGTGCGGTGAACAAGTACAAGGACGTCATTGAGGAGTGGCGGAACCTCATTCAAGGTAAATTTATTTATTGCATATTTATACCTGTTAGAATTTAATTACTGTTTTTTATAAAATCTATTGTTTTTGCAGGCGAAGAGACCCCTAACGAGGATGACATTTACAACATAACCATTACCCTCAAGGTCGTCTCTATCTTGTACTCCTCGCACAACCTCAATCCCTGGGATCTGTTCAAGTCCCTGTTTCAAGACGTCGAGGAGGCGCAGTCCAAGGAGAACGTTGACCGCTGTCTGCCCAACGAAGCATTGGCCTATTGCATAGAGGCCTGCTACTTCTCAATCAGCTGGGGACTCTACTACGTGGAGAACGACTGCGAGTCGCTCAATGTGGCCGCAGTGGTTGCCGAGCTGCGAAGCAATTTGGATACATTCATGGCAGCCTGCTTTGAGCTAACCCGCGATGGACCCACAGTGCAGATTCAAGAGGCGGTTCGTCATGAAAGAAAAGTAGACTCTTTAGAAAACATTACAGTTTTTGCGTTTTGCAGGCATATCAGTCCATCTGCGATCTTTTGATCATCTTCTCTGACAAGTTGGCTCGCAGCGAAATCGAACATATTCGCTGTTTGGAGTACAAGTCGCGAATGGATGAGCATCTCATCTTGGACAACTTTGTGCAGCACTATGTGTTTTCGCTAAAACAAGATGTGGCCCAGGATGAAACGAGAATCGAGGAATTGCATAAAAAACGCAACTTCTTGGCGTGTTACTGCAAGTTGGTAGTGTATAATATAATACCAACAATGCGAGCTGCCAGCATTTTTAAATATTATGTCAAGGTGAGTTTCGACACACGAGAAACATTAGGCAATTTATAACAAACTATTTATATATATTTTAGTGCTACAACGATTATGGTGACATAATCAAAGCCACTTTGGGCAAGGCTCGTGAGATAAACAAAGTAAACTTCGCCATGACCCTACTGTTGAGCCTCATTACGGTTTTTAAGAGTCTGCAGGAGCAGAATGAGGATGGCATAGTTTCAAAGAGCTCACAAGAGTTTGGGGACCTCAAAGAGTTGGCCAAGCGTTTTACTCTTACATTTGGCTTTGATGCTATTAAGAATCGCGAATCAGTGGCCGCCATTCACCGCGGTGGCATCTATTTTGCGGCCAACAAGGAACCCGATGATCCAGTGCGAGCCCCAACACGTCTTCTGTTCTTAGAGGTTCTGAACGAGTTCAACTACAAGCTGCTCAAGCAAGACAAGAAGGTTATCATGGGTTTCCTGGATAAGATCATACCGCCCGCCATGCCATCCAGCAGAGCTGAGGAATGGCAGCCGCTGATCTTATATCGCAATTCCCTGCTGCATGGTGAAACGGATCAAGTGCCGGTCGCCAGCAAGAGGGCCTACACACGTAAACGTCGGGATCATGGTAATTTGCATAGTTTTTATTACTACATCATTATTACATCAACAAAACTAAAAATGTATTTATAATTTAGATGAGGAAGAAGAGGAGGAGGAAGACGAAGAGGAACACAATGATCCCGATTACAGGGGCTAGGACCCGATCGGACCCATTCGGCTAAGGGCAAAGCAAAACTATCCGGGCGATCAAGTAGTTTTAAGTTTAAAGCTTAACATACATATGTACATAAAGTATTTAAAGTGTATACCCTTTATCATTTACTTTACTCACTGCTGTCCGAATATCTAAAGTTAGACTTTATGAACAATATTTTGGATGCATTTTCGGAGCTCAATCCCGCTTGAATATCGCCATACAAGTGTGCAGATTGCCTAAACAAGCTTTTACTAGCCACACTTGCGGCTGGGGCTGATAGAAATTTTCTAACAATGGCATACATGGAACTGTATTTGATGTTTGTCCTCCACCACATCAAGGGATCCATGTTTCTATCTATTCGAGGCTCAGAGTTGTATAGATATAGTAGATTTTTTATCTGCGACTGGGAGCCGAACGATGTTGTTGCCAGCTGGGTATTTGTGCAACCAGTTGTCAGCATATTGTCAAGTATGCTGTCAATCTTTGAATCATTTTTAGACGATGTTACTTTCGATGTTTTCATAGGCGGCTGCCCATGGCGATCTTCTTGCGCTCTGGTAAGCAGCTGCAAAACTTCATTGGCCACCAACTGCTCCTCTCGCTCGGTAAAGAAGGCTTGCTTGTATCTTGGATCCAAATAGGTGGCCATCAAAAATTTGATATCGCTGGTGACATGTGAGAACTTCATTTCCAGCTCTTCAAGCAGCTTTCTGGCGAAACTGCAAATGGTCTATGCATCCAAATTCATTAAATAATTACATGTATATTTAAAAAAAAAAAAACAACAGTTAAGTCTTACCACGGAGGACACAAAATTGTGGACATCTGTTCGAAGGGAATCTCGCAAAGCGGCCACTAGTGGAATTACCGATGATGTTGTCGTTGATGGATTGCTCCAGATCCTGATGATTTCCTCACAAGGCTGCATCACTTTGTTGCACAAGTCAATGTCTATCCATTCATCTGGATATATTTGAACCAAACTATACTCCTCGCAGTACAGCGAAATGGCATCTTTCATCCTGAACACGCTGGCCATCATCTGGAAGGTGGAATTCCATTTAAAAGGAACCTGAGGTACGAGTGCACACGGATCCCTTGTAAGGCGAATCTCTTGAATGAATTTCAGATGATCTTGGGCCATCTTACAAGAGGCAAAATGGTCAACTATTTGCTTGCACTTCGATGCCAGATTCTGAAGCAACTCGTTCGACTGTAAGGCAAATCTCACGCACATTTGCAGACGATTTACACTGCAATCGGGCAGTGATCCTGGCAGAGCCGTCATCTCGTCCCTGATGATGCAGTGGGTCTTCTCTTTGGGAACCTCCATCGTCAGGCTGGGTATCAGAATATCCCGAATGCAACAGGCCACCTTAGAAGTCCTTTCGTAATTTAAGGCCTCACACTTCAATACATGGCGGTGAAACTGAAAATCCATTGATATTCCAGAGCAAGACAGGCTCAGCAGTCCTCCACCTTTGTCACCACGCCAAAGACTGGTGGACAAAGAGATGACATCCAGCTGATCCATCTGCTGCTGTATGTGCTCTTGCATTTTCCTGTGTATATCCTTACACAGTATATTCTCATAGTAGCTCCTTGAGTGGATCACATACCTCGGCTGCAGCACCCTCACAAAATTTACGAACCCGGGTTCTTCGATAACACCAAAGGAGTGGTTTAGAAGCATCAGGGCCAACTTTTCATCACAGCGGGCCACGCAGGAAACACCTTCAGTGTCCAGAGGATCTGGATCTGTTTCCTAAAATGTAAGTTTAACGAAATTTCAATTTATTTAAATAGTTATAACAATAATGGAAGCAAATTTAGGCAACCCAAAGTTTATATACTTTTGCAGAAACACAATTTTCTGAAAAACAACAATATTTTTTAATAATCTTATAGGTTCTAATAGGATCTATATAATATAGTCGTAGAATTTTAATGAAATAAATACCTTATTCTGAAATAATAAACCATTACTAATATAATCTTAGGCAAGCCAAAGTTTATATACCATTGCAGCTATTGCAAAAAGAAAAATTTCGTTAAAACAACAATATTTTTTGATAATCTCATAGGATCTATATAATATAGTCGTCGAATTTTAATGAAATAAATACCTTATTCTGAAATAATAAACCATTAATAATCTTACGAACAAAGTTAGAGCATTTATTTCCCTTTTCTTTATTTTTTAATTATCCTATTGAAGCAATTTGATATAGTAGGCCGATCCGGCCCGTTCCGAGTTATACACTACCTGCAATAGAAAGAAGTCTTTTTAAAATACTTTAATCAAAAAAGCTTTAAAGTTGAGAGGCTACTTTGTGTAGGCTGGACGGACAGACATACGAATTTGGCTAAATCGAATCGTCTGGTGTGCTGATCAAGAATATATACTTTATAGGGTCGGCAATGTGCCCTTCACTGCGTTGCGTTTTTACTGAAATTATAATAAACTCAGCCAGAGTATGTGTTACAAATCGTTTTGAGCCCCAATAGATAACTATTCCATACATTTTTTATGTATTACGGACCAATTAGCCAACCAACAACATCTAGCTATTCCAATATTTAGCGGGACTCAATGCGGATATTACATCCGCCTCCGCTACTGCCACAATTTAGACCTGCTTATTGAGCAACATTTTAGAATTCCCTATTTATAATAATAACTTCTGTAATAAAGCCTAAAATATTTTTTTAAAACAGGCGCGATGTTGTGAAACTAAAAACTTATAGAATCGGGGTATCAACTCCCATGTCAAACTATTTGGCTATTAACGAAGACATCTTCTAATGGACCACCTATTTTATCCCACTTACGTGCAAGTTTAGTTCCAACTGTGCCGTGGGATGCTGGGGCGAGCTGTTGGAGATCTCCCTCTTCACCAGGTCCAAGTACTTTATGTCTTCGGAAAGAGTTAGGAACTCTCCTGGGTGCTTGCTCTTCAGATGGTTCCGCAGGCAGGTGGTGCCGCGTCCCTTCCTCGAGTAGTTTCTGTTGCAGAGACAGCAGGTGGCCACCGTGTCGGAGGCCTTGTAGAAGAACTGCCACACATTGCTCTTCTTGCTCATGTTTCTGGGGCATTGGCAAATCCCAAGAATTGTACACTTTTTGCGGATGTCCACATCCGCCTCTACATCCGTTCTGCGGCAGAGGCTCGGTAGCCCTGGATTCCCAAGAAATCGATACATCTGCTATCGATAGACGCTTCGATGAACGCAATCGAAATGCTTCTATCCGATATTGGCGCGCCAAAAGCAGCTGCTTTTTGCTGCTCTTAAAGTAATTTAGCAATTTCATTCGTAAACGATTCAAACAATGCCCTGTGCCATGGATCTGCCCAGCACGCCCGATGAACTGGACGCCCAACACAAGAACCTGCTCAAGGACCCCAGCCGCTGGCACTCGATTCCCCTGCTGAACTACACGCCACTGCACAAACTGAAGGATCAGTCTCTGGTGCGGTTTCGGGGCATGATCCGGGACATGATGGATCCGGAGATCTACCTGGAGCGCTACGAGGTGAAGTCCCCGGGTGGTGGCAAGCGCCTGCAGGCCGGAAAGTATAGAGACTGCTTGAAACTGGCCACTGGTGAGGAGATCGACTACAACGCCGAGGGCAACGTGCATGGCGAGAGGCGAACCATGTTCGTTGTGTCCGTGCCGGGTCTGAATGATTGGAGCAAGGAGCACGAGAGACAGTGCTGTCCCCAGATTGAGCTGTGCAGTCTGGCCGAATCTCCCAGCTCGGCCAAGAAGCGCGCCCTGGACGAAGAGCAGGCCATGGAGGTGGACGGATCAAGTGAGACAGCCATCAAGCGGCCATGTGTGAAGGAAATCCAGGCGGAAAATGAGCCCATTGCTGCCTCGGGTACTTCTGTTCTCGGTACCGAGTATCTGCTCAATTCGCCACTGCCTGATCGCCCGAGCATGGCCTGCATGGTGAAGGTTTATGAGGATTTCGACACCTACCAGCTCAACTCTCTAGTGGACTTTGTTGGCTTTCTGTCGGTGGATGCCTCGCTGGACGCCGCCAGCCTGGACGTTGACGATTGTGAAAACCTAAGTGAGTTGCAGGCGGCTCATCCATCGCCGTTTCTCATTCCGCGAATCCATGCCTTTGGCGTCAAGATGCTGCCGCATGCCAATCCGCTGCTGGACGAGAGCCTGCGGCAGCCAATGGAGCCATGTGAAGATGCTTATTCCTCCCAGCTGGCCGTTCACAAGGACCTGCGTATGCTGCTAAAACTGTGCTTGTTTGACGACGACCTGGCTGCCGAATATTTGCTCTCTCATTTGATTTCAACGGTCTACAGTCGTTCCGAGATGCAGAGCATCGGCAAGTTTGCCCTAAACATTTGTAACCTGCCCAAGCAATGCCTGGAGTCTTACACAACTAAGCTGTACGATATTCTGGAGCTTCTACTGCCGGCCAGTCATTACCTGCCCATGACCCTGGAGACGATGAACACGGCTACGTTCGCCCCAAAGTGAGTGGCGAAACTCCACAGTATTTAAAAGCATTTAAGACATAAAACTGGATACAATTACAGGAAGGACTATGAGACCAACAAGCTGGTCTCCGGCGTACTACAGTTGGCGCCCCACACACATCTCGTGCTCGATGAGACGTGCATGCATCAGGGCAAGCTGGAGGCCAATGGCGTTCGTGCCATCCAGCACTTGGCACATCTCATCAACAACCAGGAGCTTAAGTGTGACTTCCAGTATTACCAAATCGACTACCACGCGAACATCCCGATTCTCGTCCTTAGTGAAGGACGAAGTATGTTACCGGTAAGGATTTCAGCAGTAATTTATACTGTTTGATAACATAACTCATTTTGTGTGTCAAAGCAAACAACATGAATACTTTACTATTAGTTCAACAATATTTTATCGTTTTTAGAGTGATTTCGTGATGCCCATCAACGCAGATACTAAGGCCGTAGAACTCATCGGCGAATCTCTAAAGGCAGCCCACCATTATCTGCAACCGTCACGCCTTCAGCAGTTCCGAAAGTATTTGACCACAGCACGAATAAGCAGCTTTAGCGTAAGCGAGGAGCACACTGAAATGATTCAGCAGGACTTTGTGGATATGCGAAAGGCAAACGTGAAAAGTAATGCCGATGATCTGCACGGATTGCTGGTCCTTTCGCGGCTACTGGGCATTGCCCGGGGAAAGGAGTCGCTGGACAATGAAACCTGGCAGCTGGCCACCGAGTTCGAGGCTAAGCGTCGCCAGCGCCTTCAGTCCCTACCGAAGTCAGCTGCCCAAACGCGCCATTAAGTGAGCTTCTAATTTAGATCTAAATTTAATTTTATTACTTTTTAATACAAAGAATTTATACATGCTGAATACGTATCTTTTCATTCCTTGTCGATCTTAGCCAACCTGCTTTCTAGTCTTACGCTTTCATGATTCTTGGTCTACCACAATTTCGTGGCTCAAGTGTTCGAAGCGTCCTTCGATTAACTGGCTGGCCAAGCAGTCTCCGCACAGATTCAGGTGACAATAACAGCTATTGCAACGCCATTGGGTCCTGGTGACAGACGACTCCTCACATTCGGCGCACTTGGGCGCCATTGGATCGGGCTCGTAACCATTCTCGATCTGCTGCTTCTCGTCGTGGATTGTTGACAGAAGCTTGAGACGCAATTCCTGCTTGCGCCTTGCCTCCGCATCCAGATCGGCATCTACGGGTTCGGGTTCGGTCTTAGGTTCGACCTTGATTTGCGAGGATGCTGGCATCAGGAGCATCTCGTTGGCAGGAGATAGGACACGCAGGTCATCCAGTGTGCACTCGTCTTCCGGCATTTGCAGCGATATGTTTTGGGCGGGAAAGAACGTTGACCTACGTAAGTTGACCTTGGGCTTACTAAGCCCCGGCCTCCGGTGCTTGGGAATCCGTCCGGGCACCGGCATGCCGGCGTCGTGCAGTTTCTGAAAGTACTTCTGGATGCGGCTAAAGACCTGTTGGGGTGTGCGGTTGCCCAAGGCCTTGGCTATCTTGGCGAATCGCCGCATTTCCACCTCCTCCGGCGGATACTGGATGAGCAGCTGCTCCAAACGGCGCTGCTCTTCGTTGGTCCACAAGCGGTTGAAGTTCTCTGACCGTCCGCCGCTCCTGTCCCTAATCTCGTCCGGCGGTTGCGTCCATGAAGCCCCCGCTGGAGTCTCGTTTACCCCACCTCCTTCATCAGTGGTGCTCAATGTGGGCAACTCCGGCAACACAGCCGTTGTGATGTATTTATCCGATATCAAGGGCTCGTTGTTCCGCAGTTTGTCTAGCATCAGCTGTGGGTTATCCAAGAAGACCTTCTGCGTCGCTTCCAGCTCATCGATCTGCTTATGAACGTGAATCCTTTGAGCCTGCAGCACAGCTATTGTGCGCAGCAACTTGGCATAGCACTGGTTGCCACGAAGGGCGAGGTGCTCGGACTCAAAGTGAAACACATCCTCCTCCTCCGGTGAAGAGTTTTCTATGGACTTCAGTTCCATTAAATTAAAGATGTACCGAATTTGTTAGGAATGTTGTGTCAACAATTGAACGGCTGAATTCACAAACAATATGTACAGCATGGGCTTAGAAAATGGGTACCACTTGAAATATTTGCAGATTAAATAGTAGGTATGTTTTTATTTTTTTGTTTTAGAAAACTTTAGATAGTTATTCTTTTCAATACACAAAACTGATTTTTTTTAGATTTTATTATTGTTTTTATGTACACTTTTGTTTTCCCTCAAACAATTATTATGATTCGGTCCATGCTAGAGATGACTTTTCAATAAAATCGATAAAGCTATCGACATCTGGCTTGTTATCGATCTTGTGAGTGAGTTCTTTGCTCTCAGCTGTTATCCGCAAAAGGAAGAAGAAGAGTCATATGTAACTTTTATTTGCAAAATTTGGCCATGAAAATTGCTCAAATTCGCCCACTAGCTTCTCTGATAGCAAAGGTAAATTCATAAAAATATCAGTATTTAACTATACAATAACTATTGCAAACTAACAGCGCACGGCGGTTACCAGCGCAGCCAACCAGGTGCGAATTGTGGAGGTGGGTCCACGGGATGGCCTCCAGAACGAACCCAAACTGCTGCCGGCAGCCACCAAAATCGAGCTGATAAATCAGTTGTCCGAGACGGGACTGCAAACCATTGAAGCCACCAGTTTTGTGAGCGCCAAATGGGTGCCCCAGATGGGCGACAATGCGGAGGTGATGCGGGGAATCCGCAGAGTGCCCGGGATCAGCTATCCAGTGCTCACGCCCAATTTGAAGGGGTTCGAGAGTGCTCTGGCAGCGGGCGCTCAGGAGGTGGCAGTCTTTGGAGCCGCCTCCGATGCGTTTTCGCTGAAAAACGTCAATTGCACGGCTGCCGAGGCCATCGAGCGCTTCAAACCCGTGCTTAGGGCAGCCGAAAAGAACGGAGTGCGTGTCCGGGGCTATGTGTCCACCGTGGTTGGCTGTCCATACGAGGGAGCCGTTGCGCCGAGTGCTGTGGTCAAAGTAGTGGAGGCACTGCATCAAATGGGCTGCTACGAGATCTCCCTGGGCGACACTATCGGCGTGGGCACCCCCGGCACCATGCGCCGTATGCTGGACGCGGTGACCAAGGCCGTCCCGGCCAAAGATTTGGCCGTGCATTGCCATGACACTTACGGCCAGGCGCTGAGCAATATCCTGGTCTCCCTGGACTACGGCATTCGGGTGGTGGACTCCTCGGTTTCTGGCCTGGGCGGGTGTCCCTATGCCAAGGGGGCGTCTGGTAACGCGGCCACAGAGGATGTGGTCTACTTGCTGCACGGAATGGGCCTTAGCACAGGAGTTAACCTGGACAAACTCATCCAAGTGGGTCGCTACATCTGTACTGAACTGGGCAGGCCATCCGAGTCCAAGGTGAATCGTGCCTGGAAAGGTCCTCAGCCGCTAAACCAGTGATCCTCCTATCTTTATGAAACGAAAACGATGGCATTTACTAGCACTACATAAACAATATTTTTTATTATCGTTGCAATATTAAAACTAAGCGAGTGTGTTACTTTAAGGGCATTAAAACTTTTGTGCATCCCTAATCGTGTACAAAGACACGTCACCTGAGGCTAGCGATAGATCAGCCAGGCTGTGGTTAGCCCGTCGTGGGATGTGCGATGATGACGGAGTTCGTGGTGTCTCACCGGCCATTTTCATTTTGCCGTCGTGACGAAGGACAGTGGGTTCCACGGCCGAGTTCAGGTATTTTTGAATCCGAGGTACGCTTGGCATGGGCATGGGAGTACGCTCGTCCACCACCTGACAAATGAAAGCAATTGTTAAACAAAAGGAGTTCTAAATATATCAGCACGTTCGGATTGTATAATCTTTAAAAAAGTATCTATAATTTTAAAAGTTGCAAGGCAACTTAGGAAATAATATATTTATTTAATATATTTAAATAAAAAAGTGATTTACAAAGATTTTGAGTCACAGAGCTCTAGCACACCAACTACCAACATGGTTGGATATAATTTATCTGTACTGCAATAAAAGTCTAATTTATTGACAGTAACAGTAAATGTATACTAACTGAATTAGTTGGCTAAATAACATGAAAATCATCAATATTGTCCTTCTTAAGGACCAGCAGTGGCCATACAGACCAACTAAATTTTTATGCAGGCATTTTTTTTGCAGTTTTCTCTCGAATTATAAGCGTATATGTTGAAAAACAACTTTATTTGACCGATTTTTCTTATATTCCCCAATGATTCTCGGTTCTCTACGTTAACAGAATAAAGTCATCAGATGTTTATAAAATTAAAACTATATTTTAGAAAGTGTATGACAGAATCCATAACCCGAAGTATATGCGATTATAAGCGATTATTATTGTTTTTCGACTATGCGCTTGTGTAAAATCAACAATTTAATTGTAAACACTCAATGTAAATCAATGTAAAAAAATATAAAGAATATTCGCTGAAAAAACCAGAGTTAAATTTGATGACCCACAAATTACAAGCCTGACACTCTAATTAAACATTTGTAGTTCTTGTATTCTTTTAATTGTTGTTTTAAAATTTCACATTTTTCTATTGAATTAACCATGTCAAATTTAGCCAAAAACCAATATCAGTTTAGTAATTTCAAACTCATTTTTAATAATGTGTACATCGCAAGTGTCAAGAGTTGAAAAAAAATCTCAATTTTACTATGAATTCGTTAAAGAAAATTAGTTTTTTATAAAAAAAAATGCGATTACTTCTAATAAAAATAATGGATTCAACAATTTTTTAAAACCGATTTTAGTAATAGCTAGCGGATAAGATCTTAAAAAAATTGTTTAAAATCTTAATTTGTTTTATTTTTAAGAAATTAAAAACCTATTGGGTTAAAAAAAGTATTAGAGAAATAAATGCAAGTGAAATGAAGTCGATAGGACCGCTACAGTCGAATATTTTAAATTTAATTTAAAGGGTATTTTATGATATGTGTGGTATTTTTCAAAATGTGTTAATTTTATAACTAAAAAAAAATTTTTTTTACAAAACCCTTTCTTTTTTTCCCACATAGCATCTGTAAAAAAATTTCAGGCAAATCAAAAATGTGACTAATTAAAAGGTGTTCGGTTTGTAAAACAATGACCCATATATATAATTTGGCTGCTTTGCACTCCAAATGCGAAACCACTGTTTAAAAACGCGCCATATCTGAGCTGATTTTTAAAACAATAGAAGTTTTGTAAAGTATACAAAACTAGGATTAGGATTTAACTAAGTTAAATAAATTAAATTTTTGAAAAAAAAATTTAAAAGGCTACTAATTTTTGATTTTGTATTCAAAACAAACAATTCCAACTTACGTGCTTGATCTCCGAGGATATATAAGCCTTTTTGGGCAGCATAAGTGCGGTGGAATCGATTCCTTTAATGCCTAGCCCACCACTCGCCTCGCATGTGCCGGCCTGTTTGGTGGAAACAGTCTTCATCTGACACAAGCGGGATTCTTGCTCCAGCTCACTGATGGCCAAGCTGGTGAGCATATCCGTACTTGTGGGCCGAAACGTTCTCATCAGCGGAGCAGTGCCCGACTTCTGTGTGTAGGCACGGATGGGACTGACAATGTTGGCGAAAGGCGGCTGTTTCATTTGCTGCTGGCGACGCTGAGGGATGCCCGAGGATGCGTCAAAGAACTTCTTCCTGGTCCACTCCATGTTAAGTTGCTGCTGACTGCCCTTGCGGGGCAATGCTGCTGCTGTGTGTGGCTTGTTGCAAGAGCGCAGCGGTAACGGTGGCTGCATGAAAGCGGGTGTTTTAGGCGTTTGTTTGGGTGAAATCACAAACGTGCTCTGCTTGGGTAGCACAGGGCTTTTCGATTTGACGACGGTGTCAGTTGGCGTTGCACCAGCCATATCCATATACTGCATGCCCTTTTCCATCATGTACTGCATTTCCTCCATGGTATCGTTAAAATGCAACGAGTTCTCCATGTTCTCCTTGTTTTCCAAGCTGTTTTCCGATCGCTCCTTTTCAGGGGGATTATCCACGTCGACAGTGGACACGCAAGAGGTCTCCTCCTGCTTCACTTCTGAAACGAGCTGCACCTCCTCATCGTCCGATGAGGACAACTCTATTATGGTATCCTCCATGACATCCAATGGCTCCTCCTCTTCCTGCATTGGAAGCGATGACAGCTCCCTTAGACTGCCGTGAAGATCGCTCAAAAGCTCTAGCTCCTCCGCCTTGGACATTTCTGGTGGCTTGGTCTTGGCAATTGCTGCGTAGAACAGATCATCGACGTTCAGGAGCGTTCCACTGAGGGAACCATCCGTGGCTGTTTCGTAGCAGCTAGAGGCGTTTGTCTTCAATGTGCGAGCGCTTTGGAAGCTTATATGGGAAGATACATCGGATTCCAGTTCATTGTCCTCGATGATGGTCGAGGGGCGGAGCAGACCCACCATTTTGACAGGCGAGACCTTAGCCATGTGCTTCGGCTCAGACCCAGACGCGGAATCATCGTTGCCGGCGAGAGTATTGTCCCAGAAGCGCGACGGCGCCTCTACATCCTCCAGCTGGGTGCACTCCACTCCCTTGACGGGACTCTCGTTGTCCAGCAGGTCGTCATCAGCGCCTACTGCCTCGAGCATGCGACGCAGTGCCTCGATCTCCTTCTGATCATCGGTACTGCGATCCTTGGCCTTGGCCATAACCTGGCTTCGGTCCTCGCTGTGCAGGTACTGGAACAGAGTGCTGTCCGGGTCGGAGCCCGTCTTGTCGCACATTCGCTCAAAGGCACTGAAGCTATCGTCGCCGTCATCCAATTGGTCCAAGGATCCGCCCCCATACATGGTTTCCTCGTTGAGATTGATGCTTGCGAGACTGACGGGTTTTGCCGCCTCAATTTTCTTCTTCCGGGCTTCAAGAGGTCTCCTCAGATCCTCATCGATCTCAAGACTATAGCGCATATCCTTCGATTCATCCATTTTCACGGGTTTTTTCGGCAATCTGAAATACAGAACTGTTAGTATTATATTCACACTAAGTAATTCATATGAATGTTCGGACAATTATATTTCGTTTTTGACATGCAGGCATTCAAAAGGGGTGTCATACAAATCAAATCAATCTATGGAATCGAACACTAGTGCAACACTATCCAAGGAAGGGGACTGATGTCGTATTTACCGATCTGCCATGAGAAACGCTCGTAGTTTCTGTCGCCATTCCTCGTTGTCTTGGAATTTTTTAAGCCCCGACATAATCGAGTGCCCTTTTTAATGGCTGCAGAGCGTGCTTGTGTGCGTACGAATCCTGGACGCACGACTCCAGTTGATGCAAATTGCGAGTTGCGAATTGCCTATAGTTCAAAGCTTTAAGAGTTCGGTCCAGTCAATCACCTACCTTATGGCGATATTTTCGACAGCGCAATCAGTTCTTTTTGCAGAATTCCACTATTATTTGATCAATCTTTTCACAACGCTTACGATCGACGCGCCTTGGTAGTCGTTTTTTTCGAATGATACCGCAGTGTGCCCGTTTTGAGAGTGTACACACATCTGTTACTTTTGAATGGGGTATTCCCTGTACCTCAAAACCTTACAATGGCTAGTCAATTAATTATAATTTTTTAATAATTTAAAATTAAACATAACATTTGGAAATAAATAAGTTTTTCGACATCCAATTGAATTTCAACAAATCGGCTATTTATCCTTCACAGAAAACCCGTAATATTTTATATGTAACATTATAAGTACAGTTGCGGTCAAAATACTAGTGTTGGTACAATATACAGTGCTTAAAAACACGCGCTTTGAGGCAAAGAACCATTTTTCTTTTATTTCATCATAATGTTTACTTACCAACAAACAAAAGAGGATTGCAAAACCTTTGATATTTTTTTAGTTTTTCAATTCAAATTTAAGCTGATTATAATTTGTTAACATAATATTCTCAATATACTGTAACATATGTTTTTACAGAAAAAAGTGTAAGAAAATATTTTGAAATCCATATTCATCTGCCCTTCGAATTAAAGTAAAACATTTTTAAACATCTGATTTTTGTTAAATTAATATGTACAATCATATTCTTAAATCTATTTTGGTGTGTTTTAGAGTGTATTATTACGCTTGACCCATTTATAATAATAAAATATTAAAAACTTAAAATAATAATAAACAATTTTTTTTCCAAACTATTTTTGGTTGCTTTTTACATTAACTAAAAAAAACTACTATTATTATGACCGCAGCTGTATATATCCAAATTAGGAATTTTAAAAGTCGTGTCAGCGAATTCGCCATTTCTGACTTATTTCTTACAATATAGGCTTGCGAAGTACAATCTAGACCACGGAAAAATATCATTTAAACAGCCCTAATAAACTACATAACTTATGTTTTATTACGAACAATTTCAAACCTTAGACAGCCAAATGTCAAAGTAGGGTCACACTGGCGACTATGCAACTAGAAATGCCGGTGAAAATAGATAACAAACAGACTGCGCTGAGGGAAAGTACTTAAGTTAAGTTACAAATTTGAAGTAGGCGACAGCACAAAAATGAACGCACTTCGTCACACGATATCCCTTGTGTCGCTGGGCACCTTCCAACTGGTCCGCCGAACCAGAGGCCAGCATGTCCAGGGCTTTCTTCTCGGCACCGGACTGGGCCTGGCCAGTTTTTCGGCGGTCACGTACGCACACTCCGCAGAGGCGGTCAACCCAAAGGTCAAGGGGGTTCAGCTGAACACCTCGCGGTTCATGGCCGAACCCATTACGGACTCCAAGGAGCTGCTTGGGGACAAGGATAACATGCGGCACCGCATGGAGCTGCTGATCATGGAGATCCAGGCGGAGTTCTGCCGCGCCCTGGAGGCGGAAGAGAACTGTGGTCAGAAATTCAAAGTGGACCGCTGGGAGCGGGCGGAGGGTGGTGGCGGCATAACGTGCGTCCTACAGGATGGCGACGTCTTCGAGAAGGCGGGTGTTAATATATCCGTGGTCACCGGATCCCTACCACCGGCTGCAGTGCAGCAGATGCGGGCACGTGGAAAGAACCTGAAAGAGGGCGCCGCCCTGCCATTCTTTGCCAGCGGCGTGAGTGCCGTGATCCATCCGCGGAATCCCCATGTGCCCACCATTCACTTCAACTACCGCTACTTCGAGGTGGAGACCGCCAAGGGGGAGAAGCAGTGGTGGTTTGGCGGCGGTACGGACCTGACGCCGTATTACCTCTGCGAGAAGGACGCCTGCCACTTCCACCAGACCCTGAAGTCCGCCTGCGACAAGCACGACGCCACCTACTATCCGCGCTTCAAGAAGTGGTGCGATGACTACTTCCGCATCAAGCACCGCAACGAGAGTCGCGGCATAGGAGGCATCTTCTTCGACGACATCGACTCGCCCAACCAGGAGGCGGCATTCGGCTTTGTGGCCAGCTGCGCCCGGGCCGTGATCCCATCCTACATGCCGCTGGTGCGGGAGCACAAGAACCAGGAGTATGGAAACAACGAGCGCCAGTGGCAACTGCTGCGCCGGGGACGCTACGTGGAGTTCAACCTGATCTACGATCGAGGCACCAAGTTCGGACTATATACGCCCGGTGCCCGATACGAGAGCATACTGATGTCACTGCCCCTGCACGCCCGCTGGGAATACATGCACGAGCCCAAGTCAAAGTCCGAGGAGGGCAAGTTGATGAAGGTCCTGAAGAACCCCAAGGAATGGGTGTAAGCCTGGCGGCGGTTTTAATTATTGTTAAGCGGGAATTGGTGCCTTCACTGTGTGTACATACATATTTAAACATGACATTCTTAACTTTTGACTCCTAATAAAGAAATGTAGCTTATACCTATCACCCTACTGAACAAATTGGCGATTGTAAATAAATTATGAGACCTTTAAATAAAGTAAAAATTATTATGTTTTAAAAGCGAAATTTTCTTTGATGGTGAAGTCTATTCACTAATTTGAAAACAAATAAAATGAAGGAATTGGTGTATCTATGTATGTATGAGCATGTTTATGTTAAGAGAAATTTTTTTTAAATCTTTTGGTTGTTTAAATCTCTTTACTTGATGTAGCGATAGCGCCTGATGGGCGTGTAAAGTCGGCGTTTAGAACTAACAAATATCTCGAAAATGAATTGGGAACGGCATTACAAAAAATTGAAATCTTTCGATAAGTTATAGTATTGAGTCTTGGTAGGTCAATACTTTTTTTTTTAGCAATATTTAATAATTATAAAAATAAATTTATATGGAAAGATTTTTTGTTTTAATATTTTGGCTGTCATTTCGACATTATTTTTATTTTATGCATGCCATACTTATTTTTACACAACTGTACTTAAAAAAACTGATATGTATACATACATACTTACATGGTGTACATACATACGCAATAATCATGTAGTCTTGGAAATACGAACATACATGGTGTGCTAGTAAGTCGAAATTTTGAGGTTATAGTTACCTCTATGCACTTTTCACCCAGAAGGTTCCATAAAATGACGTCATATTCTATTTATATGCATTACTCGAACTTTGAGGTTATGTTTTCCCAGACTTTGCAGATTTGCCGGTGTACATACTGATGTATGTACTTTTCCCGCAAATTCAGTGGGCCCGCTGTGTATGTATACCATAATACACGCACACATACGCGTTCAACCCAATCCTGCTCGCACACATGGGCGCATTTCACATGAGTGCAATTGAATGTGTGCGTGTGTTTGCGTGGAAAGAGGGATATAAAGCGGGAAATTCACGCCGGGTTTACAAGGTAGAAAAAAACGACGATCAGGCAGTAAAATAATTGATATAGTTTATAAAATGCTTTATTTCCCATTTTCTTGTCTGCAATAGTTTATCTCTCTTGTGGTCTTGCATACAGACAAAATCTACAGTTGTACTAAACGCACTCGTTCCAAATGAATCTTACTGCCTGTTTTGTTGGTTTCTTCATTATGTTGTTGATTCTTTTTTTGTTTTTTGTTTGTTGTTTGTTAGTTATAAAGGGATGAGTAACTTAACTAAGTATATTTAATGAGCGCCGCCGGTCTGCTGCTGGTAAACCTCGATGGTGTCGCCCTCCTCCATCTCCAGCGAAGTTGGAGTGTCGTTCTCGTTGATGGGCTGTCCGTCGAAGCGGAAGCGCACCACCTGCATGGAGAGTCCGGCACGGTCGCAGTAGGCGTTCATTAGCTTTCGCAAGGGTGTGTGTTTCTTGATCTTAAACTGGACAACGGCATTATCCTGGCCAAGCACCTTCAAGTTGATGTGTTCAGTTTCGCCGCCTTTCTTTTCGTCAGACATGTTGTTTTTTTTTCGATTCTCGTCACTGCTGCTAAGTGGTCAAAGAAGTTTTTGCGGAGCGTCGAATGCCGGGCGTGCTGTACGAGAAACGAGACAAAATGCCGCACAGAACACGCGCTAATTAGCGAATCATAAGCGTAAAGTTTTCGCAATGTTGGGGGAGCAGTCGCTAGGCGCGTTTTGCTGCGAAAAATTACCTATTTCTCTCGGGGTATGATGCTCGCCGATGGCTGTTGAAATTTTCCACAAGCGGCTTCCTTTTGCTTTCTGCTACACGCCAAAAAAACTAGAGCTGGAACCAAAATCGATGCTTATTCCATTCTATCGATGTTTCGTGATATTTGGCAACATCGATCAGCGTGCAATCATCGATAACATTGATATTTCCAAAAGGGTAGAAATTTTGATAGCCTAGTACCACTAATCATATACTCATGTGACGAAATCTGTAAATATTATAAATATTGTATAAATCATGCAATAATAAATAATGTTATATTAACAATTACAATCTTTATAGATTCAAAAAAATCGTTAAGGGTGTTCCGAAACCGATTGAATAGTTTTGGTTACCTGAGTATTTTTCGTTAAATTTTCTGCAAAACATTTAAGGAATCCCCTTATTATTTTTCTTCATGAATATCACTGGCTCTATAAATATCGTTATGTCGTACAGATATTCGTTTGTTCACATTGCACTTTAGGGCTAACAAACACTATTTTGTCAATAACTTTAAAAACAAACCTATTTTTTCGAGTCCGGTTTTTTTTAAATAAGTTAATGATGAGAAAAGAGAGATATTTTAAGAAAAATTTTAGGGTTCCCTCTTTGTTTTAAATATGTTATATATCTATTTTTTTAAATATATTTTTTAATATATTTAGTGCTTTTTTTTTAAAACAAAAAATAATAATAAAATTTGAAAATATAGAAGTTGTCTATATGATATCGTTTTCTGATGTTAATAAAATTAAAAGCGTAGTTCTGAACTAAAGTTACATTTATTTTATAGTTCTAAAGGGAGCCATGTATATGTTATAGTCGACCGAATTTAATAAAATTAAAACCGTTTTTCTAAAATCTTTAATCTTTGTCGAATAAAAAAAAATTAAAAAACAAAATAAGTTATAATTTTTGTTAATTTTTTTTCCGATTGTTCCTATAGGAGCTATATGCTAAAGTCGTGCGGCTTATTTCGACTCATGTATGTAGGTATTACCTGCAATAGAATGACGGTAGTAGAAGGACAGACGGACATGGTTAGATCGTCTCTGCTAGTGATGCTGATCAAGAATATATATTCTTTTTAGGGTCGGAAATGTCTCCTTCACTGCGATCCAAACTTCTGACTAAAATTATAACACCTTCTGCAAGGGTATATCTTCTGAAATTTTGATTGGACAAATATTTGGAACTTCACAACGTTCGTTTCCATTAGATTCCATATCTATACCATAATTTGTTGATAAGCGTCAACCGTTGAGCTAATAAAACTAAAAAATACAAATAAGTAACAGTATTTAACTTATTTCACGAGAACCAGTCCAAATTTGATTAATTTCTTATTTATCAGATCTTCGAAATATTTATAACTTTAAAACAAATGCAGTATCGGGGCAGCGGTTTTCGGAGGTGTCGCCAAATTTATAAATAAAGTGAAACACTTGGATTTCAATTATTATTATTTGACTATAATTTGAACGTCCAAAATTTATTTAGACCTGTAATCCCCAAGGATGTTTAAATACCATTACACCTTACAGTGTAGGGGTTTAGTCTTCGGAATTTTTAAATTGCTTAATTAGTTTAAAACAGTCATAAGTTAATTGACACACACGCCGAGCAAAATTAATAGGAAATAAAACTTGTTTCGATAATATGAATTACTTAAATATGTTCGAATAGAGAAAAAAATCGAAAATTACCCTGTTCCTTAATATCAATTTCACATTATTCAAGGGTAAAAACTATATATGTTTGTTGACCTGTGAATATCTAATTTATTTTGTGCTTTTTGTGACTGCAAACGGCATGAAAACAGACTGAATAGTCACAGGTTCTCTCACCTTTTCGATTAAGACTAGATTCTAGATCCTAATTAGCGGAAATGTCTCTTTCAGAGCATTTTAAACTCCTTACAAAATTATAACTCCCTCTGCAAGGAAGAGTATAACAAATACAAATCATCTTTTGGAACTGAGCGGAGGCTTCTAATTAAATAAAACAATTTCTTTTGGCTTTTAAGAGAAAATGTTGTGTTTATTAGACGATAAAATCTAAATAAAGTAACATTGAAGCCCAACCACAGTCTTAATTATTTGGTAATAGGTAGGTAACTATGTAGTTAGACGAAATTTTGTTCCCAGTAAGCCGCAACGTTTTATATCTTACAAAAGCAGTTGAGTGGGTCTTGTCTGCCAAACAATACGAAAATAAAAGTCCCCACAATTTTGTCAATATCCACGACCTAAACTGACCTGACTTGATCTGACCAGTCGTTACCATTTACCAAACCTTTGTGCAGATTTATTTTCTATGTGACTTTCGGCCGCGGGTTCCTCTTCAGTACGATAACGATCAGGGCAACGTACATGAAAAGATCGAAATGGTAAAATTGGTTACAGACATAATGGATAAGTAGTTGCCACAGACCATCAGAGCAGTTCGCAATGTGTACCAAACAAAGGAAAGCTGCCTTACACTCGAAGAAATCTTACCGGGAAACTTACAAGCCGGGTATTTCGGTTCGAAAGGATTTTAAATTTAGCCCGATTTAACTTACACACCACAACCGGCAAACCCAGAGCGGAGAAGAGGAGGGAAGTATCGGTAGCTGTCTTGATTCTAGAGCGGTCCTAGAACGGTAGACGCATGGATTAGTGAGGTTTGTGCGTAGACCAAATTACCTGGTGTGGGCTTGAAATATTGGACTTGGGCTTTGTTTACGAATTCTTACGGAACTAATTTCCGTTTTGGATTTCTGTTCGATTAAATACTTATACTTTGCTTTCACACTAGTCAGATTCAGATTTTCAATTGATTGAAAACTGCAAAAAACAGAGAAAATAAAAGGCACGGGTTAGTGCAAGGGTTTGTGTTCAAGTTGCTTTTGTTGAGCTTAAGTTAAGTGAGTAAGAAAATCCCAGGAACCACCATGGGATAATACCGTATTCGACTCCGACCGATTCCAGCTGCTGATTCTCCGTATTCCCTTGAACCCCCTTACCAAAGGTGGGGAAACAAACACATGTAGGGCTAGCTTTATTTTACTTACTTTTCTTTCATATTCATTTGTTAAGAGATACTTATAAATTTAAATGATTTAAGCTACGCACACATTAGTGAATTCTGGCGTTTAGCGGTCTGGGTTGTAATAATGTTGTTCTGCTCGGCGGCTCTCCAAGCTGTACCTTAAAATTTGCTGTGTAAAATGGAACCGTAGATTGCTATGGTTACTCTCTCCAGGATTGCTGCGCCTCGAGTCAAATGAATAAATAGTTCCGACCCATGCACGGCTGATTTCTACAATTATTAGCCTTAAAAGATGGCTCCGTGACTCTTTCTCTATTGACGCCACCAGCTCGGGTCGCTGGAGCTTTGCTGGCCGTTGTCGGGATTGGGATTCGGATTGGCGTTGCCACGCCCCAGAATGGGCGGCGGCGGCACACTGAACATATTGTGATGCGCAGGCGGCGGCCGGAACTTCTCCTCGTTCTCGTCGTCGATCTCCCTCTTGATGGCCGTGTTCTGGTAGTCGAACGTCGGATAGCCATCGTCGATAGGCTCCTCCTTGATCTTGATGACGTCCATGTCGCGGAAGTCGGGCTTGCGCTCCTTGACATCGCCGCCGGCTCCGGTGCCACGGTCTCGGTCCCTTCGCTCTCTCTTCCGTTCGCGTCGCTCCCTTGAGGACTCCCGTTCGCGGGATTTGGAACGCTTCTTCTTCTTCTCGCGCTCACGATCACGGTCACGTTCGCGCTCCCTTTCGCGCCGATCCCTACGGTCGAACTCGTCGTACCGTTCCCGGCTGCCCGCTCGGCGTTTTCTGCGCTCGCGGGAGCGGCTTCGCGACCGACCACTGCTTGCTACAGCGCCACGTCCGCGATCTCGTTCTCGATCGCGTCGCTCCCTGGAGCGGGAACGACGTCGTTCTGCCCCGAAACCACGTCCAGACCGAGCCTCCAGTCCATTGGAGCCGCCACCAGCACGGCCAGGACCTTCGCGATCCTCGCGCTCCCGCTCCAGCCGGTAACGCTCGCGCTCTCGCTCGTTGTCCTCCCGACCAGAGTGCTTGATGTTGACGTCGTTGCCGCCACGACGCGTACCGCCAAGACCACCACCCAGGCGACGGGGCAGCCAGCCCTTGACCGTGCGAGCCCGCTCCACATCAACCAGGACACGCTTGCTGTCGATCTTCTTACCGTCGGCGTGCTTGTAGGCGGCGTGCATGTCCCGCTCGTGCTCGTACTCGATGAAGGCATAGCCCTTGGGTTTACCTGACTCCTGGTCGTGGATCAGGACGATCTTCTTGATGGGGCCGTAGAACTCAAACTCGCGTCGCAATTTGGACTCGGATGTGTCGTAGTTGATGCGGGCAATAAACAACGTACGGAACGGGTCCTCCGTGGCATTCTTGATCTCGGTGGGATCCCAAAGTGCGATCTCCCGCTCCAGCTTGTAGGCCACCTGCTCGGCCTTCTCGCGGCGGCGCCGTTCCAGCCGCTCCTGGCGCGTTTCCACCGTTTTAGGCAGCGGCGTGTCCTTGGGGTCCTCGAAGTCGGCCATGAACTTTGCCACTCCCAGGTAGCCGCGGGATTTCTTCTCGTGTGGCAACTTGTCCACCGGCGGCATAAACGGTATGGGGTCCCGCGCAGCGAAAAGCGCCAGCAAATTCGGCGGTAGATATTGGGTCATTTTGGGATCGTTTTTTGTTATTACCTTTTCCTGAAGTTCCTCGTCTGCGAAAAAAGGCACATTGAGGTTAGGTTTCGATTTGTTTACCTGGATGGAGTAAGAAGCACACAAGCCACTTACCTTAGACAGCCATCCGCTTAGCGAGAATAAAGTCGTATGTGTGCTTCGACTTAGCAATGCACAAACTATAGAATAGCTTGTCCGAAAATTATTTCCCAATTTTTCACCACTTTTTCGCCTGGCTTGTGTAGTAGAGGTGGTAAACCACCGATGCCAATATCGATGTCATCGATGTTTCTAAAACATCGGTTACATCGATGTTTGGCGTGCAACATCGATGTTTTTCTATTTCTAATTGCGGGCAAGACGGACATGTAAATTGTAAGTGTAAAATATGTATTTAATCTTATCACTTTAAATATTTATTGTGTTAAAATTTAGTGTTCTGTCTTTGGTGGTGGATAAATTTCTGAAAAGTAGTATCCTGAATCAATTTGCCCAAAAAGAGGTATATTTAACATGAATAAATGTTCAGAAAAAATGTGATTATTTTAATATTTATGGTAGTAGTAGGCTGTAAATTATGCTGTGATTCAGTATTTTTAAAGTATTTAGATAATTTATATTTGGCTCTTTTGTGATTTAATGTAGATGGAGATACATTTTTCACCAAGTCAGCAGTTTTAACGGCAATGACTTTGAATGTAATTAAATGAACAAATGTCAATTCAATAATATGAAAGTTTAGGAAGGTATTGACTTTAATTTGAACTGCTGGGAAGAAAGCTGGAGAACCTACAACGGGCGCCGAAAAACAGTCATCATCCATCATAGGGCAACATTGTGAATAAATTAGCTGAAAAATTGTTCGCTTGTTAATTTAGTTTTTATAATATATATTTAGTTTTGCGTTTGTTTTAATGGCGGGAAATTTAATTTTTAAATATTCCCCTACAAAGATTTACAAGTTTTCGTGGCGCCATCTCATTGTCAAAACTATTCGCTCTGTATCTCTAAATAAGCGATCACCAAGGGCCTATCTAATAAAATAAAAATAGTGTTTTGCCTGCAAAGCAGCGACCGAGCAGTAGGAGAGTGGCGCCAGTGGAATCATTAAATAAATAACTTCAAAAAAACAAGCTCGATTTTTTAAACTTGTGTCTTACGATATATATTATCGAAACATACACGAGAAGCCCATTAACTATGGTCTGACATGTCTCATAGTGACATGACAGACTCATTGGAACAATCATTAATTGAATTGAATTAATATTGAATTGAACTTGAATATTATTCAATATTCTTTGACTAATGGTTGATTATTTTAGAATTAAGGTTTTAGTTGCATTACACTCGGAAATTATTCTATTAAATCTAGCAAATATTGTAGACCCAAAAATCCGTCAATGTACCTTTTTTTAATCGGAAATACTATAAAAATATGTTTAACGGTTTCTAATAATACTTTTGAAAAATTTTGACCGACAGTTGGCTATGTTTTTGGCTAGATTTATTGTTTTTCGAGGTCATGGTTTAGTTACTTTTTTTCTCTTGTTTACCAACGCATCTTCTCTTCTGCCTTCCCGCCAATCGTTTTTTTTTAGTGGCCAATCTTTTTTTTGAACAATAATAAGTAATTATAATTTAAGTCGATTATTTTTAGAATGGCACAAGTTTAATAACTTTGTTAAACCCCTTTGTATTATACAAAGTCTGTAACAAGGCAACGTTACCAGCACTGATCGCCAATTCCTTCCTCTCCACCATCATTCGCTGTGGTATTTTTTTCGGTATTTGGCGCTATAACTATCCCGCTTACTCATCGCTCAAAGCCGAATAACGGATCTTAATATTGAACTTGTGTTAAACGTGATTTCGTTCTTTTGCATAGTTTGAAATTTCGACCCGATCAAAAGTGTTCGTTTTAATTTTTAAACCAAAAACCCCTTATCAACGTAAGTATGGACCATTTAAAAGAGGCTGCGATCGAATCGACTGGTAGATTACAAAGCAAAAGCGTAATGCAAATGGCCGAAGCTAAGCAAGAAAATGGCGCTGGCGCCCTGAAAATTGAGACGGATCAGGCCCCGTGTCACTACCTCTCGCTTCCCGGCGAGGATCAGCGAGAGGATGTGGTGACCCCCGCTGAGAAGGCCAAGTTCCAGTACCCGCCACCTCCTCCACCCCCGACTCCCGTTCAAGTTCCGCCTACATCCAAGACCACCGCTATGACCGCTCCTCTGGAGCACGACGATGACGAGGCGAACTCCGAAAAATGGGAGGATCCCTGTGCCCCTCCCCCACCGCCACCGTTGCCGGCCAACGCTTTCCTGGCTACCGGACTAGGCTACCTCAAGCTGCCCGCATTTAAGCTGAAGGACGCCCTAGAGAAGGCCATCGCCAAGCTGGAGGCCAACAAGCGGGTGCAAAAGTCCAGCCCAGAGGTATGTTCATTAAATATAGAAATAGAAAATAATATATATCTTTTATTAAGCATTTATTTAAATTTATTTATTATTTTTTTGTGTTTTGGCCTACAATTAATTAACCTTTTAGTGTGATCATGCTAAGTTTTCTTTTGTTGCTTTGTTGTTTTAAAATTCCAATCAGTCCGTGTGTCCGTCCGTCTGTCCGTCCGTCTGTCAGTCCGTCCGTACGTCTGTCTGTTCGTCCGTTTATTTCTACGCAAACTCGACTCTCAGTTTTAAAGCTATCTGCATGAAAATTTCCCAAAAGTTGTCTTTTTATTGCAGGTAGTATATACATACATACATACATAAGTCGGAACTAGCCGGATCGGGCGAGTACAGCATATACATAGCTCCCATAGGAACAATCGAAAAAAAACGCAAAACAAGAAAAGAATTGAATTACAATTTAAATTTTATTTAGATCGATCGGTTATAGCATATACATAACATGAAAAAAGGGAATACTAAAAAATGTATAAAAACAAAATTTTACTTTTTTGTTTATTTGAATAGTTCTTTTTTAACATAGTTATGGTTTAAAGTTTCAGAATTAAGCTTTTAGTTTTATTAAAATTGGACGACGATTTCATAAAGCTGCCATTGGAGCGATCAAATCATTGAGCTAAAAATCGTCATAGCTTCAATGTTTTTAAACATATACGCATAAAAAACAAAATGTATATTAAATTTGGGAAATAAATAGCTGCAAGGGTGTATAAAGTTTAGTTGCGGTAGTTTGCTTAGTTTTTGTTTTGTTTCATTTATTTTAATTTATTTATCATTAGCATTTATAAATTTGTTATTAAATTCAGATAAAATCCGTAAAGAAACGCAAGTGTAATCAGCCTAAGTTTGCTTGTGATTCTTTCTTTTTGTAACACTAAAGGTTACATAAAGGTTACATACATAGGCAGTGCATGAATAATAAAGGTTGAGTTTCACAAGTTGCGTTGCAATAATAATAGCAACTTTAAACACATGCTTCAAACTCAAATCGAATTCGGTAATTTAACTTAAAAGCAAAATCAAAAAAACCTCTTCAGTAGTGGGTTTGTTGAAAATACAATGCAAACATCTAATAGTACCTTGTAAACGATAATTTGATTCTAATGTCCTTGCTGAAAGTATTACAATATCGGTTATATTAATATTAATTATTATTTTAAAAATAAAGTATACATATTCTTGAATAGATGTCGACATAGCCATGTACGTATGTTTCTACAAGGTTGGCCTAAATAAGTCATCCGTTGTTTTTTGGAGAGCCAAATTGAATTTGAGAGCCAACCAACATCGTATGACTTCTTTTGGCCCACCTTGTAGAAACTTGGTTTTAAAGCTATTTCACTATTCTGCGAAACATAAAACACTTGCAGTGGTCATACAAATTCATTTATATGCTTTAATATCTCTATGCAAAGTACAGAAAAACTAAATAATTATGTATTAATAATAATATATATATAAAAATCATGTTCGAGTTAACATCCAAGAAATTTGATATAGTCGTTAAATTTGACATTACGTTCAACATCACAGTTTGATCCTCATACTTACATACATACATACATCATGTCATTTTTTAATTGTTGTTTTTATTTTAAAACACAGTCTGCTCGTCCCATTAAAAACAAGAAAGTGGAGGCCATTGAAATGTTACCAAGGCGTTTAAGCCACGAAAAAATAGGCGATGGTCCGATGATGGCCTCCACGTCCACGGCTCTAGTTCTGCATCCCAAGACCAAAAAGCCCGCCGTGATTGTGGAGCTGGAGAGGCGTCTCAAGATTGCCCATTTGCTGGCCAAGCAGAATCGAATTCTCGCAGCCACTTCCCGGGAGGCCATTCCGATGCATGGGTCCTCGAAGCAGCCGCATGAGGACGAGGGACTGTCGCTTCAAGTGCTCTCGGCCAGGGCATCTACGCCGTACACCCAGCCCACCACTATGTTGTCCTGCACGGCCGTTAGCTGTGACCTGGAGCACGACTCTCCAAAGAAGCAACAGGTCAACAGGGACATCGTGCCGGAACAGCAGCCGCGTCAGGTGCAGCAAAAGCGTCCTTTCAGCACGGTAACCCACAAGCCAGGAAGTCTGCGGGCGCCCAAGGCGGTTCGCCATCCTGCCGCTCCAATAGTCGGTAGCAAGCCGGTCAAGAGCTATACGCGCTCCCACCTACTGGAGATTCGCAACGAGATGTTTAATGCCCTGATGCACAGGTCCAAGGAAAGCTTTGTTATGCCCCGCATCGCCACATGCGATGACATTGAACTGGAGGCCCGGCTTCGGCGCATGAATCTCTGGCGCATCTCGGACGGGACGAGATTCCGGACCCGCTCCAGCACCAACAGCTCGAGCCTGAACAACAATGAGTGTATGCCCGCATTCTACAAGAACAAAAACAAGCAGTTGATCAGCGACGAGTCTATCATCCAGAGCCAACCACCGCAGCCGCAAACGGAGTTCCAGGTGAGCACTGATTTTTCATGGGTCTTTGGGTGTCTGATTTCCTTGTTTTAAATTAAATTGTTAAGCGTTTTATACTCTTACTTTTTATATTGTATTATTGGAGGCATGCAATGAAGCCCAGTGCTCTCCAAATGGTTGCTTTAGAGAGAAAACTTTATATGAACCTTAAATTTAGAACAGTGAAATAAAGAGAAAAAAAAATAAAGGCAATGAGGAATTGATTCCGTATGTGAATCTTAAATTGTATTCTTTGTGTATTTGTTTATTTAAGTTATGCATTTTGTTTTTGTATTTGTCGGCGCTGATTTTTAGATTAAAAATCAATTGTTTTCAATAAAAAAAATTTACAAAAACAAAATACTTAATACTTAAATAAATAAAACAAGGATAACCTTTTTTTTTAATACCTAAAAAAATTTCATTCTATATAATTTAAAAATTTGTTTGGAAACTTCTATTAGTTTGGAAACTGTCTAGATGACATTTTATACTTTCGTATCTTTAAAATTCAATTTTTTATTCGCTCCCTTTAAATTTTTAAATGCAAAAAATTTGCGAAATCTCGATTGTTTTGCCATTTTTGTATACTTTTTTAAATTTATTTCAAATCGGAAGTTTAATGTTTTTAAATATCAAACAAAAATTAAATTAAATAACATCAATAAAATCAAGCCTTTTTACTGAACAATTACGAAGCTGATTTCCGAATAAGAAGCTAATTAAATAAATTAACATAAATTTTTTTAAAACTAACAATTGTCCCCAATTTCGGTATCAAAAATATTTCGTGTTTTGTTTGATATCAAAAGCTTTTGTTTAACTAACCTTAAAGTACAACCATGCATAAAATGCTTATTATAAAGATCTGAAATGGGGTGCATTTTTTTACACCGAATAACTCCTAATCGCGAATTTTTAAGTTTTAAGTTTAATGGCAAGAGCTATAAGAGCTCAAGAGAAGACTAATGTCAAGGAAAATAAACAGTCCTTAAAAGTAACTTTCTAACTTTTATAACACGTATGTGTTTCTGTACCTTTAGGCGGTTTTTAAAAGGTCGATTTTAAAATCAAGCTGTTTAACAAAGCTAAAATTCCATGACCCTAAATCCAAGATTTTATGGATAGATACTAATTTTTGTTTTATTATTTTGACAAACTTGTTAGTTAGCCAGTCAGAGCGCAGCCAACGCAGGTTTTTTACAAGTACAAGTGAAACCGATCGAAGCATCACAGAATATTCTCAATTCTGTGGCTTTATATTAGTAGTCACCGCCTTACGCACTTAAAATGCAAGTCGACCTTAATAAATAGTAAATCTAAATTAAAATACATTTTTTCGATAATACCCTTGCTTATATTTCCATTTTACTTAAATAGCTATAATTTAAATAATCAAATGGGCTTGGCATTGATATCTCCGCAATCAAAAAAAAAGCGTAGATGTTAAGTCTCCAGTCATACTTCCACATACTTTCCTAGCTCAGTTTAATAATATTTAAAATATTTTTTGGATATCCCTTTTTGTTTTGCTAATATGTGGTTTTTACACAGAAATTAAGAATTCAATTCGTTGATTGTGTCCTTTATCTACCATATGTCTAACTAACTGACCCCCCTGGCTATACACACATTATTCGCTATGTGCAAAAGCTATATTCATATTACTTTCCCAATCGCATTTTCTCGCAAATCGTACGACTAACCTTAAATAAAAGAAACAAACTTTCTTTCTCTGTGTATAGTCGCATTCCAAGTTCTATATACTTTTCTAAATCTTTGAACTAATTAATTAAAAAATTGAAGAGTCAGATAGCAGTGTCTATTTGTTTTTTTACATATATGTATGTACATACATACACAAAGTATCGGGAACACGGATTTCATCTGTCTTGTCATCTTATTAGGTAACACAAAGTCACTTATTCCTCGGCTTATCTGATAAATCAATGATTGCAATGCATGACCTCTACGGGTCTTTGGCAATCATCCTGATCGCTATGTGGGCCCTCGATACAGTCAAATCATTATTTAATCATATATTTACAAGTGATTGTTTATAGCTATTTAGTAATTACAACGATAGGACTTTAAAATCATTGGGTATTAACTGTTTTTTATTACATATTATACCAATTGCCAGCAGCTGTTTCAGATGGCGGTGATTTTGAAAGTTAACTTAAGCGAATTTATTTCTCCAGGTAATGACACTTTCCATCGACCTCCCGCAATCGCTGGGCTGCCTGCTCAGGAGTCAGATCCCTCTGGGCCATGGCCAGTAGTTCGAATCCGACCATGAACTTGCGTACGGTGGCTGATCGGAGCAGCGGCGGATAGTAGATGGCGTGCAGGGTCCAATGGGCACTGGAGGCATGTGCATGCTCCGGTCCCGTTGGTGCTCCGTGCCAGCCCATCGAGTAGGGAAACGAACATTGGAACAGGTTGTCATACTTTGTGGTCAGCTCCTTGATGGTTACCGCCAGGTTTTGGCGCTGTTCCAGCGTTAGATCGTTGATCCGTTTGTTGTTGTTCCGTGAGATAAGCATGGTTTCGAATGGCCAAGTGGCCCAGAAGGGCACCACCACCAGCCAGTCGGGATTTTCGATCACGATCCGCTCCTGGCGCTGCAGCTCCCGTTCCACATAGTCGGACAGCATGGGTCGCTCGTTGGTGGAGTAGTAGGAACGCAGACGCTCCTGCTTCAGCTGCGGTTCCGTCGGCAAGAACGAGCACGACCAGATCTGGCAGTGCGGATGGGGATTGGAGCAGCCCATGGTGGCTCCCTTGTTCTCGAATATCTGAACCCAGGCGTACTTCGCACTCAGCTCGTTGAACTGGCTGATCCACCTAAAAAGTAGAGATACACATAGTGGGGTTTATTAAGTGTGCTTTCTGATAAAAGCCATAAACCTTGAACTTACTCGTCGATAACAACGACAATTTCTGCTGCACTCATCGTGGGCAACGTGAGATTCGATTTGGGATGGAAGCACATCACCCGGCAATTGCCACGGGCAGGTGCAATTTGGAACAGAGGATCATCGCTGTTGGGGGGAACGGGCACAACTTCCACCAGGGCCGGAAAGTCATTCTCGAACACATAGGTGCTTTTGTAGGCAGGTGTTTCCTAACCATTTTACATAGATATTACAATTTAGCGAAGGATATAGCCATTCCGACTTACAATTCCATTGGGTCGGGTGACTCCGGGGCAAAGGGGATTGCTGGGGTCGAAGTCGGGCAGCTCGTTCTTCTGTGGCTTCTCCTGTTGACCCGACCAGGGGCGTTGTGTTCGATGTGGGCACACCAGGACCCATTGTCCGGTCAAGGGATTTAGACGTCGGTGCGGGTGTTCTGTAAAGTTAAAAAAAATTGTTTTTTAAGTTGTGGTGTTTGAATTATATGCTATTTTAAAAGCTTATTTATGAACAACTTTTTAGTACTTTTTTAAAACACAAAAAAAAGACTTGCAAAAAGTTCTTTTAACTATATAGAAAATGAATTGATAATTTTTTTTTAAAATCAGGATTCTTCGAAGAATAATATATAATTAGTGCAGCACTTAGACCTACTGTTCTGTTGAGCACAGCTATAAAAATTTTGTAATGCCGTCAGAAAATAATAAATTAGGCACTTGAACCATGGTTTTGAAAATTCAAAAACCTATATACTTTAGAGCTAGGAATTGGCTTGGAAATACACCCACAGATTGAACTGATTGGGTTTTCACATGCTCACCGCTTCACTTACCACTGGCCACAAACTGCATCGTGTCAAAAGTCTGGCACTCGTATCACTCCGATCGGGTTATGACTACTGTTTACAGTTATGGTCTGCTCCGCATCCAAACGAATTCACGGGACAGCGCAATGTCAACCTGCCAAGTAGCGATTAGGGGTGCGAGTGCTATTCCAATTCCAAATCCAATTCGTATGCCCATGCCGATTCCAGTGTTCGTACTCGTAGTGCCTAGATTGAGTTTTTCACTCTGCCAAACGCGATTTTACCGCTCTTTTCACTTCACTCTCGCTCTTTGTCTCTCGCTTGCTCTGCGGGCAACCGTTTAGTTTAGCAAGCATTCTGCCTTTTAGTTGAACTGTTTTTTTTTTGTTTTGTTTTATAAGCTTTATTTCTCGCACTCAACTGGCCGTGCTGATATGAATGTGTAAATGTGTTAGTCTGTGGTGTCGGAACTACTTTGTTGGCCATTAGGGATGTGCAAAGGGCGATACAATGATCATAGAGATGGGGTTTTATAATAAATATAAGTTATATATATAATAAGTTTAATAAATAAAGAAAAAATATATACATATGCAACCTCATTTTCATTGTATTTGTTGAAAAGTACAGAAAGGAACCGTTTCCGACCATATGAAGTATGTATATATATTCTTGATCGGGATCAATAGCCGAGTCAATCTAGCTGTCTGTATGAACGATGAGATCTCGGAAAATATAGAAGCTAGAGATTTGGGACTTGGAATGCAGATTCTTGTAGGTCCTAGTGCCAGTATATTTCAAAACGGAGTATGTACTGTCACTCTGAGACATGTTAGACACATGGACTCTATTTCGAGCTAATGTTTTAGATGTTATCAGATGTTCTCAGAATTTTACAATAATTCAAGCAGTAAGCAGTTAAAGTTTTGGAATTTTAACAGCCTTTTCAACTGAACAACTGAATACATCTTTTGGGTTTAAAGTTAGTTTGGTATTTATTCAATCATATTTATTTTACATTATATTTCAATATACAGATAACTTTGCAGTTTTTTAATTTTTTTGTTTCGTTGTTCGAGATATAGCAATGGTTAAATATTTTAAATACCATTAATATGGGTCGACTATATCACATAGCTCCCTTTATAACAATCAAAATATTAAAAAATAAAAATATTATTTTTATCATAATAAAAATATGATAGTTTACAATTTTGCTTTTAAAATCGAAAAAGGATATTATATAGCTGCCACAGTAACGATCGAATGATCATAGCATCAATGTTTTTAAACATATTTGTAAACATATTAAAATTTCAATGTTTTTTATAATATTTCATTTTTTCAATAGCAGAAAGGGTATATGAATTTCGGCTTGTCGAAGTTTGCTTCCTTTCTTGTTATAAGTAACTTAATCATTTTATGTTATAAATTGTAAAACAACCATATTTTGATTTGTAGCTGCAATAGGGGTTGTTCTAAAGATGTTTTAAAACAGTTCTTTATTTAAATTTGAAAATACCAGGATCCGGCTATTGTAAACCAAAGACGTATTGGAAGCGGTCGCTTTAATCATTCGAAGTGGTGTTACAACGACGGCGATTTCCATTCTACGCCATCGTACCACAATGGCAAACCGCAGATGGAAGAGCTTAGTTCGAAACACCAGAACAGCAATAACCTGACGGTCCTGCAATTCTTTGACAATGGCGAGATCAGCAGTAATCCCATGGGCCATTCTCAAGGTCGACCGAACACTCCAGTCATGGGAATGTCTAATAATCGCACCGAGAATGAGACGTTGCAGTCCAACGAGTCCAGCGAGGATCTGAGCCGGGCAAACGAAAACTACGTGAAGCGAGTCATGTCCGGATTCCTGGTTGTTTCGAAACCCAAGTCTAGGGACGTCGAGGATAGGCATCACCGGCGCTACAGGAACCAGACCGAGGAGCCGGAGTGGTTCAGCTGTGGTCCCACCTCAAGGCTGGACACTATTGAGCTGTGCGGCTTCGATGAGGACGAGGAGAAAATGCTCAAGGAAGGCAATAAACATCACCGAGCTGTCGAAATAGAGGGGGAGACGCAAAAACATAAGGTAAGCAGGCGCCAAAACCTACTTCACGGCATAATAAATTCTTCATTTTCTTTAGGTGGACCAAAATAAGTACAAATGGATGCATCCGGAGCCCATTGGTCACAATAAATATATGCCCAAGCACGATGGAAACAACAACCAGAATGTCGAGAGCAAGAACAAGGCTCGGGCCGTCGATCAACATCTGCTAAAAGATGACAAACGTTCAGGCAGTGTCCGTTCGCTTCAGTTTGATAAGTTTAATCAAGGGCAGCAGAATTATGAGAGTGGCAATTATGTAAATCACCAGCAGGCGCCTCAAACGCAGCCACAACAAATGCAGCAGCAAGTAAATACAAATACTAATGATTCTAAATTTATGTCATTCTTCGCCCGCGAGAGGAATACCTCGTCGTCTTCGCTAAACGAATTTTTCAAGCAGGCCATGAACCAGGGGCATGCCAACAATTCGGAGCAGCCCAAGTCACTGAGCCACATGAGTCAGATGCCGTCGGTGGAGCAATTGGAGGCCAAATGGCGTCGAAACTCGCTGACCACTGCGGTCGATTCTGCCAGCAAGCAGTCCGATAACTTTCAAAAGCTGATTGGCTCCCTCAGTGCGGCTAAGCCGCAGCAAAAAACCCAACCACAACCGTCGGCGGTGGGTTGCGATGCCATTTCTAACTTTATTATGCAGCAGCAACAGTACCAGCAACAGCAACAGAAGCAGCACGTCATCATCCAGCAGCAACAGCAACAGACCGCCTTTTTGGCTGGTCTGCAGCTAAAGGCTATCCTCGGACGGGCCGACACCCAATTGCTCCTTCTCCGCTTGACCAAAGGTAAGCTGGAGGAATAAACAACATCTTGGGATAAACAACATCTTAATCTGGACTTCTCGGTTCAACAATTCGGCGCACAGAATGTTGAATCGCATACAAATAAGTTTGACAAATCCGGAAAAAGTCCTAATGACTTCCCAACTTCTTGTGATTTTGTTGAAGTAAATTTACTTAGACTTTAGACAAATTTTTTAAAAGTTCATAATAATATCTTAACCAAAAAATAATTGGAAAACCCGACATTTAAAGAGGTCACAGGGACAAACATGTCTCTCCTAGCATACCTTCACTAAGAAAAGTGTAGATGATAAATTTCAGAGCACTGCACGAATAAAATCCTTAGACTTCTCCAGAAAAAAATCTCCAGTAAATCAGCTTCCAAAAATTTTCGATTCAAAAAGCCTCAGATCTCAGCTTTCGAAAGAAAGGGCTCATTGGAATCATAAGCTCATGGACCTATGGGCTCTAGTAGTTCAATCTTACGATCGGAGCTTAGAAATGTGATGGTTGTAAAGCAATCTGACCAAAGAAATTGGGGATATAATTTCTTTATAGTTAATTTCTATGATAGACATAAACATTATCTTCAATATTCGCCAAGAAATGTACCCTCATAGGAAATTTTTGTATGGGTAAATTAGCTTATGTCAGGAGCTTGGAGGGTTGGTAAACATTTTTACTTAAATTGGAGAACTAATGATGCGAAATCTTCTGAAACTCAAAAACAATAATATTTATCTGTCCTGCGAAAGCTTTTAACGGATAACTTTTAATAAATCAATTCAAATGGAGTGGACTTGTATTGGTACAACTTATTTATTTACATTTAAACCTAGCTGTTCCAGTTTGTGACAGTGGGTATCCGTTAAAAGCTTCCGAAGGACCGTCGTTGGGAACGATTACTTATTACTTGTTCACTTGGTTTGAAAATCAGTTTCCACCCACTTCTTCTTACTATCCCCAATTCCTTGTTCAAAATATTTAAAAATTGCTGCCTGCACTTTTCTTGGGAAAGTCTGCCCTTTTCAATAAAGGATTGCTTGTAACTCTCGATTAAACATTTGTTGGTCTTCCTTTTAGGGGAAATCTCGAAGCACGGACTGCTAGTGCAATTGGCCAACCCACGCTTGACCGACATGGATCGAGAAGCCATCACGGCTGTTCTGCAATTCACCAACACCCAGCAGCAGCAGCAGCAGCACAAACAGCAACTGGACATGCTTTCCAGCACGGTTATTGCCAGCCAACTGCAAAACCTTCACAACCTAGCCATTGTCCAGCAGACATTGGTCGCAAGACAGCAACAGCAGCTTAATCCACAAGCTCAGGCGCCGCAGCAACTGTCTCAAGAGGATTTACAGGCCCATGCCAACGTCATAATGCGAAACGCTGTGATGAAGCGCAAGATGGAGGAGCAGACCTCCAAGTTGGTTAATGGCGGTGCCAAACATGCGGCACAGCAGTCACAACTAAACCGTGATTATCAACGCCAAGCCCGACCGGATGCCGCCTCGAATGCACTGCTCCATGCCTTGATCTCTGGCGGTGGCAATAACCAAGCTTTTGGTCACCTCATGGCTGGACAGCAGCAGCAGCAGCAGCAGCAGCAGCAGCCATCTCATTCAAACAACCGACGTCCTGCTGCTGATGGCAATTTGCGATTCGGCGAAAAGCAACATTTCCAAACTTTCGAGCCCAGCCAGCCGCACTTTCCAACGCAATACAAGCAGCACTACCAACAGTCGCAGCAACAACAACCTCAACAGCCCCAGCAACCGCATACTCGCCACCAGAACAACGCCGGCGGCGGCAACAATTTCACCAAGTCCAAAATACAGGCCCAATCAGCCATTTCGATGCTGCCCAATGGCGGAGGTAAGTCACTATAGAAAATTAGTTTGGAAAATCTATTCTCAGCAATTTAATGCAAGATAGCTGTATAAAAAGGTTACATGTAATTAAGCATATTGGGAAATTTATATTTTGAACGCGGTATTGGGCTCTACATTATCCGTTTCTTAACAACCTTTTAGGGAATCATAGTAAAGGGTAAATCGGCTCGCTTTTCTTTGTGTTGTACTTCGGTGTGAGTCAGACAGTCCGCTTATATCTTAAGAGCAGAGTATATATGCACTTTAATGAACACTTTCTCGAATTATTTGTAAACTGGTTTTAATGACTGCAAACATTGCACACTTTGTTTGTACGTCACCGATAAATTCGCCCAAGTCTCAGGGCGTCAAGATTCAGTTTGGCACTTGAACAAATCGTTAAGGATTTGCTATATTTTCTCAGAAAAATAAGTGAAATCAGCTTTATTATTTGCAAAACATAAACAAAAATAAGTTTTAATAAGTATAATATTTTCAGTCAGAAGTTTGCAACGCAGTAAAGGAGGCATTTCCGTCACTGTGAAGTGTAAATATTTTTGATCAGCATCACTAGGAGAGTCGATCTAGCCATGTCCGTCTGTCCGCTTGTCCGTCCGTGTGTCCTTCCGTCTACGCAAACGTAGTCTCTGTTTTTTAGTTCTTCGACTAATATTAATGATTAAATATTTTAGAATTACGGTTTAAATTTTATCAAAATCAGACGACTATAACATAAAGTTCCCATGGAAATATAAAAAAAAATGAAAATAAAAAAAATTATGTTTTGTAATTTTTTTTTTAAATTCTTTTTGACTGATTAATATTTTGATAGTTCAGAATTACGCTTTTAATTTTATTAAGATCAGAAACGATATCATAAAGCTGCGAATCGTCATAGCTTCAATGTTTTTAAACATATATACATAATCATAATTTTTATGTTTTCAAGAATATTTCATTTTTGCAATAGCTGCAAAGGTATGTATATGAAATTCGCATTTCTTGTTGACTTATTAATAATTTGACAGTTCAGAGTTACTCTTTTATTTTTACTAAAATCGGAAAATGATATCATAAAATTGAGCTGCAAATCATCATAGCTTCAATATTTTAATGTTTTCAAGAATATTTTATTTTTGCCATAGCTGCAAGGGTATATGAACTTCGGTTTGCCGTAGTTTGCTTCTTTTCTTGTTTATTTTGATATTCAAGTATCTTGTACCTGGTCAAATTTTGTTTAATATCAGCTCTTAAAATGTTTTTAAAGGGCAACGGAAATTTTCAATGTGTTTAATATCTATTACTTACATATTTTTTGGAACAAAATGGTTAAACCTTTAGCTGTATTATAAGCCTAAAAAAATGTACCAGAACTTCCTAGACTAGCTGTTTGAGCAAAGCATCAGCAGAACGTAAGTTGGTGGTCAAGCTTTAGATTTCCCGAACAGCTTCTCACTCCCCTGAGTCATGGGCTCTATTTGCCGCTGATTATTGCACAATCGTTTACCCATTGATCTTCCGTTGGATATTGGTGCTATTACGTACGTGGGACATTCCCAGAGCCAGAAGTATTTGCATCTCTCTCGCTTTATGGCGGGTTTTTGCTTTCTATTATTCAAGGTACGACCCGCCCGCCACAAGGCATAAAATATAAAAACAAACAACGACATTACGAGTGGCTTTATCAGCCACCGGAATGGAATGGAGTACAAATGAAATCGGCCAGGGGAAATCAACGACACGCACGATTACTAAAAGCGGGTCAAGAGCACTCTTATAGAAGCTTCGACTTCTTGTCAGGTCTTCAGAGTAGAATATTATTCCTTAAAAAAACATAAAACTTCCACTAAGAAGAACACCCACAAACTATTGTTTGTTTCAACCTCTTATAGTTTTTGCCATCTTGACTATGTAGTCATGTTAGATTTGTTTGTATTTTTATTGCATATTTAAAGATAAAACCGCCTTAGTGACTTAGTTCTGGGTGGTGGGAGTGTGGACCTTTCCGGCAAACAAAATGTTTCCGGTGGACTCCTCCTCGATAAAGAACACAAACGGCCGGTTCACGTTGAACTCCTCGATGGCGGTGCTGCCCCCGAACTTGTTCTCGATCTCGACAACCGTGGCGGCATAGGCCTCCGTACCCTTCTCGTTCACATTGATTCCGGCCTTCTGCAGGATGTTGGACACCTTCACTTTGCCGGCGACATCGGCTCCGCGGGTCAATCCCGGCAGCGAGGCACTATCCTCAAAGATTTCACGCACTCCCAGACTGCGTAGCGTCTCCTTGAGGTTCTGCTGGTAGTCAAAGTGGAACTTGGGCAGCGTTACCTTCACCTTCACCTCCTCCATTGCCCACTGGGCGCCCTTGAGCTCGTCGTTCTCAAGGTTCTGGACCAGTTCATGGATGCCATTCTGTGTGTACGGCAGCAGCACGAACAACGAGTTTTTCCCCTTGTAGGGCAGACGCAGAATCTGTGCCTTTAGCTTCTCCGAGTTTGTGTAGAAGAAGTAGTCGGTCTGCTCCATGTACTCCACCCGCGATTGATCGTCCTTGCTGCGGAAAAAGGCTCCTTGGAAAGTGGTGGCAAACTGGCGGCGCCACAGACCATTGAAATAGATCAGATTGGTCAGCAGCATCACGCTGCTGCGCACATTGTCTGGTGCCACCAGTTGCTGCAGTCTGCCCTGTGTGATGTTGGCGGCCCAGGCATTAATGGCATCGGCCGCCGCCTCCGGGTTGGTAAAGTCCAGGGCCTCCACTTCGCTGTCATAGAAATGCTTCAGCGTGGCCGTGAACTTTTGCTGCGTCTCAATAAAGCTATCCGTGAAAAGCTTGGTGCGCACACTTAGCGTCTCATGCAGCTGGTTTTCCTTTTTGAAAGAGTTTAGGGTCTTGCGGTAGAACTCCCTGACGTTGTTCTGCGACCGGATGTCCGTCTGAGTGTTGGCCAGCTCAACTTGGGTCTGGGTTCCGGCTCCGGCCGCCTCGGCCAGCAAGGCCAGAACTAGTTTCACGGAAAACGGCGAGATGATCACATTCTTGGGTGCCGTCTCGTTTTGCAGTACCGTTTTGAGCAGGTGCCACGAGAAGGGATCGTGCGAGTCGCTCCTGAAGGGCACAAAGGTGTCGATGTCATCGTAGACACCCACTCCACCGGATGGCAGGGGAGCAGCGCCACTGGGCAGCTTGTCTGTGCGGGTCTCGAAAACGCCTTGGGGCGTCGTGGTCGTCGGAATGGAGTTGCCATTGCCGGTGGCAAACGCGCTTAAAAGCAGCGACAGCAGCATCAGTGCCAAATTTCCGCCCATCTTTGTCATTGCCTTACTTGCTTCTTCGTATCGATCTTCTTCTGGCGTTTGCTTTCCGCTTCTTATACGCAGCAAAGCAACTGTTAATGCGGGGCTTCGGGAGGGGGCGAGAAGCGGGAGGGCTCCGGCGAACGATAACCGTTTGAAGCGCCGTTCCAACTGAGAGTGACTGGCGGAGCTGAGCGAACGAGCTATTTTAAAAACCAGCTTCAAGCCGCTCTCTCTGCCCCTTTGCCGCTGCTGCAGTCGCAGTCGCTGCCGCAGTCGCAGTCGGCATTGGCGTTGTCGTGCCTGCACGAGTGTCGTTTTTGTTGGGACTCCCAAATGGAAGCGCACGGCCTACGTCATTATCTCCTGACAAAGAGATGATGATAATGCAGTGAAGAGGAGTGGATGGAACAAACGGGATAGAATAGAAGTAGAATTACAAGCGATCACAAATTCTTCGCAGGTTGTATTACTTTAGTAAATCCGTGCCAAATGTAAATACACCAGTGTGGTATGAACTTTATACATATAAAGTCCTTTTATCATCCCTAAAGCTTATCAGAAGAAAAAAAAACTGTCATTCATACGTACTGTTGCCTTTGATAAAATATATTATTGAAACCGACAAACAACGGCTCGGCTTATTTCAATCATTTATCTAAATGGTTTATGGGTGGTAGTACTAAATATATTTTTACATTTTAATTTGTATTTTTGTTGAAATATCGCTTTTTAATGATCGCTTATTTGCTTTTTTTGCTTTTACGGACTTTTGCATAAAATTCTGTACAATCCAATGACGACTCAGTTTCTTTTACGTCCGCTGCAAATACCCAACGCAGACAACTATTAATAGCTAATAATTAAAATTTGAATTTTAAATAAGCTTACGTTATGCAAGGAAATGTCTGGCAACACCGGCCAGGAACCAGTGTTGGTAAGCGAGAGCTTCCAACAGCTGATCCGAAACCAAATTTCATGCTGCGTTGATGTAACAGTTGCCGGCGAAAGAAACTTGTGCATTTCATGTCAAATAACAAATAAATAAACAGCCCGAATCAACGCACGTGCCATGCAAATTCGTCGTCCGCGTGGTGTCACAGTTCCGCAGTTGATGGTGGTCACGGCAATTGGGGTCCTGGGCGGTATTTACGTTTGGCAGCCACTGATATTGAAGTACAAAGCCGACAAGAAAACAGAAAGCGAGCCTGCACCTGAGTCTAGCACTTCCACAAAGTTAGGATACACCCAAAGTTATAGTTTACCCAAACTAATCGATTTTAATCTCCTCTTACCCGCAGATGAGTTTCATTAACGGCCTCAAAAGATTCGCCACAACGACTGTCGGTCTGATGGCCATCGGCATCGGATCCACCGTACTCATCTACACCACTCATCGTTTCCTCATCAAGCCCCATCTTCTCCAGAAACGTCGCCAGGATGCCGAGGCCTGTGCGGAGTACCTCTTTCAGCAGGAGGGGGGGCACTCCCCAGTCACCCAACCAAGGAGCGGACACAGCGAATATTGAGCGAAGGATGTCAGTGGTCTTATGAACATCTTTACATACCTCTAGCCTAGTGATTAGTTACCAAATTTCAATACTGTTACCATGGTGAACAATGGAATTTTACCTTCTTACCTTCCGTTTGAATGGAGAGACCCATTTTCATGTGTTCATTTTAGAGTAATCAACGCTTAAGTTAAATCCAATGGAATTTTTATGGAAGCAATTTGAATTGAATAAATAATGAAAAGCACAATTTGAACAAAAGACTAGACACATGTAGTACACGTATAAAAACCTGTGAACAGGTCACCGAATTCCCTTATACAGACACAAGGAGCTTTGATTGTTCTTGGCCTGTTGCGCCTGTTTTCGCAGTATGGCCTCTTGCATGTGGGTGGGAAAGAAGTTCCACAGCGAAAAGGTTTCATCTAGGCCGGCCGTGGCAATGTTGGTTCCATCTGGACTCCACATCAGGAACAGAGTGCCGCGATCCTGGTGGGACAACAAGTCAACGACACGGTTCAAGGAGGCCAGGACCAGAATTTCGCACATCGCGATGTCACCATCACCTGCAGATGGTGATCACAATCATGTTTTGAATTAATGAACACGGGTGGTCAAGAAAAATGCTCACCGCGCCGAATAACGTTGACCAGCAACTCGCCCGTGATCTTGCTGAATGTGACCGTCTTTATAGCTATCTTGTCATCCCGGCGCCTGTACAAAGCCACAAACTGTCGGCGTGGGATGTTGAAGATGAAAATGGATGCTGGACTCTGCTCCGCTGAAAAGAAAGGTCTTTTATCAATTGATATCTAATCAAATGCAAGTACTATTGAACGATCAAAGAAATGTAACATATTTTAACTTTGTACCACATTTTGATGAACGAATATTGTCAAACTTAATATTTAATTTGTGTGACTAAGAAAATATTTAATTCAATAGCTGCTTTCTGGTCTAAGAAGTTCTAAATGCCTGTTTAGTTCAAACTAATAAATGATCTGCCACCGACTTACCCACAACCAGGTCCTCACCCGTCCATGGATGCCAGTCGAAGATTATCTTTTTGCCGCAAACTTTCAGCAGGCGAACTTTCAACACGGCGTCGAAGATTAAAATTTGGCCACCCACATCGCTGGATGCAAAATACTTTCGAGTGGGTTCGAACTTGATTTGGTTAACCTTGTGGCGGTGATCGCGGAACTGCTTCAGAGTCCTTAGCTTGGGCATGGCCAGTACGAGGATCACTCCGCAGTAGGTGCCACATAGGAGCTCCTTGCCGTCGTGGGACCATTCGATGCAGCTTATGTAGCCCATGGATTTGGATAACAACTTGCGAAAGGAGACCAAGAACACCATCGGCGACCGCACCTCCCAGAGGTCCAGGACTTGGTGGTGTAGGATCACCGATAGATCAGCAATAGGTTGGAGTGGGAAGTTATAGCTTAATATGCATACCGGGATAGTTGGCATCCATGCATCCGATTGCCAGATATTTGCCGTCCGGCGAAAACTTGAGCGAACTGGGCGTGTCGACGCTAAAGACCATGGTGCTCTCGTCCAGATTGCGCCACAACATGATGTCCTGGCCGGATGACATGGCCACAATGCCGCTGGACGACCAGTCCATCAAGTTGTAGTCAACGGGACTGCAAATCCCGGGCATCTCATGCGTGGCCTTTTGAACGGCATGTGGTCGCGCCCGCGGATTACATGGCCAGTCGGAGTCTGCAGAGTCGCTGTCCACCACCATGGATGGGGTCCCTTGGGCAGTGCTGAACTGGAGCAGGCGGCGCTCCTGGATCCCAAATGTGCTATTGATGTTGGCTATAAATCCGCTTTGCAACCAGTAGCTGGCCGTCAATGTCTCACCCTATACGTCCATGTCAAATCAAAGCATCAGGAATATAGGAATATAGACACCGCCAACAATCCAATTCTTACCGCTTCCAGAATATCCCACTCCTCCCCTTTGCCGATGTATTTCAGGTTGAGCTCGATGTCCTCCCGCGCAAAGCGCTTTGGTATGAACCTTTCACCGCCATTGGACACCGTATGACTCTTGCTTTTATCACCCTGTTGGAAATAGATCTTGTGTTTAACTGGTTTGACTTTGCCTGGCACATCATCCACCTTGTAGGCCGCTTCCTGTTTCCAATTCTGGCGACGCACTTTTTTGAAAGGCGTCAGGGACTTTTTGTCCCGTTTGGAATTTTTATTGGGACTGTCGCACATACTCATCTCGACGAACATTTAAGCATTTCTGTGTGGCTTGCGCCATTTTAAATCACTGCGCGGAGAGCACTTAAATCTTATCTGGGCCTCAGGAGAGTTAAAACAGTTACTTTGAACAGTAAAAATTGGGTAGGGCAAACTATACTGTTCACAGGTATCAACATAGAGTACTTGAACAATACAATATTCCAATATAAACACAGTATTCCATTTTAAAGATTGGTTAACAAGAAAAGATTTGGAAATGATGCTATGCTCATGTTTTTTTTTTTTTTAATTTTACTCAGAAATAATGAAATATTCACTTTCTATTGCGTTTTGTTTATACAGAAATGACTAAAATTACCGTTTCTAAGCTTAACGGCCTACACTAGTGTAACCCACGAAAAAAGGCAATTTTTTGATTGTTTTTTTAAAGAAATTACCTCAGGTGAGTTAAAACAGTTTCTTTGAACAGTAAAAATTGGGTAGGGAAAACTATAATTTTCACAGGTCTCAACATAGAGTAATTGAAAAATACTTAATTATAAATACAATATTCCATTTTTAAGATCGGTTAACAAGGTGTTAATAGATTATGAAAAGCTGAGGTTTGGAAATGATGCTATGGTCATGTTTTTTTTTTTAATAATGAAATATTCACATTCAAATGCCTTCTGTTTATACAAAAATGACTAAAATTACCGTTTCTAAGCTTAACGGCCTGCACTAGTGTAACCCACGAGAAAAAAACAATTTTTTTGATTTATTTTTTAAAGAAATTAATAAGGTACGTCTTAGTTTGAAGATTTTAAATTCAAAAAGATTAGGAAAGCTAAATATATTTCCCCTTTTAAGAACTATCTTTAAACTTTAGACTTTGAAAGCAGTCTCGATTTTAGGTTAAAAATGATTTTTAAATTCTACCAAATGGAAAATTTTAAACCAATCCAAAAGTTCGAAGGTCTTTTTTAAGAAGATTGAGTGTTAATTTGAAACCGATTGGTCAACTTGTAGTCGAGTTATGATGTCAGAAATTTTCAAAAATGTCGTTTCGAGATAATCGCGGTTAAAGTTTCAGGTGCTCTATATAAAAAAATATTTTAGATACCATCTTGCCGCTTTCAGAGGACATTTTTGGAATTCTAAACTATCTATTAGGCAAACAAAATTTGATTTTTAAAAAAAGTTACACTGAACTAGTGTCTTAAACCATTTTTAAACCAACCATTAAAAACGGCGGAAATCCGGGTTTTGATTGATATAATATCAGTCTCTATTTCTGCGAGATATTTTGCTTGCATAGAAACCAACCATAATAAAGCTCAAAAATAAAAATTATTGAACAAAATATAATAAAACCAAAAGTAATGATTATTTTATGATTTTTTGTAAACCTTTTTTATACCCTTGCAGAGGGTATTATAATTTCAGTCAGAAGTTTGCAACGCAGTGAAGGAGACATCTCCGACCCTATAAAGTATATATATTCTTGATCAGCATCACTAGGCGAGTCGATCTAGCCATGTCCGTCTGTCCGTCCGTCTGTCCGTCTGTCCGTCCGTTTATATGCAAACTAGTCTCTCAGTTTTAAAGCTATCTGCATGAAACTTTCCCAAAAGCTGTCTTTCTATTGCAGGTAGTATATAAGTCGGAACGAGCCGGATCGGACGACTATAGCATATAGCTCCCATAGGAACAATCGGAAAAATAAATGAAAAAAAATTATAACTTTGCTGTTTTTTAATTTTTTGTTTAGTTCTTCGACACTTAGTAATGGTTAAATATTTCCGATTTACGGTTTAAATTTCATCAAAATCGGACGACTATAGCATATAGCTCCCATAGGAACAATCGGAAAAATAAATGAAAAAAAATTATAACTTGGCTGTTTTTTAATTTTTCGTTTAGTTCTTCGACATTTAGTAATGGTTAAATATTTCCGATTTACGTTTTAAATTTCATCAAAATCGGACGACTATAGCATATAGCTCCCATAGGAACAATCGGAGAAATAAATGAAAAAAAAATTATAACTTTTCTGTTTTTTAATTTTTTGTTTAGTTCTTCGACATATGGCAATGTTTAATTATTTCAGAATTATGGTTTAAATTTGATCAAAATCGGACGTCTATATCATATAGCTCCCATAGAACTAATAAAAATATATAAAATAACTATCTAATAATTGAGCTGCAAATCATCATAGCTTCACTGTTTTTCAGTATATACTCAAGTAAATCATAATTTAAATGTTTTCAAAAGTATTTAATTCATGCAATAGCTGCAAGGGTATATGAACTTCGGCTTGCCGAAGTTTGCTTTCTTTCTTGTTTTAAATGAATTGATTATATTGTAATCTTGACATCAATTAGTTAATACCAAAGGTATCACAGATTAGGGTAGTAAATCTTTGCTGTTGGTTTCATTCATTTTATTTATGAAGAAGAACTGGTGGACCGTCGAAGAGGTGTTGTCCACAGGTTGCCGCAGGACGGGCAAATGTCGCGCCGCTGCAAGTACGTGTGGATGCACTCGCGGTGGAACTGAATGTGGCAGGATCCGCAGCGGATGTCCCACAATACCAGGCACTTGCATAGCATACAGTTCTTGATGTGCTCTGTGTGGTGGGAGGTCAGGTAGAAGTTCAGCTCGACGAGGCTGCGCGGCCCCAGGTAGATTCTCTCGTCCAGCTCCATGAAGTAGCCCATTTGGGTCCACTTATGGAGCAGTTCCTGCATGCGGCTCTTCTTGACCGGCTTCGAGCTGCCCTGCAGGAGGAGCTCGCTGTAGGCGGCATTCCAGGGGATGTGGCAGTCCTCCTCGGCGGCAATCTTGTCCAGCAGTTTGGAGAAGTACTGGCACTCCTCGGCCGTGAGGCCGGTGCTAGCCACGCTGTCGGGCGTGGCATCTGTCTTGGCGTACACCAGATACTCCTCGGCCTTGATCGGATACTTGATGAAGACCAGCGACTGGCCCAAATCGCTGATGGAATCGTTTATTTCACCCACAAGTGCCTTCACGTCCTCCTTGCTGGAGGGTTTTGAGACCTGGTGTCGGGCGCATAGCGGGCCCAGGATGTTGTCGATTAGCTCGTAGCTCAGGTAGCTGTGATTCTTGCAGGCGCGGACGAAGCCGCGCTTCACCACGTCCATATCTGCTGTACTATCTGTCGGTAGTATCAGGCCACAACAAATTCAAAGCAATTTTCGACTCCTTAGCAAGAAGCGCGCTGTCGCAGTGTGGCCAGATCAGCATAGTAGAGCTGTCCAACTATCGATAACACAATCGGCAACAGAGGTCAACGAAAGCCAGAAAAGAGGCAAACTTCGGAAAGCCGAAGTTTATATACCCTTGCAGTTTTTGCAAAAATTATACATTCTTTAAAACATCTTAATTTTGAATTATATTAATAATGTTTGAAAACATTATGATGATTTGATTGCTCTTGTTCTCAAAATAAAACTTTATTGTTATTTTTTTAAATTTATTTTTTGTTCTTTAGACTTAAAAATTAACAGCACAACAATACATATTTTCAGAGAGCTTCGCTTTGTTATAAATACAGCGTGTTTATGTAGTAAGAAATTGTGTCTTAGCTTATATTGGAACAAATAAATATATCAGCAAACGATCGGCATTTATAAATAAACTCGAATAAATTTACTTCAGTTTTCAAAACGATATATTTACACTAACTTTGTCAACGAAAAAGCTAAAAGTTTATGTTGTGTAAAATACATCAAAAATAATTTATGATTACTTTTGCCTCTCCTTTTATAACTTTTTTCCATAAAATCCTAAGAGTCTGATTCTCGTCGACACTGGACTTTGAACATGCTCCAGAATCTCCATCTGGATACAAATTTTGTTTTGTGGGTTGAGGCATATATTATAAAATGTTTGCATATTTTGCGATGTCAAATAAATAAGAGAAAGGAAATATGTCTTTATAAGTATTCATATTAATTTTCACTAGTCTATTCAATTACAAATAATGTATATATTATATTTATATATTTTGGCAAAAATAAATAAATGGCTAAAGGTTGAAAATAAAATATTTAAACAGGACATATATGCAGGTATTTTGTCGTGTTTTAAGGTATTGTATTGGTGTGTGTCAGCTCAATGATATATAGCCTTTTTAGTTGGTGCCCTTAACGATTTTATTACGTTGCACAACAATTTGTAAATTAACTGATAAGCCTGATATTAATTTATATTTATAACTAGAGTTCCGAATCACATATCGTAAACAAGGAGAAACTGAGATGTAATAATCTAATTTGTACAGTTTTCACATAATCCATTTTAAATGAGACCAATTAAATAAATAACAAAACAAAATTAAAAGCGAATGTAACTTAAATGTTAATATTTCGACGCTCTCCTCTAACCTAAAAGAAAATAAATATATTAATAAAATAAAGTGAATAAATAAATCTTTTGCAACTTTAAATATGTATGTTTATATGTACAAAAGGTGATTAAAAAATTAGGAAATCAACTGCAGATCAATTTGTACTTACATGGTTAGTCGCGTGTTAGAATCTATTAAATTAGATTATGAGGAAAAGTACAGAAATTAAAAGTGAACAGTACAAACGAACAATCTTAGCTGCTGTGCTATAAGAAGCTTTTGTTAGTCGGTTAATCAATAAACTGACTGCATTGACTGACTCTGGACTTAGTTTTTCATGTCTGGGTTTCCGTCTGTGCTTCGTTTACAACATTTGGATTACCAAGGAAAAGTAGACAAAAACAAACGAATAAAATATATATTAAATAGTAAATAAACGAAACATATAAGAGACTGGCTGGCACTGGCTTGATCTCTTGATTTTCCATAGATATGATTACATGAAATTATTAGTAACCAGGCTGAGTTCATTTGCAAGGTGATTGGCTTCGTTCAATTGGACAGACTTTTGATTCGGGCATTACCAATGAATGAATTTAAACATGACACAGTTTGTTTCAGATGAATGCAGTTTTTCGTTGGTTATTGGAGTTTTTGTTGTTATTGTTAAAGCAACCAAATTGATAAATTGATAATGGAGTCCGCATGGGTTAGTTAGATGATGGATTGGTCGAAGGAAAGACAGAAAGAAAGAAAGATGCCGCAGAAATGAATAAATAAATTAATATCATCGCTGATAGAGTGGTTACATTTCAGTTATATATGTAAGTATATTTGGTAAGCATGCATTAAATAGTAGTTAACAGTCAAATCAATATTACATTAGTGTTTCAATCGTCGACTTGGCATCGTTTGCCGCTCAAACTTAAACAATTAATCAACAATATTAAAAGTAGGTGCAAAATTATACATTCCTCTCCTCTTACACCACAAAATCAACATTTAAATTATACAAAAACAAATCATTGTTAAACAAAAATCACATTTCCATGGTTGTTAAATAGTTGTCTAATTTCAAGAACAGTGTGTCTACTTTGCCAAAGTATTCTTTCAGTATTTAGTTGGGTTGAGGTCTTTCGTTTCGTGTGTTAGTGGCCAGCTTACTAGGCCTAGATAAGTCTTTGGTGGTTGCCTCGCACATTCGGTTATTCAATGTTGCGGTAGCTAGCAAGTAGATGGTGATTATCGCCGGTGTACTTGATACTTACGCGACTGAGTGAGTTTCGCCGCCCCACGCCCGTTCCCGATTCGGGTCCGACGTCTTGGCCGAGACCGTTCCCGGTATCGTTGTCTATGCAGATATCCGAGTCCGAGTCCACGCGCCTGAACTCGCTCCCATCCTGAAAGGAATGCCGTATGGTTAATCAGGACACCTCCCTTGGACACCTCCTGCGATGCTCGGCGCAACTCACCTGGGTCAGTTGCTGCGTGGTGGTGAGCAGCCTGGCAATGGGATTGCAGCAAACGGGCAGCGTCTCCAGCAGAGTGGGTCGAGAGTGCGTCAGCAAAGGCTTCATGTACCTTGGGATACAAGAACATTGTTAAATGCAATCCGAATCTCGGTTGTCTAAGGGCACTCTGCGCTCACTTGGTATCAAAGCTGCCCCAGATCCTGGCCAGAATGGCCTTCTCATGACTGTTGCGACGGCGTCCTCCGCTTGAGCCGCCCAAGCTGCCATTTGGCCCGTCCGCTGGTGTGTCCAGGTTGGACTCCGTTCCACCAGACAACCGCATTTTGCCGCGCACTACTCCGCCGCCCTCCACATCCTGCAAGTAGCCATCAGACTAACACAGAGTTCAATTAAATGGTATAAGCTCTACGTTCGATGAGGGTGACCAAATCAAATAAAAAGGGGGCTGCCAAAGACTCGATAGTAAATGTGGTAATGCCACGAACAAATTAAGAAATTGGAGAATAAAACCAAACGGACTGGGATTGAATGATCATTGCCAAAACCTACCGTCTGCGGGTGTGAATTGTCCATTGAATTGTAAACCTTTTTATCAGATGGTTTTATGTTGTGAAGTGCGCAGAAATGTATAAATAACAAAAGACATGAGTTAAGGACTATTTTTATAAAAGAGTAAAAGAAACCAATCGGAGATTGAGAAATGCAATCGCACTCAGCATGCTAGTAATAAATGGTTTCAAGTTCTACTTATTAAGTGAATCTCAATAGTCCTCTAGTCTCCAAGAATCATTATCTTTACGTAGCATTGCAAAATGTTGTCTACAAGCACGTATGTACGTGATATTTGTGTACTCACACTGTGCACCTGGTAATTATTTAATTGTTCAGTCTCATCGTCAACGCCAACACTGCAATTGAGAAAAATGGTGTGACTACCAAGCGGAAGCATTCAAATGTGGTCGTACTCACGGTATTTTTAACCAATTGAGCAGAAAATTAGCCGCTCCACCCTGGATTACAACCGTAAAGATGACAATCAGCGATGTGGCGGTCAGCATGGTTTGCCGAGCATCCGACACGGTATTGCGAATGGCCAACGCAAAGGACATGGCGCCACGTAGTCCTGTTTTAAAGATATTCTTGCTAACGATTTTCATCCGAGAGAAACAATTTGGGAAATGGACTTACCTGCAAAGAACAGCATGTGTTGAAAGTTTACTGAAATTTTGGGCTTTCGCTTGATGTTTAGTAACCACGACAGGGGGTACACATTTACAGCGCGTCCTATAGCGGCGCAAATCTGAAAGAAAACAGTATCTATGAGCGAAAAACTCCTAGTGTTTACTATATTTTAATAAACTCACGAATGCTGTTATGATAAATCCTGCGTCGAAATGATGCTTGGGAAAGGTAAACATCGAAACTCCAATATAGGAGAAGATAAAGTTCTCGGCCAGAAAGTTGAGCAGCTCGAAGATCTGTTTGGTCCTTTGCCGCGAATCCTCCGAGAGGTTGTTGTATGTGTAGTGGGCCTGGCAGATGCCGCAAAAGAGCACGGCCACCACTCCAGTCAGCTCTGTAGCCTCCGCCAGCAAGAAAGTGCTGTAGCTCATCAACACGAAGAGTGCCGACTCTAAAAGGGGAAAGTCTCGCACCCGCGTAAACTTGGTCATGTGTGGCAAAAGTTAAGGAACCGAATGGCCTAGAGGTGGGACTTAAATAACTACTTAAACAAAAGCTAGTTTTTGCAAAGGATATCAATGCTGTCAAGCAGCCCATGGCGGCACCAATCATCAGGGACAGGAGGAAAATGGAAAAGAAGTCACTTAGAGAGCGCAGAAAAGCTGTAGTTTCGAATTCCCCTGTATTGGAATAATGTTCACCATAGTTTTGAATGGCTCTGACAAAAAAGGAAACATTGTTAGTACCCATAAATTGCAGCATACATCAACACTTACCCGCTAAGGACAATGGCCACGGCATCGTTGAGCACAGATTCGCCCAAGACAAGCGCATATAGGTTTACATCGACCCGCAGGTCATTGAATATGGCTAGAATGGTGAGCGGATCTGTGGGTGATATAAGGGCTCCAAAGTAAAGAGTGTCCAGAAATGATAAACTGCTGCTCAAGTAGTTTGGCATCAGTTTCACACAGCTGTACATGAAGCCCCCGATCAGGAAGGCCGACAATGTGGTGCCAACAATGGCAAAAGTGAGAATGGCCCCTAGATTTCGGAAGAAATATTTCTGCAAAAGCAAGAGTTAAGATTAATTTTTGAAACAAATATACTGTGCAATGAACCAACCTTTTTCAAGCTGTAACCCGCGTAAAATATGATTGGTGGCAGGATGATGTTGAAGAACACCTCCGGATCAAACGTTGCCTTTAGATCGATTTCGTTTTCATCGACATCGTGAACCTGACCGCGAAAAACATAGGCATATGTCTTATTGCCCTCTGGCAGCTTGGTTCCATTCGTTTGATTGACGGGGTACTGAAATGAAAATCAAAATTGTATTACCACAGATCTCAGACTTTCAGTCCAAAGCGACTCACCTTAAACCAGAGGGTATCGGGCGGCAACTTATCGCTGTACGTGGGAACCCCTTGCGGCTCCACCTGCATGTGGACAAGGGTGGTCGAGGTGCCCGCATAACGTATAATTGCTCCTACAATCAAGCCTGGAAAAGAGTACACACAAAAAGATAAAACATCCATTTGGTTTGGCATTTAAATTGAGTTCCATTTTATCGCCAGCATTATGGCGCAGCCAACGCAGTTCAAATTTTATAATGCTTTTAAATGTGTTCTTAAGTTAATCTTAAATTTCTGATAACACTTAGTGTAGTTATCAATAATCTATTTGTATTCTGAACTAGCTGTTTTGATTGCATGATAAATATTAATTTCTTATAAATCACTTGGGTTAATATTTTATATTAATTGTGCACTGTAGAAAAAACTAAGATTCGGACTATTTTATCTATGCCTTTAGCGTTATGTTATGTAACATTTTTCGCTGCATTTTTCGATTGTTCCTATGGTATATATATTTGTCCGATTTTAATAAAATTTAACCAGTTATTCTGAAGTATCAATTGATTTATATTTATGGAATTATATTAATATAAATGTCTGGTAATACCGAAGGCTTTATATATAAAGTTATAACCATAAAGTAAATTTATTCTTGATCAGCATGACGGTTTTAAGTTGATTAAAATCGGACGACTATGTCATATAGCTGCCATAGGAACGATCGAATAATATAATTTGGCCATGTTTTTATTTCTCGGCCAGGAAGAATTTGAATAGATTAGATTCTGAACCATTCAATTTTATTTTAAACACAATTCAAGGCCATTTGTCGCCTGTCTGGAATTGCCTGACCTATCGCAAAAACAAGAGTGTGACTAATAAAGCAGAACCGATAAGAGAAATATGCTTAGTCAAACTTTATCAGAGAAAACAACAATCAGTCAACAAGTGCTTAAGGCAGCTGTTTATCTTGATTCCTTGCCATTTTTAAATAAATTCGACTTGGCGGATGAGCTGCGCATTACTAAAAGCTTTCACCCGCTCTGTTGAGACAAACTTGATAATCATTTCCAATGTACGCCCGCCCTGGGAATTCAATGGCTAGCCTAACCTGTTTTATTGAATTGTTTCATTAGCTTCAATTAGTTGGAAGAAATCTTGTTTGCTCTTTTATTGCTACATTGCTTTATTAAAATGTTAGAACAACAAAGTACTCAGCAGATTGGGCGATCATGAACGAGCGGTGAAAATGCATTTTTGTGGAAAACCCCCATGGTAGTGTGGCTGACTAAGCGCGACAAGGCCTCGTACATTATATTTCTATAGTTCTCTTGCCATTGCGTGCAGGTTTTTCTATGGCTATCGATGTTACTTCTGCCCAGCTTGGCTCTTGATGCCTCCCAAATGCTTGAACGTAATGTCACGGCTGGCGTACACAAAAGCGTAATTCCGAATATGTGACAACAAAGAGGTGACAATGAAAACGGCGACGTTGAAAGTGCATGGGCTACGGCTACAATGGCGAGCAGGTGACCGATAGTAAAGGCAGAGACTCTGGGTGGAACCCAAGTCATGGGAATTCCACTATTAACGATTTCAGTTCAACTTCACTAACTAACTAGGCCCGATATAAATGAAGACATTTTTTAGCAACATATTTGGTTATCAGATAATTACTTCTTTTGATATATATTAATATTTGTTGTATTTTTTGTTATTTATGTTTATAAAATATAAATCGTAGTGGTTTCAGGCCTCTGCTGCCCAATGAATTTGTATAATAATCATTTAGTTAATAAGCCAATTAATGCGATCTAAAATATTGATTTTAGAATTTTTTAGTAACCGAATTGGTGTTATCTGTTCCAAAAAATAATGGTTTCTTTCTGTGCAGCTTATGAACGACATAGGGAAAAGGCACTTATAATAGTTTCATTCAAATAGATTCAAAACTAGATACACATATGTTTGCATCTACATTGTTCATATACTATATAGGAACGAATGTGTCTCCCTCACTGTAGTGATAAAAAAAAAGGAAAAAGTAAAATAAATATGATATGTTGTGGCCATTGAATACAAAATGCTATACTTCACATTTAAATTATATACAAAATTATACTATTAAATACAATGCATTTTAAACTGCAAAATTTAATATTAAAATAATAGATTTAAATTCCTTAAGTCTAAAATTAAAATTACATTTTCAGATACTAAAATGTATTCCGAAAATAGTCAAATGAAATATTTACAAAATCAAAGCGAAAAATATTTATGTGTTTAGTATGAAATATCTACAAGGCTTCTATCTTATGTAGAATAGTGTAATAGCCCCTGTAAGCCCATGCATTTGACGTACCATAGATGACTGCCAGTCCGGTCTCGTGGAGCCAGGAGACGCGATGGTGCTTGAACAGCCAGATGGTGAGGACGGTGAGGGCCAGCAGGAACACGAAGACGAGCAGGTCCAGGCTCTGGATGCGGTGATTCAGCGTGGCCTTGGCGTCCAGCGCGATGTCCGTGTCCGTGGCGTCGCAGCCTGTGATGGCGAGGGCGCACAGGGCGACTCCGGCCAGGACGAGCATGCTGTTCCGCTCGAGTCTCTGCGGCCAGGATGTGTGCACCTTGTGAGCGGCTGCGTCCGTCATTTGGCCGGGCGATGTCATACCTATTCCCGTGTCCACATCGCAGTGGGTCATGCTTTTTGTGATGCTTCAGCCTGCGCCCGCAGCCGAAATCGATTTTCGCGTTACGACGTTGCTGTAATTGCTCGCGCACCAGGAGCGGAGCACGGAGAGGAGGGGAGGTGTTTGGAGCAGGACGACCACGCTCAGGCGGCGTCAGGTTGGTGAATCGGCCTCCTTTCGTTTGGTTGTTAGTCACAAAGCCGTTATATAAAATATATTGGTCCAAAAACAGCTTTAAGCATTTCTCTGCACTTCGTATAAAAACAGTCACTTCAGTTCATATGAAAACAACCGTATGCCAACGTAGTGTGACCACATGCGACCAGCGGTAAAATACCAACGCTGCTTTTAACCAGGAGCGGACTAGGCATAAAGGGCTTTGACAGTGTATTTTTTATATGATGGGGCCTACGTCGTATTGGGTTTAACTAAAACAGAGTATAAGAACTAAGGTATAGAGAATAAATAACAACTTTTCCGAAAGCCACAACCCCCAAACGCAATCCGGTCGTCAGGATAAATGTTTTTTCGGGCCATGATTACTAAATAAACTTCTTGGAAAACACGTAAAAAGCTGTTAGTTGTTGTTTTTTTTACATGTTCATAGTTATGGGGTTACATGGGTTTCACGGTTTCAAAAAAATTGCATCTTTTTTTATTTTCTTATTAAATTCTATAACATTTCTAGTTTTGGATATACAGCTTTAAAAAGTTGTGCGCTCGCTCCAACTTACATGTATTATCACTTAAAACTTTAAACTCGTTCTTCTCGAAACAGTGCTTCAAAGTCGGTTGTTAAGATTTTTCGCGAACTACTCGACCGATCTTAACGAAATGTTGCACAGGTCTTCAAGATATTATTTACATGGTCACGAAAATTTTTTTTGTTCAATTACAACAATTTAAAAAATGTTAAATAAAATTAAAATGTTTACCTAAATTTGTTTTTTCTGTAAAAAACACAATTTTCACTTTCTTTTTTTCCTTACCCAGTTTATGGTCTTAACTGTAAAAAATTCAGCTGTGAACGTGGAGAAAACTATTTTCCAAGGCACTGTCGTAGCCAACTTTTGAATATTTTTTAGTTTATATGCCCTTGCAGCTATTGCAATTTCGATTTATATGCGTATATGTTTAAAAACGTTGCAGATATGATTCATCGTTGCTATGACAGCTATACGATATAGTTTCCCGATTTGATTAAAATTAAAAGCGTAATTCTGGACTACTAAACCATTAATATATTCAAAAGTAATTTAAAAAAAATGTAAAAATTGAGAAGTCAAAAATTGTAAAAAATTGTTGTTTGTAATATTATGTTTGTTTCCATGGGAGCTATATGATAAATTCTTCCCATCTGAGCCAAATTTAAACCGCAATTCAGAAATAAAAAATTATTACTATATCTCGAAGAACTAAAAAAAATAATAAAAATTCCAAAGTTTTGAATTTTTTCATTTTTATTCCATTTTCCGGCTTGTATGTCCGACTCATGTATGTCCCTTCAACAGGAAGACAACTTTTGGGAAAACTTTATACAAATAGCTTTAAAACTGAAAGACTCGCTTGCGTAGAATAGGTTGGACGGCTAGTTCTACTCTCCTTGTGATGCTGATCAAGGCTATATACACTTTATAGGGTCGGAAATATCGCCTTTACTGCGTTGCAAACTTCTGACTGAAATTGAATTTTTTTTGTAAAAGTATGAACTTATCTATTGTTACCTTTTTTTTTAAATTAGAAATAGTTTAATAACTCAGACTTCGTTATAATTTTATTTTCCAGAAAGCCATTTTCGGCAATTTAGAAAGGGGTTACACTATAAAAAATAATTGTTGCCTTTAGTAAATCATTTTACTTTCCTCTATAATGACAAACCAATTTTTGATGTACAAAATGTGTAGGAAATCGGAAAGCTTTGTCTAGAACTCGAACCCGTAAGTTTACAATGCATTTGGGCAGACGGGCGGTCGCGGTCCGACGTCTGTGTCCGCAGCTTGAAGTTCTCCGTCAGCGGTTTGTGGGGTGCGCTGGGCACCAACTGGAGTCCGGGCACTGCTCGGGCACCATGGCGGACGGTAAGGGCAGGACAGACACCATTTATGTGCCCACTAATCCCAATCCCTGGCGCAGTGGCCAAGAAAATTCGAGAGCACGTGGGCGTGGAAGGGGGCTATCACGCCATCCCCAAGAGCCGGGATGGGCTGCTCAAGTTCCAACCGAAGCGCAACGAGTTGCCGAACCGCTCCATGAAGGATTCGCACACAACCGCCAACGTCCTCCTGGAATCCGATGCCCTGATGAGGGAACGCTTTGTTTACGGGTTGGGCTTGTTGCGCATGGGCCGGATAATGGAGGAACTCGATCTTCTTGCCGGTAAGGTATGCTGTCTTAAGGTTGTATTCTGCTCTTAAAATTTAAAAAAAAAATCGATTATTTTTGGAATTTTTTTATATGAAAATTTTGATTTTTAAAAATATGATCCTTAAAAGATTTTTTTAAAATTCCGAGACCCCATAAATGTTTCCTTACCTTTAAATGCGTTTTTCTCGAAACTACTTATTAGATGTGCTTGACGTGATATTTTAAGTTCTACTGAACCGATTCCTTTGAAATTTGGTACATATCTTCTTTGTACAAAACTCTGTCTTGGATTTTTAAAAACGTTGACTGTAGATATTTTTAAAATATTCGAAAAGGTGGAAAAAATTGGTTAAAAAACATTGGTAAATACATACAGACCAGCTAAAGTATTCTCAATTATACAAATAAGTAAATTATTATTAAATTAGAGTGAAGATGGATGTACAAACAAATACTTTATTTTGTACTTCAATCAAATTAACTTCTAAGGCTAAGTTACCTTTGTTTTAATAACTGTCTTTTTAAGCTTTTGCAGAGGGTAATGTGATTTCAGTCATAAGTTTGGAACGCAGTGATGGAGACATTTCCGACTTTATAATTATAATACATGTATGAACATGTTTTCTTGATCAGCATCACCAAATTTATTTCAGAAAATTGCTTTTGAAATTAGTTTGCCAACAGTAGCAGGTATCTAGTAATCGAGGCATGGTTTTAATTAATTAATTTAGTTAATTCCTAATGGCGGAGTATGGGCATAAACAAAATGTACGACTCACATTTAAATGCATTTTTTTCCAGTGTGGATCTGCCACCGACACATCTTTCCGCCGCTCCTTCCCAAAGGCGTTCCACTGCCGTACACGTTCGTCACCCTACTGGTCGACCATGCCCACTTCCTGGTCGAGAAGTTCAAGCCAGATGTGGACGTGTCCCTCTCGGGTCATGTGTCTTGGACAGGCAACAGTTCCATGGAGATCACGGCGTATGTGCGCCAAAGCGGACTGGTGCTGGCGAAGGCCATTTTTATGATAGCAGCTCGAAATGCCACCAATAGCAGTGCGGCCCCAGTTAATCCCCTGGTGCCGGCCGACGAGCTGGAGGACTGCATCTACAAGGAGGCCCTGGAGCGGCACAAACGGCGGACGGAGAAGTTGGCGCGCCTGGAGTCGAAGCGGCAGCCCACAATGGAGGAGGAGCAGATCATGTACGAGGTGTTCACTCGGACCAAGGGCATCGAGGGGCCGTCAGATACCGCCACCCTGCCGGCGGACTGCCGCTGGATGTCCGAGTGGCAGCGCAGCACCCTGCTGCATCCGTTCCCGCAGAACCGCAACGAGGCGAACACAATCTTCGGGGGCTTCATCATCCGCGGCGCCATCGAGACGAGCTACATCACCGCCTGCCTCTACTGCGGCGACTATTCGTTGATCCGGTTCATATCCGACATAACGTTCACGCACCAGATTCCCGTGCACAGCTATATGAAGTTGAGAGCCTACGTGGTCTACACCCACGACAACTACATACAGCTAATGACCGTGGTGATCGCCATCAATGGCAACAACTTTACGGAGTTCCACTGCAACACCCTGCACCTCACATATATCTGCAAGCACAAGGTTCCAGAAATCCTGCCCAGGAGTTACCACGAGGCGTTGTGGTACCTCTCAGGTCGTCGCCACTTCCAACGCTTCCTTAACTCAATAAATAGGGACATGGAGGGGAGTGGATCGTCGAGCACGGGTGATGATTAGGGGATAAAGCAATAAGTGATCCATTGGGAACTTAAATATAAATTCAAATTTAAATTCATTTATGGGGGGTTCTACTTTGTTGGCCCCAAAACCTTCTGTTTTTTCTGTAATTTTTTTTCTTGGAAAGTATGATAGGTATGAGAATAAAATTTTAGCCATTTATAGAGTACAGCTTATTGAAGCTACAAAATTATATTGGGGGTGATCCAAGTAAAGAGGGGGACTAGTCCTTATGGTGGAAGTCGTAGAGTCCGTAAAAAAAATTTAAAACGCCAATGACGAACATATCTTTAGTCTGTAAAGTTTTCCGCATCCGTGGTACCAGAATGAAGAAAAAAACATGAAAAATGCAAAAATTGTGAGCTTTGGAAAAATAATCGTTTTTTTCCTAATTTTTTCGTTACTAATTTTTTTTTTAATAAACCATTTTCAATATTTCTTTTATAATTGGGAGCATGTGTGACGGTTGCTCAATTTTTGCGACTTGTATGACTTCCACCAACTCCAAAAACATGGTTTCAAAAAAAAAGCGTTGAAATTTTGAACTAACAAAATTGAATTAACTTGCGTAATTTAAGAAATTTCAACTGAAAATTTTGGGAGTAAAACTGAAATGCAAAAAATATCTATTCAAATTTATCTATTTGGAGTGTTCAATTGCATATATCTAGACGAGTCTGTCTGCGCCTCCATCTGCCCGTATGAACATCGAGGTTTCGGGAGCTATAAAAGCTAGGAAGTGATTTATATGCAGCAAGTCTGTCTAAAACGCCCCCATATCTCAAACATTTTTAGAGGCACAATAGAGTAAAGTTTTTTTGTCGTTATATATAAAGTTAAGCGTTCCTTTTTGATAATTTATAAAATTATAGAACTTACGCTTGGCGAAACTTACACTATCCTGCCGACTATAACATATGTATGCATAGCTGCCTTTGAAACAAAAGTACAAAAAATCTGTTGGTCCTCTAAGATTGTAGAAGAAATATTAATATGATTAATTCATTTTTACCGTTCTTTCTGTTTTAAATATTTTCAAAAGTAATGCTTTCAAGCTATAAACACGAACTTTTAAAATCGTTTGTTTTTACATGAAGGAAAAGGAAAAATCACACAAAATGAGTCACACATTTCAGCAAATCAGAAGGGGGGGTTTATATTTTTTGTAGCCACAAAACCAAAAAAAAAGAAAAGTTGTTTAATGCACAACTAAAATTTATAATGGGTATTTACATCATTTTACTAAACTATAAGGTTATATTTAAACGATTAAACCAGTTATGGATTTTAGTCTGAATAAGAGCACGCGCAAATGTACGGATACATAAGTAGCTACTTTTACAACATAATTTAACGGCTAAATAACATTGTAGTTAGGACATTACAGTCAATGAAGCTGCTTTTCAATTACGTTGCTAGAATATATAATTTGAGAATATAGAAACCTTTATTCGACCGATAAGGAAAACAGAGTTAGATTAAAATTCAAAAACCACAACTGTACAAGGATTGAACATACAAGCAATAATACTATGTATGACTGGAATTCTTATGAAAAAAAAAATACATTGACTATGGCCTAATCTGTCATCGCGTGGAGTTAACTCTTTGGTTGGGCAGCTGCACATGCAACGGCGTCTTCGATGCTGCCTCAACTCTTGGAACGGGCCGCTTCTCGCCTGCCCTCAATCCACTGCTCAATCTCCAGCTTGAGAGCCTCGTTGGACTTGACCTTATCCATGGTAAGGGGTTCACGATTGAAGGGATCGGTCTGGTCGCTAAGCAGGTGACGGGCAATGGTGGACCGATCAACGGTTACTTTGGAGCTGGGCAGCACGACAGGATCTGTCATCAGCGTAGAGATAATCGGATCCAGGTACTCTTCCGGAGCATCGGCCAGCAGCTCCTGCTCCTCCTTATACTGGGCTCCCATTCGCGCCACCTTTACAGCAAACTCGGACATGTCTCCGATCAGTTGGCCTCCTCCAATCCGAATTAGGATGTTGTCGGCGTAGCCGAACAGCTGTTCACTGTAGGAGCGTCCATCCTGCGACACTGCCAGGCAGAAGCTGTCATCAGTGCTCAAATTGATGTATATGTGAGAAATCTCCAGCACCGTCTGGGCCGGATCGAACTCGAACTCCTTCTTGTCCTTGACTTTGAAGCGCTCCTTCCTGGGCCCCACTAAATGCAGCAGGAAGTAGTTCAGCATGGCTGCGATGCGATCCACCATACTGTTGTGGCAGAAAATGCTTCTGATCTCCGTGGTCAGCAACTTTAGGATGTTGATGGTGTCCCGTCCGAGAATGTTGTCAAATCGGGCCAGCATGCCCAGGTGTTGCAGGTTGCTCACCTGCTGTTGGCGCTCGTTGTGAGACAGTCCACTCCACTCACCATTGTCCTGGGCTTGCTGCAACTGCTTGATCTGCTCCAGGTTAGACAGCGATTCGTCCAACAGGAAGATGGCATCATTTATAAGCAAATTAATGAAGCGCAAGAAAATGGGGGGCTCGATGGCCTCCATGTTCTGCTCCGCTTCGATGGCCAGCTCCCGGAAGCACTGCACGTGCTCCGGCTTTGTCCACAGAAACTCCATTATGGCGTACATGGGCCGGCGATAGTTGAACTTCTGCTCGAACTGCACTGACTGGCCGGTCATCTCTATGCTAACAAAAACGTTCAGCAGACTGCGGACCACCTTCAACCGATCCGTATGGTTGTCAAACACATGGGTGACAAAAGTCTCCCTGTTGCTGCCCAGAATCTGTGTGGGCAGGAGAAACTCCAAGGCCTCGGCCAGTTTGGCCCGCAGGTGGGGATTCTTCACCAGCCCCGAGCTGCCCATGAATAGCAATATCATCTTGAAGAAAGCGTCATGTGCGGAAAAGTAAATGTGAATGTATTGATCCCCAGTCAGCCGTCGGCAGAAGTTCAAATACGCCGATATGTTGTCGATAATGCTCTCTGGCACGGACTGCATATATGGAGCCACAAAAGGCGGTGTGTCTGAGAGCAGCTCCAGGTTGCGGAACACTTGTGGCGAGAAGTCGCGCTTGTCCAGACACTGCTCATAAATTTCACGGGGCAGCATGGCCACTTCCGTCAGCCAGATCGCCGAGGCTTCGAAGAACTTCAGCATGGCCGTATCATTGGTGGGCTCTGAGAGCGTGTTCCTGATGCACAGCCCCTGCTGCATCTGCTCCAGCAGCATGCGAAACAGGTTTTTGGTTAGCTCATTGTTGGGATCACTGTTCAGAACCTCCACGTAGGCTGTCTGAGTGTTCTGCAGTTCGCGCATCACGCGAGTCAGGCGTTCAATGCAGGGACGATTGGCCAGTTCGAAGCATTTGTGGGTCATGTAGAAGACCTCGGTCACGAAATTGTACTTTTCGGCCGTCAGACGCTCTTCGCCCTCTTCGCTGGGCAGCAGGCAGGTCTCGTCGTGGGCCTTCAGCAGACTGACACCCTTCGCATGCCGATCCTTGTCCGGCACAGCACAATAGGTGGGGTCCACCAATAGAACCTGAAAAGAATACGTACGGGGTTGATTGTCTGTATAGTGGTTTATATATTTACATAGCATATAATTTCTAAATTGATTTAAGTTTTAAAATCCAATAAACAAATTTTTGAAGGTTTGTGGTTTCTTTGGGTTAAAATTAAATTAATATTTTAATAAATGACTACCATTTGATAATCATTTGAATTATTAAATTTAATAATTATAACTTGCAACGCCCTTTGTTGCTTTTTAATGCATCTATTTACAAGGTTTAATGTTCAAAAACTGATTGATTACCTTTAGTGAAGGCAAGCACAGAGGAGCACAGAGACGGGTAAGAACTGCACTCAAACTGGTCATAAAGGCATCGCTGGCCGTGCTGTGGACCGTTTGCTCCAGGTTTAGATTGATGCTGCTCCACAGATGACCACGCGATACATTTGCATCCAGGCAATTGGCTATCCATTGGAGTGTCTTCTTTTTGGTTTCGGGCGACAGGACGAGCAGCTGTTTGACGAGCAGAAAAATTGACTCCTGGTGATGGGACAAAAGTCCCCATAGAGCATAGTCCGTTTGGTCCATTGATAGCTCATGGAAAAATTCATACTTGGCCGTCTGGGTCTTGGGCAGAATTGAGATGCACAGAAGACTGCCCAGCAAAGTGTCCATGTATTCGCCACCTAAAGTAGAACAAGCATTACAATTTGTGAAACTATCAGTTACTATAAAAACATTGAATAATAAATTTATATTACTCTTAGTCGATTTCTATTTGAATTTGATTTGTATAAATGTTAATTAATGGTCTGTTTAAAAATACTTTCTTTACCTGTCCAAAAGTATTAGAAACTTTGTCGGAACTAACATCAAATCTCAGAAAAAGCGTGGAATTTACAGAGAACTAGTCCTATAGCAGCTTTATTAATTGTTGTCTGAATTAAATAAAACTGACACTGTAAGAGTAAACAGTTATATAATTTATCTCGAAATATTTTAGTATAAATTGAAAAACAGCAGAGAAATAATTTGTTGGCTTTTTGTTTGTATTATTTCTATATGATATATTCGTTCGATCCTTTAAAACTGAGTGAATATTTCGCTTAGACAGACGGACATGGCTAGATCAACTTTATTAATGCTGTTCAAGAATATATATACGTTTTATAATGTCTCATGTCAATGTAATGTTGCAATATTTTGACTGCCCTTGTAGGCAAAAAAAATAGTGCTGTTTAAATAGTTATTAGCCCTACCTTTAGCCTTGGGATTGGGAGTGGTGTAGTCGATAAACAGCTCCCCCAGGACGGCTGCCCGCTTGTCGCGCACGAAGAAGCCGAGGATCCAGAAGATGTTCTTCTTGATCGTAATCAGGTTCTCCTTGGCAACGATTTTCTGCAGTTCGGTGAGCATTGGGTAAAAGATGGCCTTGAGGGCGCCCAAAGCCTCGATCGGTTCGTCCTCCTCCACCACCTTGGAGGCGACGCGGACCAGGAACTCCTGGGTGCTGGTGTCGTGTTCGTCGGCCTGCTCGAACATCCCCAGCCACTGGGTGGCAAAGGATTGGGGGGCTAATAGGTCCGGCTGGCGCATGCAGGTGCTGGCATTGTTCAGGATCAGGGCAAGGAGCTTGGAGCAGTCGGTTTTCCGCTCGGCCTGGAAGCGTTCACAGCGGGCAAAGGCTCCGTGCAGGTAGCACATGGCCCGCGGTTCCAGCGCCTCCGGACTGGCATTCCCCACTGCATACTGGCCGGTCTCGGCCAGCATGAGGCGCTCGAAGAGGGCGTGGGCAACCAGGTCCTCGCCCAGCATACCCTCGCTGGTGTCCACCACCACGTCCGCCAGGCACAGACCTGCAAAGGAGGACGCCTTGTTCAGCGTGAAAAGAAGCACATCCTCGACCAGTTTGTGGGACACGCCATCCGAATTGGTGCCCTCCTGGAGCAGAGCGGCGAACGGGTTCTCCTCGACGCTTGTCATCGGGACAATTTGGATTTTATTGTCAGATGTTTTCCCCTGCCAAACCTGACGTTCAGGTGCAAACAGTGTGACCGTTGGAGTACTCGTTTCAAAAACACTAATATATACCGTATGGCAAAATGACGGTATTTTCTCAGGCGTTAGTGGTTCTCTGCTGTGCCTTCGTCAAAAGTTTGAACGAATATTTTCATCATTTGAGGGAAAGACTGTTTGTTTAATTTAATTATTTGTAAGTTTTGAAGACTTGTTCTATGGAAATCTTAATTAAATTTTTATGAATTTGAAAATTAAATTAAATGTAATTTGTACGTCATCCCAGCTATGTATATGATATAGTCGCTCGAATTTTAAAATAAATTTAATTATATATTATCTAGGTGATTTTCAATGATAGCTGAAGCTAAGATAAAATCGTCCGTGTTTCTGAAGCTTAATTTCTAGGAGTATGAGTGTATATGTATGTCTAAAAATGAAAGGATTTCGCTTTCTGATTGTGCTGATCTAGAGTATAATATATATAATATTATTAATGTATTGAAAACTCGACTTAACTATTTTGAACACGAATACGAAAACTTTTGCTTCCTTAACTTTAAGGACAAGCTTCACAGATTATCACGCTATTCGGAACTGCCGAACAGAGTGATCTTTCTAATAGAATTTGTTTTTAATAAAAAGAGTTCTGTATTTATTTTAATTTATTTTCCTTCGTTAAGTTTTCGAGTTCGCTGCCTCGAACAAGGCCTGTTATCAATCCGCCTTCAGTTAAGTAATTGCACTCGATTAACCTTCTTTATCAATGGGATTTAACAGCTCATATCTGGGCCAGCAAAAACCGCAGTCGCCTGCACTCAAAAAATAAATCCAAAGCCAATTAAGACAATCAATCGCAAAGCGACCCATAACGAAGTGAACCGACTGGAATACAGCAGGCGCCAGCCTGGTACCACCCACCAACACCCACCACCACCCACCACCTCGCACCACCCCCACAACCACCCTCCCGACAAAAGTCTTCGTGCATTGTTAAATCGGCTTATGATCAGGCAAAGTACGTTGATTCCACATGTTATTCGTATATCAATTTGGCAGTCGACGAGGTATTTTCAAACGGTTAGCATATGCACGCAGTTCGATTTTCGATTTGCAGAGCTTTTTCGAGGAGCAAACCGCAGCTAATATAGGCAAGTAAACAAATATACGAGTAGGGAGAGGTGACTAGGTAAAATAACGATTTTTACCCACTTCAGAGCTTCAATGAGCGAGGGACTACATCGACAAAAGTTATTTCCTTCCTCAAAATGAGTTCGGTGCGACCCCTGAAGCCCGCGTTGATGGCGATTGCCACCAGGGAGCTGAACGAGGTGCCCCAGCGGCTTCAACAGGATATCGAGGCTCTAAAGGAATGGGTCTTGAAGCAACCACATCTGAGAGCCTGCACCGAAGACCAGTTCCTGCTGGCCTTTCTGCGCGGAACAAAGTTTAGCCTGGAACGGGCAAAGGAGAAGTTCGATCGGTTTTATACCTTGCAGGGATCCATTCCTGAGGTCTTCAATAAAAGACGCCTCGCCACCGATCCCCAGGTGCTGGATATCATTAGGATGGGGTAAGAAACGCTCTAGAACCAAAGATTCTGAGTCTCGAAGTGAAAAATTAAGAAACGGACTGAGAACAAATCGAATTTATCGTGTCCCTATAGAAGCGTTCCTAACTCTATAAAGTAAATAAACAGCTGCGGTCATAACAATAGTAGTGGTACAGTGTAAAATCCTAAAAAACACACGTTTAAAGCTTAACACAAATTTTGAATTAATTTATCTTAATACTTAGCTACCAATGAACAAAATAAAAAAAATAAAATAAAATAAAATGCCGTAAAAGATTTTAAACAAATTTAAGATAATAACCTAAAATTCTCGTTCGTCTGCACTTTGTATTGGCATAATATATCTTATATATTGATTTTAATCAAAAATCAAACAAGTTTTTATTTGATCAATTATTTTGAAAAATGTTTAAAAATATTATACCCTTGATAGATGAGGTTTTTTATGTGTGCCCCATTTAGCTTATAGAGGCCAGTTATTTTGTTATATTCGGTCATATCTATCGAAACACAAACATTTTTCAAGTCGAACCATTATTGTAAAAGTTATTAGCAACAACGATATACTTTTTGAATATTTAAAAATATGTGTTGCTTGCTTTTAACTTGTCGTAGTGACCCTGCAGCTCGGCAGATGGCGCCACATAAAGCCTGATTGTTTTCAAGGGCTTTTTCATTTTGAAACTGATCATATTCGTGGCACTTGTCTTCAGGATTCCTTTTGGCTACAACTATATAACCAATAATAAAGTTCGAGTTGTAAAATTGAAAACTTTTGTCATTGCTCACAGAGTTCTCCTGCAAATTCCCATGGATGTGGACGATCCCGGGCCTTGCGTGACCATTATTCGAGCTGGGTCCTACGACACGAGCAAGTACAAGTTCCAGGACATAGTTCGCGTTGGATCCATGTTCGGTGAGATCATGATGTTCGAGGACGAGAACGCCACGGTCAGCGGTTATGTGGAGATTATGGACATGACTGGAGTTACGGGTGCCCACCTCTTTGCTCTCCAGCCGCAGTTGCTAAGTAAGTTTTCCACCTATGCGGACGAGGCGATGCCGACGCGCCAGAAGGGAATCCATTTCATTAATGTCCCTGCCGCCTTCGAAACTGGTTTCAATACGTTGCGTTCTTTTTTCCCGGCAAAAATCAAAAACCGGGTGAGTCCCAATCGCTTTGCATCATTAGCTCCCATTTGAGGTTTCGAAAAAAATTTCTTTTAGATTTCGGTAACCTCTGATCCGTCGGCTATATTTGAAATAGTGCGTCGCGAGTATTTGCCCAAGGAGTACGGAGGAACCGGGCCCAGCATGCAGGACATAAGCCGAACCATGGAGGCGAAGCTATCCAGTTATGAATCCTACTTTCAGGAGTCCCAGAGTTTCGGAGTTGATGAAAAGCTGCGCGAATTTGGGACTCATGAGCGGAAGAATCATCGCTCCTCCTTTGGGGCTGCGGGTTCGTTTCGGAAACTGCAGATTGACTGAAACTGACCGGCAGGAAATAGCCAATGTCAATCGTTAAGATTATAAAGGAAGAACCATTTGCATAAATCTTACCTGGAAAACCTCGTTAGTCAGTCACAATAACCAACATATTTATATCTAGATTAACAAACACGATGGTGATTACTTCTGAGCTATAAGACTTCTTCAAGGGGTATAAAACTAGTAAAGCAAGAACCACAATGTGTCACAAACTTTAAATTGGCTTATTTGATTCTTTATAATATAAAGTCAGTGCCTAAATGTTTCAATAGTTTTATGTTATATTTGTATTATTGTATATTAAAAGGTTAAACTCCTTTTTCGGTAAAAGTTTATAAGCGCAAGGCTAACACCGTGTATGTTGTATTGTATGTTTTTTGTCGAAATCAGTTAGTTATCCGTCTCCACCGATGTAACAGCAACGCAGCAATTCGGATAATATTTTTCTTCATATACCACCGATTTTTCATTAACTTGAGAATTCATTTTCTACATACATCCTAGTAGATTGTTTAATTATATCTGATGTTTGTTACGCTTAAAGCTTTAATATCGTTTTAAAACAAGAAAGGAAGCAAACTTCGGCAAGCCGAAATTCATATACCCTTGCAAAAATTAAATATTCTTGAAAAAATAAAAATTACGATTTACTTGCATATATGTTTATAAACATTGAAGCTATGATGATTTGCAGCTCAATTATTTGATAGTTCCCATTGCAGCTGCCAAATTATTAATAAGTCAAAAAGAATTTTTGAAAAAAATTACAAATAGAAAAGTTAAATTAAACAAATTTTTATTTTATTTGTTTTGTTTCCATGGGAGCTATATGATAATGTCGTCCGATTTTGATAAATTTAAACCGTAATTCTGAAATATTTAACCAAAAAAAATTAAAAAACAGCAAAGTTATATTTTTTTTCCGATTGGGTCACCCCATGTGATAGTTTCAAAAAATCTAAATCCATTTTTCGCACCTTTAACCAATGCTAAATATGTTAGTCAAGCTGTTTTTAAATTTTCGTAAAGTTTATAGTACTGAAAACCAAAATTGTTCCATCAGGTTGTACATGGCTTCATCGGCACTTAAACTTTCAAACTCGCTTTTTTCGAAACCATGTTTTTCGAACTGGCGACTACGATTTAGCATCCGTGTGACTACCGTCCGAACCTCTAAATTTGTAAAAGGTCAAGTCGCTTTTTTTAATTTCAAGGAAACCCACAAAAATACGATTAAAATTTTATAATTTTCAAAACTTTGAGATTAACACGCTTATTACTTTTTTTTCTGGTCAGTAAATCAGTCTTAGGCATGGTCGCAGGTGGACCACGTTTTTTTTTAACAATGCTTCATAAGTTTCAAATCATTAAGTATTTAAAAAAAATCAAACATTTTTTTATTTTTAGTTAAGATGTTACCTAATGGATAGAAATTTTTAAGTTCTAAATTTTACTGGTACCAAAAAAAAAAAAATCACAAAAAAGCTTAAAAAACGGGATGATTTTTATTTTTCTTTTTTATAAAAAATGTTTTCCTTGTGCAGTCATTTCTTGGTTATTCGAACTGCTTTTGAAAACTTCGATGTTTCTTGCGATACATCGATTAGTGGTCGTCAACAGGCGAGAGCTTTTGCCGTCAAAAGCTTTTTTGATGAGTGTATTCATCCGGCAATCAACAATATCTACCTTGGACACATGTGCACTACTCACTCGAGTTCCAGGCGCTTCTGGGCCACCGGTAGCCTGGTTGCATCAAGATGGCTTGCATTGAGGACCTCAACGAGGACTGCCTGCTGTAAGTGGCGATACGACGAAACCGGGCAGGGATCATGACCTAACGGCTGGACAGTAAAATTACAGAGTACCTGAACCTGGAGGAGCAACTGCAGCTGTGGCGGAGCAGCGAGCCCACATCCCGCCTGCGATCGGTGCTCTCGTACACATGGCAGCATCAGACCCATCACATTGTGGACCCCGAAACCTTCGGGCGAATTGGCCGGGATGTCATCCAGGAATTCCTGCAGTGCATCCGCAGCACGGTGACGAAGCTCACACTGCAGTACCTGGCCATGGATCTCCTCGAGCAGTGGAAGCCCCACACGTTTCCCAATGTGAGCGAGCTGACCTACATGGGCGATGAAAACAGTGAGATGGATGGGGACTCCGACATCGCGATTCTGGTGGGCTGCTTTCCGCACCTGGAGGGCATCGGGCTGAGCGGAAACGCCAGTGGCCAGCACATTGGCCAGTGGCGGAACCTTCGCCGCCTGGACCTCCAGCTGTGCTGGTACCTCAGCACGCAGTGTTTCGAGGAAATCTGCCAGAATCTGCAACTAACCCTGCAGACCCTGAGCATCCAGTGGCACAGAGCGGAGGAGGATGCCTATGTGCGGGCCATCTGCACGCTGCAGGCACTGGAGGAGCTGGAACTGGACATAGTCCACCTCGGAACGGAAAACACCGGCCGCCTGTTGCGTCTGCCCAAGCTGAAGAAGCTCCGACTGCACAACTTCGAGCAGCTGGACGACCTACTCAGGGACATCGGGAGCCAACGGGGTGGGGATGTGGTGGCAGCCGCTTTCAGCGACAACATCTGGATGACGCGCTCTGAGATATTGGCCAAGTTCCAGAGCCTCCGCTGCCTAACGCTCGTCGATGATGAGGGCTGTTGCGCCATCGACTTCCGCACGACAGTGATCAACTGTTTTCCTCTTTTGGAGCAACTGCATCTGGAGAACTCCCGCATCTGGCCAAATGCCGACGGTATATGGGACGTAGTGCTCGCCTGTCCGCGGCTCAGGCTCTTCAGCCTGTCCAATCAGGTTCTGTACGATGACTTCTTTGCCTTCTCCAAGTCAACCATGGATCGGGCCTTGCACCAGCGGATGGAGACTTTGACCATGCATTTCTACAGAACCGGCAAAGAGGCTTTGGTGGGTTAATTGGTTGGATTTTACGTTAATTGGTTTGCTAAAACTCACTCTCTTCTCTAGATTTCCCAGCACTTTAGGCATCCCAATCTAAACATTTGTTTCAATCCCACAAATAATCTTTACTCACAATTGTCTGGCGAATCAATGGAGCTGGAATTTCTACTTCCCGAATCGTCAGCCTCACAAAGTGCGTAATTAGTTAATTAATTTGAAGGACCAACCACTGATTAAAACCACTTCGACCTTTCCACATATTATTCCGCTAACTGGATTTTGATGGCTGTTGAATATATATAAATAACATGTTTATATCAAGCATTAACTGCTGAAACAATATATTCGGAACTTTTGTAAATTTTATTTATAAATGGAAATGTAAGAATTTTGTTCATTGTTCATATATCACACTTGTACGTAAAATATGAAAGATAACCCTTAACCATGTTCACATGGGCCCTTAGAAGCTAAAAAAAAATATTTAACAGATTCGGGCATTTAATATTGGTATTATATTATTAAAAAAAAACCTCTAAAACGTTAGACTAAGAAAATACGTCTTAAAAAGCAAATGTTTTTAATCTATTAAAATTGCAATGTATTCGTTTAAGTTTCAGCTTTGTGATTGATAGTTATTGACATTATAATAGTTACAGAAACGACAAGAGGTAAATAAGAACCAAAAAAAAAACATATTAATAGAAAATCCAATCAAAACTTTTTGACAACGTATAAAATGTCTTTTGTTTTTCCCGCTTACGTTTTTAGCGGATAAGTCTTGTTATATTTGAATTAAAAATTGATTAATAAAAAATGTAAAAGAAATACCCTATAAACATATATTAATTTTGTCACTTTGGAAATTAAGAATGTTTCTTACGTGTTTGAAAATGTGCAAAACAAAAATATTTTTTATAGAAGTGTACTAATATTTCGCGATGAATAAAAATGTATTGTAAATTTTGTTTGTCTTTCAAACCTGAAATCTTTCCCGCACCTCAACTGAAAGTAAAAAGCGCAGTTTTTGGGTTTTTGTTTGAGTTTAATTTTGTTGAATTTCTTGGTTATCATTCACCATTGAGTCAGGAGTTATGCTTTTTTTTGATGTTGATTGTTTCTCTCCTGAGATGCCTGTAAGTGGAATCGGTTAGTGAGGCCGACCCGACCGTACGATAGTCGTTGGATTAATAAATATATTTGAACTAGTTTTGAGTCTAATATACTTGGTAGGACTTGATAGGTTACACGCAAACACGCTCTCCCTCACACCTCGCTGTAGGGTCGTGATGCCGCGCTCCTCCCCGAGGAAGCGGGCGGTGGACTGGGCGGCGGACTAAAGTCCGTCTCCGTGTCGTTGTAGTTGTAGCGACTGTCCGACGGGGACAGCGAGCGATATGTGCGCGGCGAGTGGTTGTAAGTGTCCGGATGACGCCGGCCCCAGCTGCCGCTGTGTCTTCGACGGCGATGCATGTCCTCCTCATCGTCGTCGTAGTCATCGTAATCGCTGTAGTCCGAGTACCGGTCTCGATCCCGGTCCCGTTCCCGCTCCCGATCGCTGCGGTTCGAAGGCGGCGGCGAACGCATACGCCCCAGGGGCGGAGGGCGTGCCCCACCCGCTCCAGCGGGGGGCAGGAATGGCGGCGGAAGGCCCATGAACGGAGAGAAGGGCGCCGCCAGGAATGGCAGTGGATTTGGCATGTTCAGCAGTGGCGAGCCCGGCAAGGGAAGCGGCGATGGAGCCGTTTTCAGTTCCGCCCCCAGCACAGGCGCTCCGTTGGAGGCGATGGCCTCCATGACGGCTGCATCTCCGACTCCTCCGCTGGCCATGGTGGTCAGCTTGCGCCTCAGGCCGGCGGCCTCGGCCAGCGCCTCCTCGCATCGCCGTTCCGACTGGCGCGCCGCCAGCCAGGACTCATGGGCACGGTTCTCAAGTGTGCCCATCTGGGCCTTGTGCGAAGCTATTTGGGCCTCGATCTCGGCACGCAGCTCGTCGTTCTGAGATCTAAAAGTTCGAAGAATTCAAGACTAATAAGTAGGGCAATCCAATGTATAGTATTCAAAATCAAAAAACACTTTCCATTTAAGATTCATTAAAGTTGAATAGTGTTTAGTGCAATGTTTTTAAAACCAATGGAGATTGGGTCCAATATTAGTGCATCGTCGTTTGCTTTACTTACTTGAGAGTTTGGATTTCGTTCTTCATCAGCGTCTGAGTCTCCACTGTGCTGGCGTTCTCGCCCTGATGCTGCAGCCATTTGGTCTCCTGCATGCTGAGTTCTCTGAAACGGTCATTCAATGTTAATGAAATTCCTCACAGAATCAATCAATCAGATCAAGTTAAACTACTTCTTAAGTTCGTTCTCCTTCTCGCGGAAGTAGCCAGACAGGACCTCGAGTCGCGTCTGGGCTTCCAGTTTGTCGCGCTCCGATTGGTTGAAGTCCTGCTTCAGCTGCTCCACATCTGCGCTCGACTGCTGCAGCTGGACTTCCAGACGCTGCTTGTGCGCCACTTCCTGCTCCAGCTTCGCCTGCAGCTCGACGAACTTCTTATGGGTTGCGCTCAGTTCGCCGCGCGTCTTGGCCGAGGTGATCAGTTCCTGGACATTGAAGTTGGCATCCTTCTTGACCGCCTTGAGACAGTCTTCGAGGGCTTCAATTTTGGCCAGACTCGTCTGCAGATCGCCGTGTTCCCGTTCCCATTTGGCGGTCAGTTCGAGGATTTGGTTCTGCAGCCTCTGCATTTCGTAATTGCGTGCCTCCAGCGCCTTGGCCAACTCCAATTCGGTGCTGGCCTGGATTTCCTCGAGGCGAGTTTGCAGCTTCGACTTTTCCATCTCCAACTCGTAGTTGTCCTCTTGCAGGGCCTTCAGATCGCTGGTAAGACGGGCCGTGGCCTCCGTGAATGCATACTGCAGTTCGCTGTTCTCGCGACTCTTTTCCGCCAGACTCGAGTTGATCTCGAGGATGATCTCTGTAAAATGGAGGAAGTTATACCCTTACTAAGCAGAAAATAAATAAATATAGGAATGAACTACTTGCAAGACTCATTTAAATATAAAAATTCTTTAAAAATGTAAATATATGTAAAGTCTGAATGGCGGGTAAACTGGTTTTAAAAGTAAATATATTTTATATACCCTTTGTGCCGCCTAAAGATTATCATCATACTCACTCTCTTGGTCGTTGAGCTGCCGCTGCAGTTCGTCGACGGTGCTCATGAAGGCCTCATCGCCGTTCTGGCTGCTCAGCACTTCCGACAACATTTTGTTCAGCTCCAATCCAGCCTCGGCCGCATTGTCCAGATCCTTGAAACGTCAAACATGTTTTAACAATAGAGCGCTATTTAAATTGCCGCCTGGACCTACCCTTTCTAGCGAGCCCACCTGCTCCTGCAGCTTGGCCTTCTCGTAAAGCTCAGATTCCAGCTGCTTCTTGAGGTCAGCCACCATGTCGTTGGAACCAAAGGAGTTGTCCTCAATGCTGGCCAACTTGGTTCGTGTGGTCGTCAGGTCGTGCTTGATAATCAGGTTCTCCTTGTGGGAGGCCAGCAAACTGCGCTCCAAGTGATTGAGTTTGGAGAGAAGTGCTCCCTCCTGGCTGCTGTTGCAGAAACAGTAGTAGGCGAAGACGAAGAACAGAGACGACGCTGCCGCAATCAGCACACACAGCAAAAGCTGACTGTGCTCCACCAGCTTGGCGGCCATCACTTCCACAAAATTATCCAGGGATATAACGGGACGACAGTGTGCATCCCGGGTTTGAAAACGGGCACAATAACCATCGACATCGGCAGGAGCAGCGCCTTTAAAATTAAAAGTTTATAAAAAATTTTAAGAATTTTTAAAGACGTCAACTAATAATAAATCAAATAGAATAATCACCTTCAGTTTCCTTTTGAGAGGATGCCACCTCAGCCTTGCCTGGATAGAGAATTCTCTGCAGCTCATCATTGTTTTCTAGTGGACCCGCCTGTGGCTCCTTGCCGATAAAATTGTTTACGGTGCCGACAATGGTGGCAAAAAGACCAAGGCCCAAGCCATTCTCCTTGATGGGAGCCTCCGACACGGGACTAGCAGTCGCAGGCAGAGCCACTGGCTCCACGGAACCAACTCCCGCACGAGGTGAGTCAGCGTACGCTGCTTGTGTGGTCTCCTCGAGGACTGCGCCGTACGGGGAATCAGAGTCAGGAGTTGGGGTAGTTTGCTCTGCACTCGGTGCGTAATGATGGTGGTGATGCTGCTGATCTGACTGCTGCTGTTTGTAGTAGTCATTATCATTATCAACGACTTCATTGGATTGGATTGGATCCACAGAATCAGAATCAGAATCAGAATCATTGAGCTGCTGGTCTGCATCTTGAACCTGCAGTGTCTGCTGTGCTTCCTCAAGCAACCTCTTCTGCTGTTCCGCTTCTTCAGCTAACCTCTTCTGCTGCTCGGCTTCTTCAGCTAACCTCTTCTGCTGCTCGGCTTCCTCGCGTAACCTCTTCTGCTGCTCGGCTTCCTCGCGTAACCTCTTCTCCTGCTCCGCTTGCTCATTTATTATCTTCTGTTGCTCCACTTCAGCTTGCAACCTTTTCTGACGCTCTGCTTCCTCAATTATTTTCCGCTGCTCCTGCATCTGCTTATAGTAATCATTGGGGTTCTCAAAGTTTTTCGCTTCGAAAAGAGGCGGCAGGCCAATTGGTTTCGCATTCAGTGGAGCATCTTTGGTGGCAGGAGCAGGTAAGCTGGTCACTGATTCAGGTTTACTATTGGTTTCCTCTTCGGATTGAGCAAGAGGTTCAGTGGTGTTTTCTTTTTCAGGCTCAGCTTGAATTTCTGCAGAAAACTGAACTGTTTTTTCTTTGACCTCATCGTTAACAACCGGATGCGGTACATCAGGGACCTCTTCAGTGACAACCTCGGATGGCAGAGCATCCAATGGCTTTGATCCCACGACAACTTCCGGCTCTTTCTTGGGAGTTTCCGTTACCTCAGTCAGTTTTTCCGTAATCACCTCGTTTGGCAAAACAAGACTCTCAGGAGTGGCTGGAACAACGAGTTTATCGTCCTCTAGCTTTGGAACCTCCACTTCCGCCTTTGGTTCCTCCAAGCTATCAGTTGTGTTCGCTTTGTCAACCGAATTCGAGTTCAGTTCAATCGATCCCGTAATTGATTTGTTATCGTTTGCTTTCGGTTCGTTATCTTCACTAGATTGTTTGAAGTCGTCTTCGTCTTTGTCGTCGTCGTCGTCGTTGTCGTCTGCCTCGTCATCCCCGTAATCGAAATCCTCAGTGTCTTCAAGTTCAGCGTTGATGGCCTGCGTCGGTAGAGTCGGCTCCTGAGCTCCAGTGGCAGGCAGCTGACTGGAGTCTGAAGGTGACGCCTGCGGCTCTTTCGTGTCAACGATTGCAGAGGCGGATTCAAGTTTCAATGCTTCGTGGGGTTTTTCTGTCTTTTCTGGCAATATTGTGCTGTCGTTGACAGCTGAAATTGCCTCCAGCGGCAGCTCTGTACCTTCTACGAGCTGCACCTGGGCTTTGGAAGCCGCCGTGGGATCAGGAACCTGCCGATCCTTAACCGGGTTCTGCTCCACCACTATTGAGTCCACGTTAACCTCAAGCGGTGACGTCGTGGTCGTGGCCAAATCATCGGCTGACTCAGACGAGTTGAGAACGGGTTGCAGTGGCTCCTCCACGGACGCAACTGGACTGCCAGGTCCTACTACTGGCACCACAAACTTCAGGTCCTTGTCTCGCACCAGGATCTTCTTTTCCATGATAAAGTCCTTGTTGGCGTAGCCGCGCCGCCCGTTGATATCGACGCCCCACAGCAGCATGTTGGAGCCGGCACTTTTGGACAGGACGCGGACGGGGGAATTGATCTTGAAGGATATCTGCCCCTCGCCGCCGCTGGCGTAGCTGATTTTGGTAATGCCCGTCGAGATGATTTCTGCAAGTCGAAGAGCCAAGTCGCACCCCAAATTAATTATGCAATTCGAGAGACATGGAAGTACAAGAGGTCCAAGGCTGTGCCGTCTGGCCCCAGTTTACAACTTACGTTCACATTTCGGGTCGGCGCACAGTCGTTTGTCGGAGAGAGACGCGGCCCACGTCAAAGTTGGAAGACAGCAGATCGCCAGGCCCAGCAACAGGGCCAAGTCACTCAGCAGGGGCTGCATTTTCGCTTTCTCGTTGGCCAGCCGCATTTTGCATTGTCTTGGGGCTCAGTGGACAGGTGAAATCAACTTATTCCGCTGCAGCTACCTTTTTTTATTGTGTATAAAAATGGGTTCACTTTCAGCTGAGTTGGCTTTTCATCGGTGTGACCGTCTCTCGTGCGCCAGGTAATGCTGTCTGGCCCACTGAAAATACTGTAATATACCAAATTTAGTAAGGCTTCCACTGTACAGTGCTTCCGCGTTTCTGTTACGAAGAAAATCAAGTTTGAAACGTAACGCTTTCCTAAATGCAGCATTCGTATCCAATGTTTTTAATGCTTAATTGCAGAGGTGCTGTCTTCTGGCAGTGCATTTATCAACACTTTTCAAAAATATTACGAACACAAGTAAAGTTCTCAGTGTAAAGCTCAGGAAAAGGCAAACACATAAAAAACAATATAATTGTTGTTGCTTATCAGTTATGAATTGGACCGTAAGGAAGAAACTTATAATCAGTAATATACAATACTAACTGTTCGACCGGGGGGCAAGTGATCCTTTCTTGGAGAAAATAACGACATTTTTAGAAGATTTTAACAACGAAAAGTATGTTTTGACTAGCTCTTCGTGCCTGCGCACATTTGAAGACTAAATTCAATTTCATCGACCTTCTACATCCAAGTGCTGCCTATGCCGATACGTTGCGCCTTCGAAGTCAAGCTTACGAAATCTTTTGTTTGGCCATGCCAAAATAAAGCGAAACAAATGCGAATGTGGTGCAACGTTTCATTATACAAACACATTATATAGGCACAGAAAAATGTATAATGCGAGGCACGTTCGAGTGCAAAGATTGCGGCTCCTTTTTTCACCGATATGATTGCTGATACTGCACAAAAAGTCCTTAAAGCATAAACGTGTTGCCTCCGCTAGTCATCCTTCCTACGCTAGTCCACCTGGCTCCGCTACACTGGCTCCCCAAGGCAAATCATCGTACTTGGACATTTAATTGACGGAGTAATTTTTGCTGTATCAGCAGATCGTTTGCCTAACATTTATGTTATGTGTGGACAGCGCTACGGCAGAGGGAAAACAGAGTAGAGATGGAAAAAAAACGATGTTACCCCAAATATCGATAAGATCGATGTTTTGAAAACAATGATGTTGGCATCGATGTTTTCCCATCTCTCGAGCTCGGAGTTTCGCGGCTAACATTGGAATGTTAGATCATCGTTTACCTAACATTTTTATGTTAGTTCGACGTTTCCTAACATTTATGTTAGAAAAACGGTGATCTAACATAGGAAGAGGGAGCTGAGAGCCATCAAATTCTTTCAAAGAGAGGCTTTACATAGTCAGAGAGAAGAGATGGAAAAACACTGATGTTACCCCGCCAAACATCGATGAATCCGATGTTTTGAAAACATCGATGATGGCATCGATGTTGGCATCGATATTGTCATCGATATTTCCCCACCTCAATTGTCGAGCACGGAGTTTCGCGGCTCCTTGTACGAAGTTTGTTAAATTTAGTGAATAAAATCGAGTGCGTAATTACGACATTTATATTAACGCTCGTTTCCGTACTTTAAAATCTGCGGTGGGCGGGTGAAAGACAGGAGAAGGTGCGTGTGTTTGTATGGAGAACTAAATCAGTGACCTTGAAAACTGAAGTTTGTTTTTTTTTTCTGTATGCAATTTACCCGAAATTGTAAAGTGCAAAAGTTCAGCTCGCTATTCGAAAAAAAAGGACCTCGCAATGTGAAATGCCAAGCAAGAACTGGCGTATTGGCTTCCAATTTATTATTTCCTGGCGAGTGTATGAAAATGGTTTCCTCTGACATCATATTGTTGGCATACAGAGAGATAAAGAGAGCAACTACAGGGTTTGTGTGCTTCGTACGAGATTAATGTTTAAAAGTGCAATTGAAACGAACAACTATCGCGAGTGTTAATTAAAATGCGATGTGAAGTAAACATATATTTACACAAACATGTGTACAAACTTATTGTTTTGAAGTTGGATGTTTCTTGCGATTTAAGGGAGAGAGAGCGAGAGGGTGCGTGAAAAGAGCACACGTGGATGGGTTGCCAGGCTGTTCGTGGGGTTTACACGTCGCAGTTGCAGTTAAATTCCAAAGTTTACAATATGTTACAAAAACCAATTTAATTTGATTTTGTGTAGAGATTTTAATGGGTATATTTATACGATCACAATTGTTTTATTTTTTCACCAGTCCCTGTTGCTCATTTATAAATTTATCCTACAGAGAAATATATATTTTATAGGGACTTTGTTTCAAACGTTGTATTAAAATTAATAAAAAATCCGTAAAATTTGATGTTACTGTTTTAACGTAAGACCCAGGTATTGAAAACAAGCTAAAGTTGTTTGTGAATTTAGCCGTATTTAAAAAAAAGCTTGTATATTCGCAACAAATTGGAAAAATGTTTTTTCATTCAACAATTCGCATTCGGATTTCTTTGAGTTCGCGTATTAACAAAATTCATACTGTTGTTTATCATCATTTCTCGTTGCTACAATCTGGCAACACCGTCCATTGGCCAGCACGAAAATGCGCAACTCGGTTTCTATTTCTATCTTTCGCATTTCCAACGTCTTTGTGATCGGTTTGTTGTTGGGTCGCGGATGCCTAATCGTCGTTAGCTGAATGGAGCGGGTTTTGTCAATTGCCCGATAAACCGTCACTTGTGCCGAGTGTCCGCTCAAACAAAAGTCCTTTGCTTGAAGTTGTGTAACGAAAACAGAGGTTTCGGTGCGTAAAACTGCGCCAGAGGCAGAGTGCTGAAAAATAAAAACAACCTGACTACCGAGCGCTTTTAATTACACACGTGAATTAAAACAACAAGAGAACACATACTAAGTACGTAACGCAGAAATCGAAGAAAAACTCCGAAAACAACAACAACACAGTAGTCCTGTAACTAACACCGACATGCGTGACGTAATTTGTGTATTTATTCTAAAACGAAATTCGAGGAAAAGTGAGTAGCATGAGCGCGCAATTGTTTGTCCCTTTCGACGGCCTGTGTAATTACCAATGCAATTTGCCTTTTAATTTGAGTTTTGCATGCAACAGGGCGCGTGTTATTTTCACACACACACAAGCGAGCACAGCCCTCACACTCGCACAGTGGCGCGTGAGAGAAAGGCAACCTGGCGAGGTAAACAAAAATGCGAAATGTATAGAGGGGCGAAAAACGATAACAAACAACAGTTGCAAACAATCTGCGGATGGCTTTTCTCGCTTTTCTTTCTCTCTCACTCACTTACTCTCTCTCTTTCTCTCTCTTGCGCTTCTCTGACAGTACGAACGCAAACAAAAACAATAACAATTAGGTAATGTTTTGTATGCCATTCTCTTTTGCTCGCTCGCTTCGCTTAAAATGTGTTTCTTAGTGTGCGTGTGCTTTGCTCTCTTTGTCTCATTTTTTGTTATTGTTTTTTTTTTTCTTTTGTTTTTAAACTTAACTTGCACAGTGGGTAAGAAAGGGCGCTAATGAAAAGGGTTATAAACACAATTAACACATAAATAATCTTAGCCGAACAAAGCTTACAACTATTTTTTGTGTGGTGTTCTTCCTTTGTTTTACACAGCATTGTAGAAAAATAACTAAATAAAAGGCTTAAGGAAATGAACAGGAAACAAAATAACTACTTCGCGTAAACTATATTTTAATATATTATTTTAAATAGTAAAATTTAATTTAATCATATTCAAATAACAGGGTTAAACAAAACCCTTAAAAACAAACTTAACAAAATCCGTAGTTATTAACACAAAAAAAATTCAAAAAATAAAATGATATTCTGTGGAAAATGTGTTTAAAATCGATATGCTAGTGCGTTTGTGGCGGTAAATACAAATGCACATTGTGCTTGAAAATGAACTAATTAACAGACTTGGGTTTATAACAAGTGGAAAGATAAAATTAAAAATAAAAACCTTAACAAAGCATATTAATCATAATAAAAACAAACAAAAATTGTAAACAGTTTTGAAATATTGAAGTAAATGCCGCTACTTGTTCCACTGTGCGTTTGTGACGGTGGAAATTTTTGAGCGGAATTTTTTTTGTGTTTTATAAACTGGCCCCTGCTTATTCTGATTATTCGATGCGTTTGACAAATTCGAACACAACGTTATTGCTTTTGAAACAGTAGTCTATCGGCATAAATTCTGTAAGAATTTTATTGGTTTAAATAAATCATACATATATTGAATAAATTTTGCAGTGTTTAAGTAAATAAATAATTGATAAAAGCACCCGAAAATGTAAACGGGAAGTGCGCTTTAAAGCACAAATAAGTAAAATAAAATAATAACGAATAACAAACGCTTTCGATTGTGTGTATGTAAAGTGAATTAAATGATAAATATAAATACATACAAGATCGAGAAATTCATCAAACTTGAAGAGTGACAAACTTTAAAACGACAGCAGCAACTTAAAACGCTTAGCAACAATGTTGCACAATAATCGCGACAATGAAGAGTTAAAAACATCAACATCTACAACAACAACTACAACAATAGAAGGCAATGGAACAGAGCCAACAAATAGAACGCACTTTGCGACATCATCTGCTGCAGCATCGACAGCAGAAACATCAGCTGGTGAAGAGGAAATAAATGCAACAGCTGAGGGTCAACTGCCGCCGACGACAACAGCTGCGGCATACCGAACGGAATTAGGAGAAACAGCTGATGCGCTTGCTGCGTCGAATGCTGCTACTGCTGCAGAATCGCCGGCATTCGATGTTCAGATGCGAACGCAGCAACGACAGAAGATCAAGATATACCACGATGCCAAGCAGACGGCGGTATGGCGCACCGATTCGCTGGCCTCTAATCCCAGCTCGACCATGTGTCCGGATTTCGCGAAGTCTGGAGCGGGAGAAGGCACTCCACCCATGGGCCTGCCCCCGCGGGGCATCATCTTGTCCACAGCACCTAGTCTTCTGCAACGTAAATCCTCTGACAGCTCGCTCACCTCGTCTATCGCCCGACGCGTTTCCTTTCCGGATAACGAGCTGGTCACCGGTTACCTGGAACCCGCCAATCCCTGGAAACAAGGTAAGTTTTACCAGTGTTGATTAAATAAGTAGCAATTCAGGTATTTAATTCCGAAAGATGCTTTTTCTATTATGATATATTAGTTTAATAATGTGCTTTTTAAACGAGAGAAATGTATTGACACACTTTTAAGAAGAATAACTATTTCTGTGTTATACTTGAATTCATCTTGAAAGTCGGTATGGTATTGTTATTCAGATTCATTACTTGAACCAGAAATGTGTATTACCTCTTTTATTTATACTGAAAACAAATATCCGTCTTAAAAACTTTTTAACAGAATTTATGTAAAAAATACATAGAAAATTAAAACTCTTACAATAAGATATAGTTGCTTTCGCCTATACATTTTAAGAGTTGGGAACTAGATTTTTCCGATTGTTGAGTATTCATTCGTACAATACATATTTAATTGACAATTTGTCATTAAACAATGCCAATAAAAATCCGTGCTCGATCTTATCATAAGCGCTGAAACCTCAGTCAAACGCGGAAACTGCCAAATGTCAAGCACATCATTAGCCGTTCTCATTTACTTTACTTCCTGTGAATTCATTTTGTTACAGCATTTTTCGCATTGTTACGCGGGTGCGAAAAGGATCCGAGAAATCTGTCAGCTAATTTCAAGTGAAAAAGTTAATCAAGAAACGAATGAGAATAGTGGTGGCTTGCCAAGTCGGCAAAATGCGCAGAAATATTTTGTTACCTTTGTGTAAATAAACAGAGAAAGCGCTGCAGCGAAATATACCCTTACACAATCAACGTTAATTAGTTGCTGTTCAGGAATAACATTTGGTTTAATTTAATATGCTTAATCATAAATAAGAAAATAAAAAAAAATTTTAAATTTCTGGTTTTCCTTAAAAATCCATACAATCCGCTTGTTGCAGTTAAGAGGCTAACCATTGTAAGCCTCAACAGAATGTACTTAATAGAATGTTTTGAAATTAACCTTAATTTTCAAAATTTTTTTTTGTTGTTTTACAAAAATATTGAGAAAAAACGACTCTTTAAGCTGTCTGCCGAGTCTCAAAAAAAAAATGTCAAAAGAGTGGCTAAAAGCGAAAAATTGAGAAAGATTATTTCACCTACAAAAACCTACGATCTGCCGTTGTAGATAGGACACATTTAAGATGAATGAGTCTTAATTGCAAAGCGATCGGTCAATTTTAGTCGAGCTATGATGTCATTTTCCAAAATGTCGTTTTGAGAAAATCGCGTTTCAAGTTTTAGGTGCATGGTGTATGCCTGCGAGCGGTCGCTCCTAAGAACGCTGCCATTTAAAAGCTATTTAAGGTACGACCTTGCCGCTTTCACATGGCATTTTTAACATTGTAAACTATCTTTTGGAAAAAAAAAATTTTTTTGGTAACTTGATGTGTTTTTTCGGATATTAACTGAGAATTAACAGAGGGAATTTAGGTTTCGTGTGAATCTTTAATCTGTAAAACATTAAAAACAGCGGGAAAAAAATATTTTGTTTGACTTTAATTTTTAGAAGCAAGTGTGACAGTGCACTTATCACTTTAAAAATCTCGAGCAATCTCCATATATGCTGTCTCTTTCTTCAATAAATGATTGTTTAATGAAAAAAATTGGGTTATCTTTACATAAAATTGCTCCAAAAAGTTATTAAATACGATGTTATGTAACAAACTAGCGCATCAATTGCTAATTACAATAAAAGAATTGTATGTATTGTTTGTTTTCATTTTCATTTCTTACAAAAAAATTACCGACTTTAAAATAAAACACTTGTTAAGAACTAAGGTAGGAGAAATAAGTTCACACGAAATTAAAACGATAGGAGGAGATATAGATCATCATTCAGAAATGAAATTTGTACTTTTTTTCCAAACTTTACAAAGTTGTTACTAAAAAAATAATCTTTGGAAAAGCTGCAATATTATATATGTAAGCTTTGAAGTTAGTTTTTTTTGTTTTGATTTGTTTTTCCGGTTGTTCTTATGCGAACTATTTATATGTTATTGTCGTCCGATCTAGCCCGTTCCGACTTACCTGCATTAAGGAATACTTTTCGTTTTTTTTTTGTCCAGACAGCTTTAAAACTCAAAGATAAGAACGCGTAAAAATGACTCGTTCGATACGTACCGTAAGTTAGAATAATTTGATTGACTAAAAGAAAAGATCTTAGCCAATTCGCTGATCTTAAAATGCCAGTTTTCCAACCAATTTCTCTTTTACGTCTCAATTGCACCAAACTATTATAAACTATTAAAAGCGGGCAAGCGTAGGACCGCAAATGTACCTAAGTGTTTATAAGCATTCTTGATCAGCATAAATCTAAATTACAAACTACTTTGTTTTTGAAAGTTTTTAATTTGTTTTCAATACCTGGTAGTTAAATTGTTATGTGGTTTTGCTTTCGAGTTTCCTTTCATTTTGTTATTTGTTATTTGCACGTCAGCGATAACAGAAATTGCTGATAAGATACGGTTCGTTTTTTCTTTTTATTGCTTGCTTCGTGCTCTTCACATGTTTTATTATTTTTTGGCCGGCATTGCTTTTGTTTTTGCTTTGCTCTTTTCTGCTCCGATTTAACTTTGCCTTGAATGCCAATCGGGGGATCCGTTTTGTACTCGTTCGTCTCCTCGGAGTGTCTATGATTTGTTTAAACGATTTCGGCGTTTTTGTTCTTGTTTTGCCTCCATTATTATTTACCTCTGCATAAAAGACCCAGCCACAGGCATTTGTTAATGTAAAGTACGTATTTTTACTTGTCATTTACATTTGTTTGTTTGTTTTCATTCCTTTCTTACCTTTGTGTGTGCATTTTTATTTGCTTCTCGTTTTTTTTGCCGTTGTAGGTGTAGAAACTATGTGATGTCATCGTTGTCTCTAAAACAAAATCACTAAAAGAGAAGCCCCAAGGAAAGACATTATGACAGACACACATGCTGGCAGGGAAGAAAGCAAATGGTAGCTAACCAATTGTACATTTTTAGAAATGAAATACAATGCACTTTCCTGCCACGTCAACTACTTGGCTTATCTGTGAAAAATCCAATCCCAAAGCATTACCTAGATTTGCATCAAAACAAGGCCAGTTGCCCAACTTCAATCACAGATTTCATGCTTCTTTTTAATTACGCTCAATTAAAAATTCCTACAAAAAATAAAGTTCCAAGTGCACAGTGTTTCAAAATTATACTTTATATTTGTTTACACCAATAAAAAAATAATTTCCCGGTGGTATTACTTCGCAGTATTAAATCTGATAACAAAAAAATATTCACCTTGCAGTTGTAAAAGATGGCGATTTTAATAAAAATATTAATAGCGTGGGAACGGATTTTTGGTTTTAAAATTTTGTAACAACATGGCAAGCTGCAACTAGTAAAATTTAAAAATTTCCTTCCAAACTATTTAAAGTTTTTTAGTGTAAAGAGAAAGTATGACCGCCTCATTGTATTGTATCGTCTTATCATTTTTCATAGTAATGCGTAATAATTTCTAAAAAATGTATGTTCTAAAAACACTAATGTGCAAGAACATTTTCGTGGACTAGTTCGCATAAGACACAACGAAATCTATTGCAAATGATTACCCCCATTAATGTACATCAATGTTTTTTAACATTAATATGCAACTTCAACTTAAAAACAAATCAAATAAACTTAGACTTTATTTTATTGGTTTTCAAATTTGTAAGTAAACTTTGAAGCAATCTTAATCATACAGTCAGTTACATTAAAAGACAAAAACCATGTCACGAGCTCGATTAGTGTACATTGTTGATGTAATTAATTATTCAAAAACAATGCAAAGCACAGTTAAAAAAGGTACAAAGAATCCAGCCGGACGGCCGGAATCGGCGAACAAAGACAATAAATATAAGTAAGCTTTTTCGTAAATATCGCAAATTATTCCATTTAGTCAAAATTAAACTCGCTCTGACCTGACAATACACTTTTTTTTTTTACAATTTCACTGGGTTTTTACAGCTGATTTTGTATTAATATTATTTTTTGTATTTTATAACTAGAGCTTTCGATACGCTTATCCTTGTCAAATAACCAATCGTCTGCTTTTGCTTGAAAATTTTGTGGCCGATAATGACAAACGAGCGTCTGTCATGATAGTCAATTTGGCCATTCAAGTCAACGACGGCAGGTTAATATCAATTATCAGATAACAAAGTGAGACACTTTCAAAAACATGCTTCTTGAAGTAACACCCACTACACGTTAACTTAGTTTTAAAGCATTGTGTAGTATTTTCAATCATTATTAATTATTTCCATGAGAAACGCGCCACAAATTTTTCTTGACTTGGATTGTTTAGACTTACTTACACAAATATATTATGTGTTGCCAATAGGAATCAACCAAACTGCAATCATAAAATGACAAAGCGGCGAGAACAAGTTTTCGACTTTGTAAATTTATAGCACTAAATTAACAACAATTTAATTGGACAGTTTTCCCGTTTCTCTTATGATTTCTTGTTGCTTACTTACAGTTTCTTAATTTGTACATTCCACATTTGCTTTGACTTTTGTGGGAAGCAGCAACAGCACAAAAATCAATAAAACAATAAAAAATTTAAAAGGCATTTAATAGACGCCGCCGGCACGCGATTCTACAATGTCTGTATTGTATTAGTCATTTATCTACGCGATCGATAGCACCAAGTCGACAAATATACTCTTATCAAAAAAATTGGCAAATGCCCATTGTCAAATATCGATTATAAATGGTTTTGTGACTCTTGAAACCCATTATTACCTCTATCTCTAAAAATAAATCATTTTGAAATCCCCAAAGGTACAAGCAAATATTTTACGATATCCAATGGCTGACTTAAGTCGACTTACCAGTGTAACCCCCGAAAAAATAGGCAATCCTTAAATTTTTTTCTGAAGAAAGTACTAGATAGAATGTTTTAAAAATTTTTGCAACTCCAATTAAAAAAAAAAATAAACTTTAAATTTTATTTTAACTTATTTTTATTCAAAATATTTAAAAATAACGGGACTAATGGCTGTGTGCCGACTCCAACTGCTGACATTGTTACGGGTGACTAGTGACTGAAATCGAAAAATTCAAAAAGATTATGAAATCTTAATATATTTCACTTACAATCTTTAAAAATATCATTTTAAAATATAATTTTTCTTTGTAGGTAAATTTTTGTAAATGGCTGCGCAAATATTGACCAGAGATTTGTATGCTCAGTTTTACAGATATATATAGACTACCGATTTTGTTAGGACATAGACGTCCGATTGGCGTATTTAGCTAAATCTGCGATTGCAAAAGTTTCATGGCACTAGTTGTTGAACTGAGCTCGCAAACGTTATAGAAACAGACAGACAGACTATATATGTATATACTTTATAGGTACGTTTCAAACTTCTGAAAACCCATAGGTGTAGTTGCAGAAAAGTTAGAAGTCTAATGTCTAATCCAAATCGGTTAGAAATAATGATTACTTTGTGAAAGATATTATTTTATTCGCTCACAAGTGTCACTCGAATATAATTACCCTTTTACTTCACGTTTATTAATTCATAGTGGTTCAAAAATACCATTATTGTTCAGAAAAATAAATAAGTGTTTTCGATGTTTTTCGTAGTTCAGACTCTTATTTACCTTGAAGATTATTAACTATTGATTGATGGCTAGGTGAAAATCAAACATTTCTTTTTTCCTTGTTTTTATTTGTGTTTTGTTTAGTTGATAGTTTGTACTATTTTCTGTCCCTCCGCCATGAGCTGTATACCCAAAAAATCAAGTGTCAACTACTAATTTGATTACCGTAAATATTTATATTTATAGACACAAATTTATAAGATGAACTTAAAGAGAAACGTCAAACTTAGTCGTCACATTGTCTGCCTAGTCGAGTAAAAATTCGAAATAATTCAGATTTTGAATTATTCCACCCAACGCTAATGAATCACTTAACAGATGTTCAGTTTCAAGGCAGCATCGGTTGGCGGAGAAGGACGGAACTATTATATAGATGAACTAGGACTGAAGCACTTTTGAATGTTTGCCAAAATTGAAAATCTTTCGGGATCGGCCAAAAGATTTCTTGACAAAATTTCGTTTCACTATTTTTATTGCCTGTTTTATGTTGGCATCTTAGTTTCTGCCAGATCTAAAACGAATCGTTTAATTGGCTCTAACACTGATGTGGCGATATAGTGCAGTGATAGATTAATTTTGTTTACGTTTTTCGTAAGAACTTATGGTTGTCTTGGTGGAGGTGAGCGTTTGTGTATTGCTGCCAAAAATTTATAACAAAGGTGCACTTGGCATTTGGCACAATTTTCTCACTGTGGTTGTTATTGCTGATGCACATTTTTGTTTAAATACACCATAGTAACCCAAAATTCACATGACAACAGAGAATATGATTTAGCGATAATAGTGAAAATTACATCCATCGTGCATTATTCATCATCGACTTATTTTGATTATGTTTTTTAAGCAAACAAACACTTCTTATAAGAGTTTCTGTTCTTAGATATGTTCTGTTGTGGGGCTTCTAAATTTGGCTCCCTCATTGATAGGACCGCACACAAGATGTGTCCGACGCAAATTAGTTGCAAATTACAAGTTCACGATTTCATGTCAACCAACCCCTCTGTAAAAAAAAGTAAATCGTTTGGAAATTGCCGACGCAATTTCATTTATTATTTTTTTTTTTTTTTTTTTTTGTGGGGACAATTTGTCTATGTCGCACTATTTGTTTGATGCCGACGCCGGCAATTGTTGATGATCATGATGTGGATGCTGGAAGTGGGTGATGAGGTTCAGGGAATGGAATTAAACACTCGCACGCGCCATAAGTCTTGTTGTTTTTTTTCACACATCTGTTGCCTTTGAAATGGCGACACTTGGTTGGGCGGGACGAAATACTTGTCAATAGCTTATTGACCTGAACTTTTTTTAAATTGCGACTTCAGATCAATACAAGTTTATTTGAAGCTAAACATAATCTGAAATATTTGTGCTGTTTAATAATTTGAGTTTTAACATAAACTATTGAGAATTTGTTTTATTTACATTTACATTTTGTTTACATTTTCGTCCTTTTCAGAGTTTACGCAAAAAAAGTTTTTATGCCAATTATACCTAAAAAGGTATATTTTATTCCTTAAAATTTATGCAATATGTAGAAGGAAGCGTTTTCGACCGCATAGAGTATATGTAGTCTAGATCATGATCAGTAGTCAAATCGATCTAGTCACTACTATGTACCTTTTCACTCTACGAGTAACGAGTATAATTAGTTTACTACCAACTAAAAAATTAAACGATGACTTGCAAATATATATATAAACTGAAATTAAAGAAAGTCATAATTTGTGTTCATTCATAAGTTTTAGAGACCTTTGTATTTAATAGCAAAAAGGGATTGCAGTAATATCAAATTTATTTTGTTCAACTATGCGGTATTGGTTGTTCTCGAGGGAATCATTGCTATATTTCTATTTCCGCTTCTAGCAAACTGGCCTCTCAGTTTTTAAGTTACTTGGGTGAAACTTTCTCAAATGTCTTTCGTCTACAAGTCTGAAAGGACCGGATCGGTCGACTTTATCATATAGGAACATGTACACACAAGTGGTTTAATACATCAAAGGTTCGGGTGAATTTTGAATTCCCTTCTTAGTTTTCTTTGATTTGTATAATTCGGTTGGGTTTTATGATTTTGAGTGTCTTATTACAACTCCTGTTAATTATTTCAGTTCGCCTTGTAAGCAGCATTTCCGAGATTGTTGATGAGTATGAGCAGTCATGTCAGAAGCATCACACAAAGCCGAAGGAGAGTGTAACAGATCACCTAAAAAGTCTTGATCTAAGCCAGGCGCGGCAGCCGCTTCTCCCCCTTAAGGGGAATCAACTGGCCGCCAACGACTGCGAAGCCCTCGAGGAGATTTTTAAAAGGGTAAGCAGTGAGTTCAAAATCCCTTTCACAGACTTTGACTAATAGTACACGTATATTGACTTGTAGATACAATACAAATGCATTGACTTGTCCGACTGCACTCTGGACGAGAGCTGCTTGATGGCCCTCTTTCAGATGATCGAATACTATGAAGCCTGTTACGAGCTGGACATTTCCTACAACAAGGAGCAGATGTCGAAGCGCTGCTGGGAACTGTGTGCCTATATGGTGGAACGCAGCCAAGCGCTGCAGCTGCTCAACGCCGAGAGCAACCAGATCACAAAGTTGGGAGCCGACAGCCTCGGTCGGGCCCTGGGCTCCTCCAATCTGCACACTTTAAAGCTGGAGCACTGTGGCCTCAGAGGACAGCCACTCGTCCATCTCTGTGAGTTAATCCGCTCCGGATTATATTTGAGTCACGATTAGTGATATGATCTATTGTGTCGCAAATATATTTCCCCATTACTATCATTAAGTGGCAAATGGTTGGAGATCAAATCGCTATTGGACAGCTTTCGAAATCGTATTTATTATACTTTAGTATCATTTGCAGGTCGAGGTCTCTACCAGAACAAAACGCTCAAGGAGCTGTGGGTGGGCTACAATGACTTGGACTGCGTGGATGCCCAGCATATAGCCGATATGCTGCGCTACAACCACAGCCTGGAGCTCATCGACATTAGCAACAACAACATACGGAATGAGGGAGTCATGCACTTGGTGCAGGCACTTATCCTTCAGTCCACAGAGCTGGAGCGACGAATGGGAGCTCTTAAGCGAACACGTGCCATTGAGGTAGACGAGTGCGTATCGCCCGTGGAGACGGAGCCTGCGGCAGCACTACCTCAGTCCGCCAGCTCGGCCACCAGCGTCGATAGTGAGTTGTCTTCACACGTTACCTCGATTCCTGAGACTCCGTTGGAGGAGGCAGTCTCTACCGATCCAGCGGTAGGCATACTAGTTGACGTGGATAATGACAATGACGACGAAAACACCGAGGACACTGTGCGCACTGTGAGAAACTGCAGCCAAATCGGCGGGCAGTCCATGCTGGACAAGCTGCTCTCCATGAACAGCGACAGCAGCAGCGAGGAGGCGCCCTCCAACATATCCACCGACACCCTGGCCGCCGTCTGCTCCGAGGACATCAGCGAGATCAGTAACGACATTTTTGAAGCCTCTACCGCCAAGCAGCCGCCAGCAGGAGACGAAGTCGATCCGGCCATGATCTCAAGCAGCCCAACGGAGTCCGAATCTGTGGCTCCTGTTTCTGCGCCTGAGGAGGAGCGCCTGTCTCCGGCGCAACAACAGCAAAGTTCCCAAAACGAACGCAACTTATGTGGTAAGTTACTTTGTCACCAAGGAGTTTTTTTTTTTTTTGAGCTGACCTGAATGGTTTTCCTTCGCAGATATTACTCCCTCAACAGAGGCTAAACCCGTTGAACCCAATGAGTCCTGTGTACAGAACAACATCATCAACAACAACAATAACAACAATGCTAACAATTCCCAAAACAATACCAACAATAACAATACAATCCAATTGTCGGCGGGAGCAGGAGCTACAGCAACCATAGCAGTAGTAGCGCCGCCACTGGAAGTCGAAACCAGTCCCAGTGGATCGGCACCAGCGGCTATTTTCGAGGTAACCCCTGAGGAGAGCGACTGTATCAATGGCAGTGGAGCGGGGGCCGGTGGCTCGCGGCCGCTGGACGTTAACAAAAACGCCAAAGTGGCAGACGACTTCGAGGACACGCACAGTACGGACTCGGCGTTTGAAAGCGCCTCCGAAGGCGACATAAGTCGCCATCTGCCCGAAGAGTTTAGCAGGCTTTCCGTTTCGCTGGAGAGCACGCGGCTCGATGACATGGCCAAGGAGATGTGTGGCATCGAGACGGCCACCATTGCTACAGAGTCCACCGAATGTCTGCTTGCCGCCCAGGAGGCAGCCACACCTACTCCTGCTCCGGTAGCCGGAGCATTGGACAAACTAGATGATCCATTCCCGCCGCCGAAGGTTACCATCGCCGAGGAGTGCCTGCAGTCGAACAGAGAACTGAGCCAAGACCCCTTCCAGTGTCCCAGTCCGGCGCCCACGCCTCCACCGCCGTCCACGTCGCCGGGTGGAGCTAGCATTGGGCTCAGGCGAACCGAGTCGAGCTGTGCCTACCTGAATCAGTCTACGCGCAACCGATCCCAGAGCTCCGACAGCCTGTGCAGCGAGACATCGCTGGACGGCGGTATGAGCAGTGGAGCCAGCAATAACAGCGTCAGCTCTACTGCCACCGCCGATCCCAAGTTTGCCGAAAAGCTGACCAAGAACGACACGCTTTCGCGTCGCCAGCTGGCTGAGGCCACACTGGAGGCCAATCGCTCGCCCAGCGGTCTGAAGGCCCTCACTTTGTGGAACAATAATCTGACCAAGGACTGCGCCCCTGCTGTGGCCGAGCTGCTGGAGAAAACCATTTCCCTGGAACTGCTTAACATTGGCAAGAATTGTCTGTCCAATGAGTTTGTTTCGACCATTAAGGACAGTCTGACGAAAAACACAACTCTGACCACGTTGGGGCTACAGAGCGCCCATCTGAGCGCCAAGGGTTTCGAAACGCTGGCTTCCATCCTCACGTTTGGCGGCAACAGCAAGCTTCAGCGTATCGACATTCGAGACAATAAACTAGAGGTGGAAAGTCTGAACATAATCGCCGAAGTGCTCAAGTCGAATAAAACGCTCACCCAAATCGACATCAACGATGAACCCAAGCGCCTGACGGTAAGACATACACCCACAAACTAAGCTCCATTTCATTGCCAGAGTCGATTTATTCTCATCCGAGGCCATAGTAGAAGTTGTGTTTGTATTTTGTTCATAATCAATTTTTGGTTAAGCAAATGAAAGTTGGTAACTTAATATACAAAAAGTAAATATTTTTCTTATTTCTCTGAATTCAACTTAAATATCCGATTGATAATGCTCCCTCTAAGTATTTATAATATCAAAAGACTTCAAAATGTGAAGCAATCATTTGCTGAACAAAGAGTTTGATTATTTCATGCTCCAAATGAAATACCCTTGGTAAATATAATTATACGAAAATGAATCAAATTGGTTTGTTCTGTCAACTTGTTAAATTATTAAGCAGAAAAAGTTTATATTACATATAAATTTAATATATAAAACACACCGGTTGAGATATTGAGTGATCAAATTAATCCTTTTTCTTAAATAACAATGAGTTTTATAAATTTAATCTGATAAATCCTAAATGTTTATACCTCTTTTAAAGAGAGTGCCTTCTGCCTAATTGAAGATAACAAAAATGTTGTCAGCTTGGTTGGTAATGGTTCCTAAAGCCTCAAAGAATGCGCCATCTTAATGTATAGTAAAAATCATTTTGGCAGAGGGTTATATTTTGACTTGCTTGTGTTGGTCTTTACCAGGGGTAAAAGAAGCTACGGCTGGCCGTAGATAACCCTCTATGATCGTGCTTGGTTTTGGATGCCTGTGTGTTGGACGCTTAAAGCGTTGAGAGTTTTGATTTTCAATTTTTAATTGAATCGTTTTCATCATTTGTGGTCACTGTTGTTGTTGCCTCTCTCATCTCCGATAAAGTTGCCCATAGTGCCGATAGTAAATGTTATACCGCCATCGCCATTGCCCCAGGAGAGCGTAAGTAGACCCCACTCAATTTGCTCCACCAACTCTTTGCCCACTGCCATCTGTGCTCAACTGCTGTGCTGTCCACCGACAACGCTTGGCTTGCATCCGATTACGATGCCAATAACGCAAACGCAATCTTCCCGCCGTAGCCTAAATCCAAGCTAACTTTTCATTCTAGATGCTTGCCTGACTTGGTAATAAGCTCCACTTGACAATGTTCCATTGCTCAGTTAGACCTTAATGTTTTTATCTAAAAGACGACAACTTTTTCTGCGTTTCTTTAGAAACATTTAAGTGGTAAACTGAGCAATTTAACAACCAAACATTAAGTGAGCATCCGCTTTTCGTTGTATAGCCAATGAGCTCTTTAATTCGATTTGTAAATTCCTCAAACTGATTGGTTGATATGTTCTCGTTTCTGATTTCAGATTGGCAGCGATGCCCACTTGGATTACACGAGGGTGCTGGGCACCGTGCGTTCCCTGTGCTCGCGAAACGAGAAGCGGCAGGTCCAGGAGCTGGCGGAGAAGGCGGCTAACGTGGTCGGCGGCAACAGCAGTCTTGGCGGTGGCCTTCCGGGCCTGCGGTGTCGCGGCGGTTACTACTTGGGCTCGCGGAAGATATCGCTGACCTGCCACAGTCGCCCCTTCGTGGACGCGGCCACTGGCACGGTGACAGGGACGACGACCGCGACCGCTGCAGCAACCGCCCTGCCCACACCGGCCGCCCTGCTGGAGGTGAAGCGGAAGAGCGGTCCCCGTCTGCGCTCGCCGGGACCCAGTCCACCCACCATATCGCCGTCGTCCTCGCCGAACCGTAGCCGCTTTCAAGTGTCGCGCGTGACGGAAGTGGCCAGTCCATTGATCTCGCCGCTGGCCCAGCATCCGCCCCCACACACGCCGCGTTCGGCCAGCAGTTGCATGTCCATACCCACCATCGGATCGCCCAGTGGCAGTCAGAGTAGCCTCAATGCCGTTGGAGCTCTGCCCACCTCCAGCTCGCTGCCGGCGATGGCTTCTGTCACTTCGTCGACTCAGACTGTCAAGCGGCTGTCGGTGTCGCCGAGATCCCGCTTCCAGGTGTCTCGCATCTACGAGGATCCCCAGGTGCCAATGGCCAAACGCCAGTTGCCGCCGATCACGCCGCACACGCCACCCATCGACCTGCCACCCACGCCCATGCTTAAATCGGCACGAAAGGCAGTCATGCTGTCTCAGGCAGTGGAAGCAGCAGTAGCTGCGGCGGTGCCAGTGAGCAGTGTGGTAATTGTAGAGGCCTGTGATGATAGCGCCGACGCACACAATAGTACAAAAGTCGAAGAGGCTGCCGTGCAAAAGCTTACGCCGCACTTGACCATCTCGCCCACCTCAAGTCATTCTAGCTCAACGTCGCCCGGATGCAGCAGCAGCAGCAGCAGCAGTAGCAGCAGCAGCGGGAGCAGTAGCAATAGCAACAGAAGTACCACCACCGATGCTACAGACTCTGTAGCTTCAGGCCCAGAAACTGCACCCAGGACCTGTCCCCTGGCCGTGTTCGGGGATAATGATATCACATTGACCAAGGAATCGGCCGGTGTGGTTGCACTCTCTGCTGCTGCTGCGGCGAGCCACATGAATCCGGTGCTGGAAACTGAAGCAGAACCGGTGCCGCTTGCCGAGCCAGTCAGCAATGCCCCACAAACGCGTGCCCGAAAGACTTCGTGGATAGCGAATCCGTCGGCGGTGGACAAGCTGCTAACATTGTTTAACTCGGGCACCATTTTCCAGCGCAGCTCCTCGCCGGAACCCAAAGCGAGTCAGTTGAGCACAGTGCCCGCCGCCAACCAGATCACAAACAGCACTCAGAGTTAGTCTTCATATTGTTAATAGTAATAATCAATATTTTTTTTTTTCAAAAATTCTTTAAAACATTGAAGTAAATCAAAATAATATATTTTTTTTTTTTTCTTTATACCAATAACATTGTACAAAATTAAGGTTTTAAAGCCGTAGTTTTAAGTGATAAAATTGATGTTTAGGGTACATAGTTACAAAAAACAATTGCTGTAATTACCTTTTAATCTTTTCTTTGACAGACGCCATAGCAGCAAGCGTGGGAGGAGCAAGCGGAGGCGACTGCAGTACCACCACCTATAATCCTATTCTTTCGGTCGCACGGAAAACTTCGCCTGCATCGTGGACATCGCTGACCGGTAGCAACATCTCCAACTCCAGCCAAAATATGTCCTCCCACACGGATACGGGCAGCTCATCGTTCCTCGACACAGCATCTAGACAGCTAAGGGATTTTAGCAAGCAAGTCTTTCGCCAGAATATCTCCTTCAACAACAGTGGCGAACAAGCGGCCTCGGGTGCTGCTGCTCAGCATGAGTTAAGTGCGGGGACGTCGGCTTCGAGCAGCACGGAGTCGCCATCGCCGCCGGAGGGCAATGCGGCCCACATGCCGCTCAGTCTGAAGCGTCAGTTGAAGGAAAACATTTCGCCGGAGCACACGATCAACGAGGAGACTCTTCACACGCTGCAGAAACTGTCGAGGGCCGAGGATGTGGCGTTAAAGGCGGAGGCAGCTACAGAACTGGGCGACATCGAGATTGTAATGCACAGTGAGGTAGCCGACTGCCACCTGGCAGAAAACACACAGCCAGAGCAGGAAGAAGCATGTTCGAGTGTCGTTTAATAGATGCTACAACCAAATACAACTAGATAGTGCGCAAATTGATATAAATAAAGGCAGGGAACGGAAAACACACAGTTCACCCGACAACAAATCAACACCCACCCAGCATTCCCATGGCTCTCCTTTGATACTGTACCCCACCCGCCATGAATAAATGGTAATGAAGTCAGAGATTGTGGATGATAATGGAAGTTTGGGTTTACCCCTAACCCAAAAAACAAATATTATGAAGTACACAAGTTATGTCTAACTTTGTTTTAATTTTGGTTAAATTCTTTTTAAGTTTTTTAACAAAAGAAAATATAAATATATTTTAATTATAAATATGGCATAAGAAATGCGAACTATAGTGCTCAATATTCACTTCAAGAAGAACGCTACCAGAATACAAAATCAGCAAACATCTAGATTTTGTATTTTGTTGAAAGTTTTTTTTTCATTTTTTTTGAAGTGAATACTGACACCAAAATGGATAAACTATAATGAATGTAAAATATTAAAACAACATTTCAAATGTACACACATGTGAAAACACTATTTGGCTTAGTGTGTCCATTAATGGCTGGCTTTTAAAAATGTTGCAATAAGGAGCGAAAGTCGTATAGAGTTTAGATGCAAACCTTGTACTTACCAATCCAAATGATAACAGAAAAGTTAACAACAACTAGAATCATAACCCACAAAGCCACTGGAAACACATTGTTATACGTACTTAAGTTAATTTTGTTCTATTCGAAGAGAACGAATAATTAAACGTAATAAGGGAAATTGTCCCGCAATAGGATTAATTTTTAATTGAGTGCAATTCTTAATTTTGGTTCGTTCCTTCTCTACCTTCTCCAACTCGCAAGCAACTCAAACAGAATGCAAACTGGGTTTGTTCTGCCCAAGTATTATAAGTTGAAAACAAATTTCAAAACAAATACATACTTAAATTAGGTACTTAATCAATCGGTACTTATTAGTCGGTTGCCAGTAATTATGTAATTAGCCAGCCCACCAGTCAAGTCCAAACCAGTAGACCATCTTAAGTTCAATGTCACTGTGCAATTAATCGTATATTCTTATTACACACCGCAAAACCCAACAACGGAAATGAAGCGCAAACGAAAACAAAAAGTACCCAAAATAATCCAATTGATCTCATTATGTGATATTTGTCGTAGTGCCCAAAGCGTTCACTGTACGTGTATCTATAACCAAATCATGTGAGTTAAGTACAGGGTGTACATACGGCACACTCTAAGCTCTAAGTGAACTTACTCAAGCCCATCCCCCTCAAAACCAATAATAAAGAGATATTCCGAGAACAGCTTTAGTTAGAGTTGACAGAGGAAAAATATGTGAACTTTGCAACCTTTTAAAATGCCAGCCATTAATGTGCCTACACAAATGTTATAGATAAAATTAATGAACACAACAAAAACACCCATAAATATACATACATACATATATATAATAACATGTGAACATATTTTGATTCATGGAAGATCTTGTAAATACCGCGTGTGTACTCTCTATTAGGAAATGGGAAGTCTCTAGACAAAGCTACCCCGAACTCTGCGTTTTTTTTGCTCTTTGTTAACAATTTTTGTTTTTGTTTACCATTTTATTGTTCAAAACTATAAATGTAACTATGGATATATGTATATCTCTACATTATGTACGTATTTAAGTAGTGAAAAGCAAACCAATTTTTCAAATATTTTCCAAAATTGATCATTTTGAGTTATATGAAATTACTTAACAAATGTATCGTACTTAATTTACCAAGAGTAAAAGATATTGCTGGTGCTTATCAATTGCTAAGAGTTTGCCTTATAGCTAGATCATTATTTTTGGCAAGTCAAAATTAATTTGTTTCGATTTTATGATGCTAAATTTGTTTTTTGTCAATAGCTATGATTTTGTTTTTACATTGGCAAGTTTATTATCTATTTAGTTTAAGTTTAAAATTAGAAAAGAAAAAACACTAAACCGAAAAATTTATTGAATAAAAATGAAAGTTGTAATGAAATCCTTAATGCCGTTTTTCTTAAATTTCTAGTTGAATGGTACACTATCCTTCATTTAGGGAAACGTTTTTAAACCGGAGTAACACTAACTGTTTATCTTAGCAACAGTTTGTCATGTTTTTATTCATTGCTCCTATTTTTAGTCATAAGCTATTTATTGAAAACAACTGGAATAAAAACAGAGAGATTTATAAATCAGTGATGGAAACATTCCCAACCCTTCAAAGTATATCAGCATCACCAGGCGAGCCAGGTCTGTTTGTCCGTACGTTTTTACCCAAACAAATCAGTTTTAAGCTATCTAAAGTCCTAACATTAATGGTAAATGTACCAGAAACATATTTTATCTCATATTCACCGTTTTTAAACCAACTAAATGATAACAAATATTCAAAACAATTTATTCAATTCTTATATTTTTAAATATCGTAGTCATTTGTTTGGTTAATACTTGTAACTTTAACAGACTTCCGGAACCATGTCAGCAGTTAGGGTACTTTTTTATGGTACCTCCAAAGACGCTGTTATTTCTCAATAGTTTTGTAAACTAAAAAACTTTAAATAACATTACTATGTCAGAAAATTTCAAAACATTCTATTGAGTTCTTCGTTAAAAAAACCCATTCCCCTAATGCAGTTTCATAGCCACAAAAAAGATGTACTTTATCTCATACTCACTATTTTTGAACAAACTAAATGAAAGTGAAATTGTTTAATAGTTTACGTTAAATCTTTTGACAATTTAATTTACCTTCGTTCACAGTTTCTGAGATGTTTGCATATACATATATTAATCCCATTTTAGTAATACATAAAATTGCTTTGCATTATTTAAGCAAATTAAAAATGTTCAAATGTTGTTTAGGAACCACATGCCGAAATCTATATAATCATTGTTGAAAAGGTACATTGAAAGTTTCAGCAAAACTTGCTCATACATATATATACTAAGACCCTGCAAATCTTTTACAAAAAAGAGGTGCAAAAGAAAAATTCAGCATATATTTCAGAAGTTTTCATAAAATAGATAAAACAGTTTTTCTTTTAAATCAAAAAAAAATTTAGAGATTAAATATTTTTTGTTTTATTTTATAAAAATTTACCCGAGAAAAAAAACTCATTTTATATCGAGGTAAAGAAGTTCATGGATCGATTAAGGTAATTTCCAAAACAAAAAATTTAAAAACAAAATCTGAATTCTTCGAAAACATTGTTAATGTGCGAATCCCCTAAGTATTTTTTTTAATCCGTTCTGGACATAAATAATGATTTAAAGATTGGTAGAAATTGTAACTAAGGTATATTTGTAAATGATTTTAATAACCTTAATGAATCTATGAACGCTATAAAGTACGATAAGACTTGGCGGTCGAAAAAGCGTTTGCTAATTAAATGTATTGTTTTGATAGCAAATAAAATGAACATTATCAGGCAAGTGTTGAATAAATATTTCCCAATGGAAATAAAATTATAATTTTCATCTGAAAAAGAAGTCACCGTCGCCACCTTCCCTTCATAACCACGCAATTACCCAGATAATAAGGTACGCGAAAGCAGCGTCATGACAACTGTTGATAAGTCCAGCCCGTAAAATAGAAAAAAGAGGAGCTGAACGGTGGTGTGGCGCACAGATTCATTCATGAATTCGATGTTCCGGGGGGGTTGGTTTCTCTCAACAGAGCCCTGTTAGCGGCGAGTCCTTAACAGCAAAGTCGGGCTGAGCTTCTGTCTGCGGCGGTTTGAATATCTGAGCTCAGTCAGACTCCGCACGTCGTTCGGCGTGGATCGCAAAAGTGTTGATTGTGTGGCACGAGAGAGTGAAACCATGTCCGAGGCTTCAATTGAGCTGGACTCCAGCACTGCCGTGACCCCCAAGCGCGGCCATGGGAACAATAATAACAACAATAGTGCCCGCTCCAGCCGGAGTGCCTCCTCGGGAGCGGACTTGGATACGGATGCCCGGCGATTCGGTTGGTGTGGATGGCACCCGGAGTGGCTCCAGCGCTTCTGCACCGCCAAGTGGGCTCTATTCTGGCTCTGCTGGGGCGGTGCTCTGCAAGGTGAGCTGGCTGATATTCCCTTGTTCCGAACTATAATACTTAATTCATTTAAACGATTCGTCTCGCGAAATTCCCGCCCACGCTTGATTTTTGAATTTTGCGTGGACTGCTTTCCGGTGAAGTGTTAAGCTCAAGGCAGCTAAAATTGTTATCCCAAGTGCACTGGAGTATCATCCACTGATATACATTTTTAAATTATATTTACTATGTAAATTACCCAATATATTTTTCGCCTATGGAAATGCCAAACCGGATAAATTTTTTAAAAGCAGATTTCCAGGCATCCTATTTGATGTAAGAAATAATACATCAAACATTTTTAAAATAAATAGTGATTGTGCAAGTTAACTAAATAAGCGTGTTCTAGTGATTTTCTCAACAAATATTACAAGGAAGAATGTTTGTAACAAGAATCAACTTAAATTACTTGTGACTCGATGTGGAGGGTAGAATAATATATATTAAAAATCCAGAGATAAAGACAACACTTTTCCTCTATTTCCTCTGCATGCTGTAAAAAATGCAAAATTGATAGGTGTTTCGAAATTAATTGTATAAAAACGTAATAAAAACGAACATATGTATAGACTTATATCTGCAAAGGCCAATTTTCTGCAATTTGTTTCACAAAAGCCAGGAAAATATTCCTGAGTCTCAAGCCCTGAATTAATGTTGGCACCGTAATCCTGGGTCCACCTTTAGCTTCTTAAATAAATATTGAATCAACATGTCCATATTTTTCTTGATTACAAGAGAAACTTTTGCCAAGCAAACTTTTAGCCAGCCTGTTTTCGAGAAGTCGAGTCGAGCCGGCTAAGACAATGCAATGGCGAAGGCGACGAGGACATCCGCATCGCTTCATTAGCATCCAGGGCCTTTGCAGCCTCGGCCAGCAGGTCTGTGTGCAACAGATAAGAATTCAACCAAGGAACTGGAGAAGGAGGAAGGTGAGACCCGGTTGGAGCTGCTGTGAATGGAAGCGAATTAAAAATTAATATCTGCCCGGAGCATTCAGGGGAACTGACGCTGTTGATGCTCTAGCCCGAGGATGCATTAACCTCAAAAAATCACCGCACTTTGAATAGTTTGAATGGGCCGTTGAAGTGTAAATGGTCCCAGTTTGGACTACCATTTCCGAGGACTTGGTGGGTGTTTGAACCCCGTCCCCTTGACGTTGTCATAGGCGTGATTCCGGAGTGCGAGTGCAGCATACATACATAAATCAATACAATGTTAATCGCAGTTTACCCCACCTCAGACACCCGGCTGAGCCAAACTGGAGCCCATTGCTACGGCTCAGATTCAGATTCAGATTCAGCCTCACTTTTCCCACTCCTAATGGCTTCAAGCGGTTAATTAAAATTCGCCAATTTCACGAAAGCTGACGACACGTTTATGCATGTTCCGGGGGATTAGGCGGTGTTCCAGGGACTCGATGGAATCTGCGCTCGCTGGATGGAGGCCAGGTTTTGCATTTTTGGATGGCTGCCAGTAGGAGTTGAGTTGCAAACGTGAAACGAAATTGATTTTTAGACGCAAGCTTGTTACAATTATTTTCCTACCTTCGTTTAGGTAAATCTTTAACTTATATAGTCTACTTACTCCCAAAAAAAACTGAATGTTTAGTTTTTAAAGTGTGACTTAGAAATAAGCTATAGATAGTATTAATATATAAGTTTTAATTTAATACTTAATAATATAAGCCCTATACTTTTTATTTCCTTTTTTTACCGAAGAGTTTAAAACCGTAGTCTAAGGGCTTAGTTTTAACTCACATAGGTTTTATTTTGATACTTTCGTGGTATTATTGGGAAATCTTTCATATCCAACAGTTTAAAAATCATGTAACTATAGTTTAGTGATATTGACATTTTTTTTGGTGTAGAAATAAAGATGCCTGAAATCTGGAAAATCTTATCAAAATCTAATTTTTAATAAAATCGGAAATAGCTTAAGTTGTATGAACAATTTAGACATAACATCGAAATGGGACATAAAATAAAGTATAGTTGAACTGATTTTTTTTGTTTTTAAATATATAAGGTTATACTTTTAAATTTTATGATGCCGAATTGAGTAAACTAAACCTAAAAAAATTAAAAAAAAATACATTTTAATATAACTTACAATCAAACCAAAGAATTGCTGTCAATACACTTAAAAAACTATAATAAGTAAATATTGTTTTGCCGCGATCATAAATCACGCGGGCAACTCTGGCAGGATGTCTGTCCAGTAGCATATTTATGTCTTGACCGTGTCCGTGTGCTGTAAGCAAACTAAGCCCGTAAGTCCGTGCAGTTCTTGCAGCTCAAATGGCCTGCTGGCATCTGTTGCACTTGGCTGCTGGCTTGCTGTTTGCTGTTTTCGCCTCTGCTTGGCCATGGATGTGGATGTGGATGTGCATGTGGATGTGCATGTGGTTGTGGATGTGGGTGACACAGAGATGGCCTGCCGCCCGTGGCACGGCTTACGGATGCGGATGCGGATGGGGTGGCACGTGACCGAAAATATTAATCAGTTGACACGGCATTAACATAAATCATCCGCAACAATTTTGTATTGCCGCGTTCCACTCTCCTCGTGCATCCAGTTCAAATGGTTTATTGTTATTTTTATAGCTTTGAATACAGCATCTTCCTATGGAAATGAGCAATTATCTTGAATAACTCATATTTGGATTCTAGAAATGAGAGTCATTCTGAACATGTGAACATGTCCAAAATTAGGTTCCGGAGATAATCTTACATACATTTTTAAAAGTTCTTGCTTATTTATATCTTTCGTGAAATATAATATTTTAAAATAATATTAATTCTGGAGTCATGTCAAAACAAGAAGGGGAGCAAGCTTGGGCAGGCCAAAGTTTATTTATCTTTGCAGCTATACCAAAAATTAAATATTGTGTAACGGGTATTATTTTTACGTTAAAAAAATTAAGC